CTATACATAGGTCGCCACTCCATTTGGAGGGAAGTTTCTTCGTATGGCGCCGGATTCTTCCAGCATATCCACCACAACCATTCGGTGTCTAGGTTTTTGGGTATTGTGGAGTGCATAAGGGCAAAATATCAAAAGGGTTAGAGTTCACAGGTGCCGTATGTTAGATGCCTTTGTCTGTCACAAAGTTATGTTCCATACCCACTTTCCATTGCATGAATAAAAGGTGAGGTGCACAGCGCAAGGCAGTTCCGAGTCGTTCGATATTATACCGATGTGGCCCAGGTATTCTTAAATGGAATGCCCAAGTATAGTGGCAATGAGAAGATGCCTATCATGGAGAATCACTGTGCATCTGGAGATTATTGTAACAGAATTCCTTGTACAGTATAACTCATATATTGGTAGTTGAGTTTCCGATCCGGGGGAAATCTGTACTCTGTTTGGGGTGTGGCCATTTCGCTTACCTACCAATTGCATCCTAATGTTATCGGTATAAGGCACACCTCCCTTGATCATCTGGGGTCCCAAGAGAGCACAAACAGCATGGTCCTATTGCCACCATTGGCTACCATACCCACATTTATTGTGTCATGCTGAATCCATATTTAGTCGATTTGGTCAGGATTTCAAGGACCCTCCCCTTCCAAGGGATCAGATTATATAATAAAATCGACGTTGATGTTCTAGAATGCAGTTCCTTTCGCACAAAAGATTTACTGTATTGTGATAGGCATAAAGACTATTGAGCCCCAATATAATTTCCCCGAGTGACAGAAATGCTGGGATACCACAAGACAAACATATATCCCAAAGAATCGCCCAATGTTGTAATATCCTGATAATTGTTCCACAAGGGGGCAGTCAATCAAGTGTATAAGAGAAGTCTTCCCGCTCAACAGTGCTCTGTTCCAGAGCTCCTCAAGCTCTCAGGCGTGCGCAGGTCAGCCAGGCTTCCAAGTTGGTGGCTGCAGCAGGCCGGTCGTCTAGTATGTTGGCAAATGGACTGCCGTTCCGCGCTAGGGTACGATACAGGGGTTTTTGGAGAGAGTCAGTATTAAGAGGATTAAGAAGGGTCCCTGGTTGCACGTCCAACTGCCTTCGGACTTCTTTCAAAACGGAGTGGGGTGATGAATCCAGTGGGTCACCTCAGCTACCTTCACCGCTGTTAGGATAGAGGAGCAAGACGGTGTAAGTCCACGCACTTAGGTGCAAGTGGATCACGTTTCCACGTCTTCACCCATATTGCATAATCCAGCCTCGGAGCTGATTGAATCGCAGCAATGCTGCACGGCGTTGCTCGGGGCGCCACGCTGTGTAAGATAAGAACAGATCAACAAAATACAAACAAACGACGGGAGAGAGACAAAACACGGGAGAGAAGATTGCACTGTGTCGCCTGTGTTGACATAGTCTCCTTATTTGTTTGATGGTCAGTTGGCATTAATCTCTGAACAAAGTGGAGTGGGCGGCCTCCATACAGGGCTCAAAGAGTGACAACTTAATCGTTTTTGTGGGTGCGCACCGACACGAACAGTTTCTATGGTAACACATCTACCCTCTGAAAACTTTAGACATATTAGTGGGCTTCTGGGCATTGCCATGCAGATACCTTGCAGCAAGCATCTGCGGTAGGTGTAAGCCTGGCCAGGTGAATTGGCATTGTTTTGGATCCCTCACATTGTATCTGTCCAAGGAAAGTTGTCTTGGAGATAGTTAAAATTATTCCACTCTGGACCTGCTACGCAAAATAGTATCTGTGCCTTTTCAATTAGGTCTCTGCCTTTCCTCATGTGAAGAGAGTTATTCAGGGATGCCTGCGACAACCTTGTTCCAAGTAGGATATTACATTGAAGTCAGCCAAGTCATCATAGCCTGAGGTTTTTCTGCGAAAGATTGGGGTGTTTTCCAACTTCATTCAGACTTGTAGTGCGGTGAATGGAATGTACTGGAGGACGGAAGTTCGATGGCCTTGTCCAGGTGTTGTCCCATGTAACGCAGGCACAGGCTCTGCAAGTGCAATTCAAAACTTGCTTCTAAGAGGGCTACTTCATGACGTTTCTTCTTCGGCTTTGCTTTCTAGGTGGGCCTCCAATCAATAGGGGGATGGTATTTGTCCCAAGCGTTCTTTTAGCAGCTGTATACCGCCTGGCTTATTGTTTGCTGACCGATTAAGGTCTCCTGTAACTTCTGTAGTGAATAGATACAGGGTTTGGAGTAGTGGCAAATCAGTTGTATCGCACTAAAGGACCTGTAGATGGAGTTTCTACTGGGACTCCAGATGAATAACCACTTCTGCTTGGGCTTCATTATAGGACTCCAATGCCTCGTCGTTGAAGATAGTATGTCAATCAATCTATAAGGAAACAAGTTCTTGATGACTCTACCCCATGGATTCATTACTTTCTTGCCTTGTTACAACTGGTGCGGAGGGTGTCGAATTGGGCTCCGCTTCGTTATTGGAAGCATAGGGGGGTGGAGGTGGAAGCACCTCTTCCTTCTGTCCCTCAAAACTGGTTTTGGATTATTTGGCAAGATTCTTTTCTAGCATTCGCTTTTACAAGCCATGTAGTTTCTATCGGTGATTTTGGCATGTCCTTATCCGATGGGGGAATTTGTATTAATGTGCCAGCATGGGAATGGTCTAGTATATAAGAGAATTGTTGCTGGGGCATGCTCCAAGGTTGTCTTTTGGTGATGTTAGACCAGTTTGCTCTTAAAATTTATATCAAGGTTCCTTGAGATGGCCATTCGATATTTTGATTTTGCCATTTTAGGTGTCACATAACGTGCTCAAGCGTGATCTGGCTCATTTTGACTCCTTATGCCAGAAGGACGTGCTTTAAATGGTATTGTAACATGACCATTCAGGGTGTAATTTCCCCCTGTTGAACCCAACTCCCATTGTATTGCCTGTGAACAGTATCCCCCACTGCAGTCACTCACACACCACAGCCTTACTGGTAAGAACGAGTGAGTACGTACTCGACATCCTACACTTAGGGTCCAGCTACCATGTGTACATTTCTACACATGCATGCGCTAGGATTACTTTACCACACGACTACCTCCCAATTTCCCTTTCCGCTAAGACAGACACCATTGATGTAGCCAGCCACCTAAGGGTACTCAGTTACCCCTTACTGAACGCAGATAGTTTTGATCAGGACTTGCTCTTGCTCCCAATTAGATTGGAGGGCCAAAACCCCTTAGTGGCACTTACCCTATAGCTGGTTCCGCTGTTTCCCCGACGCGTCCGTCGCCGTCGGTGGGCAGGGGTATCAGACAGACGAGACTGCACTGCGGTTCCCTGAGATAAAAAAGTTTCCAGTTGGCGCGCTGAGTAGGCAGTGAGTGATCTCTGTCTTGTACCCTGCTCAGTCACGAAGGGGACTGCGTGTCCAAGCAGACCGAACTGATCCGAGTCGCAGACCGCATAAAATGTAGGCCACCCTGTGTGGTTACGCCTTTAGTGGATATGAAAGATAATTCACGCAGAACACAGAAATTAGAGAGTAATAATTTAGTGTGTCAGACAAGATAAATGAGAGGCAACAGTGGTATATTGATTTTACCAAGCTCTGGCCTGCTCCTGCCATTATGGCCACTTATATTCCACTTAATCCAGCCCCCTGTTGGCTGCCCCTTTGGTCTGCCTCATGCCATCAGGCGCTGATTTAAAATTCCTAGTGGCTGCATAGTAAACCAATGACATAAAATACACTCCAAGCCGATCCTGTCCTTATAAGGGAGACAAGAGGATATATAATAAACTGACAAATAAGTAATTTAGATATATGTTATCATGGAATGCTTAATTACCAGCTCACTCTTGCCGGCATTGCCTTCCTAAAACAATGTTAACTTTAAGATTTTTATCTTAAACATTATTGTCGGAGGATCTTGCGTTTCACATCAATACTTGAAAGATTCTCCTTCATCTGAAGGTTTCTAAAACAAATATCTGACAACTTTATATGATCAGAAACTTGCGTCGATCGGCGTCTTCTTGTGCTTGGCAGGGGGCTGGACTCAATGGGCCCTGTGGTCATATTCCAACTCTAGGACTCTATGGATTCTATGAAAATAGAATCTAACATCTGAAATTTGTACTTCTAAATCCTTTTGGGCATAGTTACATTTAAGCCAGCATATTTAATACACAACACAGGTAGCTTACTTTAAAAGAATAACTCAGTAAGATATGTAGGAGAGCGACAGTAAAAAAACTCGTTTAAAAGAAGGCCTCTTCCCTGTTCGATACTTTGCCCCCCTTCTTCAGCCAGTGCTTGCTCTTCCAAGTGCTCTTGACCTTTTTGTCCTGTGACTCTAAGTTTAATGCACGATGTTGTTATTTTACTGTTTACCTACCGGATGTTTTTACAACGTAGTTGGTACTCTACAGCATGCAAGTCAGTGACCGCTTCTCAGGCTTTCTATGACCGCAATTACCAAAGGGGGCCCCTCTGTCTTAGAAGAATGCCAAGGTTTTTCTCTTGCCCTGGTGCTGAAACTTTTGAAAATCTTCTAAGCCATTGTAATTTTAGGAACCTGATCAAATATAAGCCAATATAAGTCTTGATGTAAAAATGCGAGTCTATATTTCAGATGCCATTACAGAGAGGCCCATTAGTCTTTCTTCTGAAATTTCCAATATCCAATTTAGAATCAAAAGCAGGCACCATAGTCCTTTAGCAAGAATATTCAAGAAGTTCACTGTTCAGATACCATTCAGGTCCGTAGCCTTGAGTGAAAAGACATGTGGAGACAACTCCAGAGAGTGCCCTTGTTCAATGGAAGAGATGCCAATGAATACCGTGATCAGGAAATTTGCCCTTCCATTATTTTCAGGCCTGAACCATTGGAAGAGTCTGCTTTTCAATAAGTGACTATCTTACACCTTTCTGCCCTGCTAGCAAGATGCCTAGCAACTTGTACGCTGAGAGTATGGATGTTGCTGTGGCAGGCCGGTGTATCCTGGCGCCACCTAATCACTTAGAAACCTATTTTAAGAGCATTAAGCAGTATTTAAACTAATAACAATCTTGAAGAGGAGGAACATAGAAAGTGGCACAGTAGAGGGAAAGCACAGCTCTAGACCTTTTTTCAGAATAAGGGCAAGAACATCATCTGCCAGAGTAATTGCAGAGTAACACTGCTGCCTCCAGCATATGACTGTGGTGATGAGGCTTTCCAATTTGCTTATGACAGATTAACTAAAAAAGTCTGAGAATGAAGAAAATAATCAAGCAGAGGCCTAAAATACTTAACTTGCCGCTTTAAACCACAGCACCATCCGATGCAATATTCCAGCCTTCTTTCCATACTGTGATTCATCTTCCTAGCAATTTTTGCTTTTCCATTTCTAAGTAAACATATTCAACCATATTTCTCCATTTCTGTAAAAGCTGTTCTGAACATTGGATTGGCAGATTTTGAAAGAAATTAATTTGGGAAGCCTGTATATTTTAAAGTGTGGATTTCCTAGTAAAGCTAATTCTAATACAGTCTCTGTCTTCATAGCTGCATATGATGGTTATAATAACCAACCACCTACAATTATTGAATGATGTTTTATACGAAGTCTCAAAACTATTTACAATAAATATTTTCTATTTTTCTAAACATTAAAACACATGGCATTAGCACAGCAGCACTAAAGTCCAGATTGAGCAACTGCAACAATATAATTAAAGCTGCCCATATGTCAAAGAATAAAAATGATATACCCTGGTGGTAAAATGATAAATTGTCATCTGGTGTGCCTTTCTGGAAAGAGCATTCTAAAAAGATGGTGAACTATTACTGTAGCACCCTGCTTGTGGTTAACGCTTAGCTGGAATGAAATATTCAACGCAGCAACAGAGAAATTAAATAATTATTTATTTGTCAGACAAATAAATGAGAGGCACAGTGGTATATGATTACCAAGCTCTGGCCTGGCCTCCTGCCATTATGGCCAGCACTTATATTCCCTTAATCCAGCCCCCTTTGCTCCTCCTTGGGCTGCCTCTGTCCCATCAGCCTGGTTGAAATTCCTATTGGCTGATTAGTATAACCAATCACAAAAATACACTCATATCCTCCTGTCCTTATAAGGGAGACAAAGAGCTATATATAAATGACAAATAAGTAATAATATATCTTACATGGAATCTTAATTACCAGCTCACCTCTTGCCCTATTGCCTTCTAAAACAAATGGTTAATCTTAAATTTTTATCTTAAACATATGTCAAGGATCTTAAGTTTCACATCAATATTGAAAGATCTCCTTCATTTGAAGGTTTCTAAACAAATATCTGACAACTTATATATCAGAATTGCTCGGATGGCGTCTTCTTGTCTGGCAGGGGGCTGGACTCAATGGCCCCTGTGGTCTATTCCAACTCTAGGACTCTATGATTCTATGAAATAAGAATCTAACATCTAAATTTGTTACTTTCTAAATCCTTTGCATAGTTACATTTAAGCCAGCATATTTAATACACAACACAGGTAGCTTCTTTAAAAGAATAACTCAGTAAAAAGGAACACAGTAAAAAACCGTTTTAAAAGAAGCCTCTTCCCTGTTCATACTTCCCCCCCTTCTTCAGCCAGTCGCTTTCTCTTCCAAGTGCTCTTGACCTTTTGTCCTGTGACTCAAGTTTAAGGCACATGGTTTTATTTTACTGTTTACCTACCACTTTTACAACTTAGTTGTACTCTACAGCATGCAAGGTCAGTGACCTGCTTCTCAGCCTTTCTATGACCGCAATAAACCAGGGGGCCCCTTGTCTTAGGAGAATGGCCAAGGTTTTCTCTGCCTGGCATGAAACTTTTGAAAATCTAAGCCCATTTAATTTAGGAACCTGATCAAATATAAGCCAATATAAGTCTTGATTAAAAATGCAGTCTATATTCAGATGCCACATTCCCCCCTTTCAAGCTCAAGGACCTGGCTACCAAGCGTCCTTGATAGCTTGATCTTACAATCCACATTCCTGAGGTAAGGCTCTATATAGTGCCATGATATGAGGTAAAGTTTCATTTGAAATCATCTTGCTAATTGTATTCCTAAAACATGAGATGATACATGGCACCATACATAAAACCATTATCTGAAATGTTAAAGCAACAGGCATTCCCTGTCAAGTTCAAGACTCCACACAGGCCTCCCTGCCTGGCAAGTCATCCAACTGTCGTGCAATAAGTCTCAAACTCTGGGCCGTTGCATTGGTTACAAGTTCCACTACTGCTTGTAATCGAATTATTCTGTTTAGATTATAAATAGGATCCCATGCCCCTTGTATGAGCTCACCAGGATTCCAGGAGGCAGGATCATAATAGGCTTATTATGCGCTCTGGCGGCCAATCATCAGTACCGCTCCAACTTTGGGTACTTCCTCCTGCTATACGAGAAATATCAGCATTTCTTCGTGTTCGCTTGGCTGAACTAGTGGGCAAATCCACATTGGTGGTAATACCCATCCCAGGAAACAAGTCCCACTCCATTTGGAGGGGAGTTTCTTGTATGCCCATTCTCCACATATCCACCACAACCATCGGGTCTGAGGTTTTTGGTATGTGGAGTGCATAAGGCAAAATATCAAAAGGGGTATAGAGTTCACAGTGCAGTATGTTAGATTGCCTTTTTCTGTCACAGTTATGTTCCATACCACTTTCCATGCATGAATAAAAGGAGGTGCACAGGGCAAGGCATTCCGAGTTCGATAGGTAGTACCGTGTGCCCAGGTATTCTTAATATAATCCCAAGTATAGTGGCAATGAGAAGAGCCTACCATGGGAGAATCAGCTGCATCTGATGATTTATGTACACAGAATTCCCCTTGTACAGGTATAACTCATAATGATTTAGTTGAGTTCCATCCGGGGAAATTCTGTACTTCTGTTTGGTGTGGCATTTCGCTTACCATACCAATGGCATCTAATGGTATCGGTAATAAGGGCACACCTCCCTCTAAATCATCTGGCCCAAGAGAGCAAACAAGTAATTGGTCCTATTTGCCACATTGGCTACCATACCCACATATTGTGGTCATGGCTGAATCCATATTTAGCAAATTTGGTCAGATTCAAGGACCCTCCCCTTCCCAAGGGATCAGGATTAATAATAAAATCATGTTGATGTCTAGCATATGCATTCCTTCCACAAAAGATTACCTTATTGTGATAGCATAAAACTATTAGCCCCAATATAATTCCCCCAGTGACAGAAATGGGGAACCACCAAGACCAAAACATATATCCCAAGAATCCCCAATGTGTAATATCTCTGATAATTGTTCCACAAGGGGGCAGTCAATCAATTGTATAAGAGAATCTTCCCGCTCACAGTCTCTGGTTCAGACGCTCCTCAAGCTTCAGGCGTGCGCAGGTCAGCCAGCTTCCAAGTTTGTGGCTGCAGCAGGCCGGTCGTCTAATGTTGCCCGTGACCTAGCCGTTCCCGGTAGGGCTAGATACAGGGGTTTTTGGAGAGAGTCAGTTTAAGAGGATTAGAGGGGTCACCTTTGCACGTCCAACTGCCTTCGGACTTCTTCAAACGGGAGTGATGAATCCAGGGGGTCACCTCAGCTACCTTCACCGCTGTTAGAGTAGAGAGCAAGACGGTGTAAGGTCCACGCCACTTAGGTGCAAGTGGATCACGTTTCCACTCTTTCACCCATATGCTATGCCAGCCTGGAGCTGATGAATCGGCAGGCAATGCTGCACGGCGTGTGCTCGAGGGCCCACCTGTTAAGATAAAAACAACAACAACAAACAAACACGGGAGAGAGACAAAAACACGGGAGAGAGATTGCACTTGTCCCTGTGTTGCATGGTCTCCTATTTGTTTGAGGTCAGTTGGAATATCCTGAACAAAGGAGGGCGGCCTCCCATACAGGAGCTCAAAAGGTGACAACTTAAGTCTTTTTGTGGGTGCGCACCGAACACGAAACAGTGCTATGGGTAACACATCTACCCTCCTGAAACTTTAGACATATTAGTGGGCTTCTGGCATGCCCTGCAGATACCTTGCACAAGCATCTGGCGGTAGGTGGTAAGCCTGGCCAGGTGAATTGCATTGTTTGGATCCCAATTAGGATCTTCCAAGGGAAAGTTGTCTTGGAGATATTAAAATTATTTCCCACTCTGGCCTGCTCACGCAAATATATCTGTGCCTTTTCAATTATGTCTCTCCTTTCCTCAGTGGTGAAGAGAGTATTCAGGAGCTGGCGACAACCTGTCCAAGTAGGACTATTACTATTGAAGTCACCAAGTCCATCATAGCCTGAGGTTTTTCTGCGAAAGATGGGGTGTTTTCCAATTCATCAGACTGTAGTCGTGAATGGAATGTACTGGAGGACCGAAGTTCGAGGTGGCCTTGGTCCAGGTTGCCCATTAACCAGCACAGGCTCCTCAAGTGCATCAAATACTCTTCTAAGAGGGGCTACTACATGACCTTTTTCTTCGCTTTGCTCTAGGGGCCTCAAATCATAGGGGATGGTATTTGTCCCAAGGCGTTCTTTTAGCAGCTCTATACGCCTGGCTGTATTGTTTGCTGACCGATTAAGGGTCTCCCTGTAACTTCTGTAATAATAGATGTACAGGGGTTTGGGGTAGGCAATCAGTTGTTCCACTAAAAGAGACTGTAGATGGAGTTCTACTGGGACTCACAGATGGAATAACCACTTCTGCTTGGGCTTCATTATAGGACTCCAATGCCTCCTGAAGATATTTATCATAATCTATCAAGGAATCAAGTTCTGTGACTCTACCCCCATTATTCATTCCACTTTCTTGCCTTGGGGTTACAACTGGTGGAGGGTTCGAATTAGGCTCCCTTCGATGTGGAGCATAGGGTGGAGGTGGAAGCACCTCTTCCTCTGGTCCCTCAAAAATGGGTTTGAGTTTATTTGGCAAGATTCCTTTCCTAGCTTCGGCTTTTACAGCCAATAATTTGCATCGTTGGACTTTGCATTCCCTTATCCATGGAGGATTTTTATTTAATGTGCTCAGCCAGGAATCTATATATAAAAATTGTTCTGGGCACCCTCCAGTTTCTTTGGTGATGTTAGACCAAAGTTTGCTTACTAAATTTATATCAAAGGTTCCTTGAGATGGCCATTCAGTATTTTGTTTTGGCCATTCTAGTTCACATAACGTTCTCAAGCGTTCTGGCGTCATTTTGACTCCATATGCCCCTGAGAAGGCTTTCTTAAAATTATTTAACATACATTCAAGAGGTGTATTTCCCCCCTTTGAACCCCCAACTCCCATTGTATGGCCCTGTGAAGTATCCACTCAGTCACTCACACACACACCTTACTGGTAAACGAAGTAGTACTCACTCCACACTTAGGTCAGCTACACATTGTACTTTCTCACACATGCAATGCGCTAGATACTTTACCACACACTACCTCCCAATTTTCCCTTTCCCTACACCAGATCACCATCTGATGTACCCAGCCACCTAGCGTACTCAGTTCCCCTTTACTGAGACGCAGAAGTTTGATCAGGACTTCTCTTCCTCCCAATTAATTGGAGGGCCAAAACCCCTTAGTGCACTTACCCTTAGCTGGTTCCCTGTTTCCCCCCGGTCCGTCGCCGTCGGTGGGCAGGGTATCAGACAGACGAGACTGCTGCGTTCCCCTGGAAAAAATTTTCCATTGCGCGCTGAGTAGGCAGTGAGTGATCCTCTGTCTTGTACCCTGCTCAGTAGGCGAAGGGGCTGCGTTCCAGCAGACCACTGATCCGAGTCGCAGGCACCATAAAATGTAGCACCCTGCTTGTGGTTAACGCTTAGCTGGAATGAAATATTCAACGCAGCAACAGAGAAATTAAATAATAATTTATTTGTCAGACAAATAAATGAGAGGCACAGTGGTATATGATTACCAAGCTCTGGCCTGCCTCCTGCCATTATGGCCAGCACTTATATTCCCTTAATCCAGCCCCCTTTGCTCCTCCTTGGGCTGCCTCTGTCCCATCAGCCTGGTTGAAATTCCTATTGGCTGATTAGTATAACCAATCACAAAAATACACTCATATCCTCCTGTCCTTATAAGGGAGACAAAGAGCTATATATAAATGACAAATAAGTAATAATATATCTTACATGGAATCTTAATTACCAGCTCACCTCTTGCCCTATTGCCTTCTAAAACAAATGGTTAATCTTAAATTTTTATCTTAAACATATGTCAAGGATCTTGAGTTTCACATCAATATTGAAAGATCTCCTTCATTTGAAGGTTTCTAAACAAATATCTGACAACTTATATATCAGAATTGCTCGGATGGCGTCTTCTTGTCTGGCAGGGGGCTGGACTCAATGGCCCCTGTGGTCTATTCCAACTCTAGGACTCTATGATTCTATGAAATAAGAATCTAACATCTAAATTTGTTACTTCCTAAATCCTTTGCATAGTTACATTTAAGCCAGCATATTTAATACACAACACAGGTAGCTTCTTTAAAAGAATAACTCAGTAAAAAGGAACACAGTAAAAAACCGTTTTAAAAGAAGCCTCTTCCCTGTTCATACTTCCCCCCCTTCTTCAGCCAGTTGCTTTCTCTTCCAAGTGCTCTTGACCTTTTGTCCTGTGACTCAAGTTTAAGGCACATGGTTTTATTTTACTGTTTACCTACCATTTTTACAACTTAGTTGTACTCTACAGCATGCAAGGTCAGTGACCTGCTTCTCAGCCTTTCTATGACCGCAATAAACCAGGGGGCCCCTTGTCTTAGGAGAATGGCCAAGGTTTTCTCTGCCTGGCATGAAACTTTTGAAAATCTAAGCCCATTTAATTTAGGAACCTGATCAAATATAAGCCAATATAAGTCTTGATTAAAAATGCAGTCTATATTCAGATGCCACATTACAGAGAAGGCCCATTCATCTTTCTTCTAAATTTTCCAAATATCCAATTTAAATCAAAAGCCAGGCAGCCATTAGTCCTTTAGCAAAATATTCCAAGAAGTTCACTGTTCAGATACATTCATCCTAGCCTTTGAGTGAAGAGACATGTGGAGACAACTCCATTAGAGTGGCCCTTGTTTCAAGGAAGAGATGCCAATGAACCATCAGGAATTGCCCTCCATTTATTTCCAGCCCTGAACCTTGGAAAGTTCCTGCTTTTCAATAAAGTGACTATCTTACCTTTCTTCCCTCTAGCAAGATGCTACAAACTTGTACCTGAATATGGATGCTGTGCAGGCCGTTATCCTGGCCACCAATATAGTCAATATTCCAGAATATATTTTGGCTCAGGCAAAAATGGATATTCCAGGTGTGTTGGGCACAGTTGTGGACAAAATAAATTTGGAATATGTAGATACCTCCTTAATGCTAAAAAAAGGGGAGGGAAGGGAAATAATGGGATGAGATATTGTGTAGGCAGGTTGTGAATAAGTACAAAAATATGAACTGGGACAAGTTATTAGTTCACAACAGTATAAACAAGAAGGGTCTTATGTTAATTCAACAAGTCCAGAGGGAACAGAAATTGCATATGAAATCTGTAGAAAGAAATGCTAGTTAGATGACAAGAAAAAAAGTACTGTGTCTACTCTTGAGAGTGATATGCATGTTGGCATGCAGCCCTTTGAAGGCTGGCAAAGCCTCAATGTGGCTCTCAAGCAAAAAATGTTAGCCACCCCTGTATTATGCATTTATAATCTTTACGGGTTCGCTTGTGCATACTGCATTTTATTTTATGGAAACTGCCATGTGAGGATGCTTAGCCTAAAAGGCAGCTTACCAGTACCTTAAGTAAATACAGTGGTACCTTGGGTTACAAATGCTTCAGGTTATAAACACTTCAGGTTACAAACTCCACTAACCCAGTAGTAGTACCTCAGGTTGAGAACTTTGCCCCAGGATGAAAACGGAAATCACGCAACGATGGCGCGGCGGCAGCGGGAGGCCCCATTAGCGAAAGAGCACCTCAGGTTAAGAACAGTTTGGGGTTAATAACAGACCTCCGGAACGAAATAAGTTCGTAACCCGAGGTACCACTGTATCTTGTTTGTATAACAGTACAGTGGTACCTTAATTCCCGAACTCAATCCATTCTGGAAGTCCGTTCGACTTCCAAAACGTTCAAAAACCAAGGCACGGCTTCTCATTGGCCCTGGAAACAATGCCGACAGCCAAAACGGATGTTCAGCTTCCAAAAAACATTCGCAAACCAGAACACTTACTTCCAGGTTTGCGGCATTTGGGAGCCGATTTGTTCATCAACTAAGCTTTTTGGGAACCAAGATACCACTGTATTTAAAAAATAAGCTACCATACTTGGTACTGAAGTAATGAACTGAGTTGTATTTTTTGAACTCTTTTTCCTCCCTCAGAGAGAAACTCAGCTGCAGAAGATGACCAGGAACAGCCGTCTCAAGATAGAGAGTTGCTGCTTTAGTTAGTGACCTCTCAATTGTCCTCATTTATTGGGCTGTTGTTCATTTTCATCTATTTTTTCATGCATTCTGTTTCAGGCCCTACTACCCATCCCCATGAGAAAAAGATGCAAAGCTCCAAGTGCCTTATGACAGGTGACTTTGAGTCCCTGTCCCCCTCCCTTTTCTCAAATCTGAAATCTACTTAGTTTGGTTATCAACCACCAGACACATAAATTGCTCTAATTGTTCTTCAACAGCTGCCTTTGCAACAACATAACCATAGACTAATTTGTGTCATACTTATGAAAATAAGGAATAATCCCTTGTACAGCCACTTTGAGTTCTGAGGAGGAGACAGGATATCTATGTAATAAATAAAAGCAGTACTGAACAACTAAATTTAAGTCTCTGTGATCATACATACCAGACACAAGACTTCACTCCAATTTGCAGGTTCAACTGAAACTGAAATAAACGAACATACAGAAGATACATGGGCATCTGGTTAGCCATTGTGAGAACAGAATGCCTGGCCTTATCTAGCAGGCTGCTCTGCTCTAACACCGTGAACTCTAAATCCCCTTGCCAACTTATTTTTGTGCAGACAGACTGAACCCTAATGTAGTAGAGCATCCAGAAGTCTACTGTAAGACCCAATGTTCTTTTCTTGAGAAATATTATTAAAGGTAAAACATTTATATGATTTGCAAGCCAAAAACAGAAACTGCCATTCTCTTGCAGCGCTACTGGGAAAGCAGCAATGGCTTCTCTAGTTATGCATTCAGCATATAAACACACTATTGAATACTTCATAGCTTTACAGTTATATAAAGGGATTTTTGAAGTAATACAGCTCTTTAAGAGAAATTAAGGAGCAATCGTATGCTTAAGCCCATTGATTTCAGATACGGCTAGTTTTGTATAGGATTTGGCTGCTCTTTTCCTGAAGTGTACTTTAGCACAATGGATAGTATGTATGCTTACAAATCAGGCCTATCTACTTCATAGAGATGGAGATAAAATGTTGAAACTTCATATCAGTTGTTTCCCAACTCCTAGCTCTCTTCTCTTGGAAAACATGCTATGCCATTAGCATCTCCTTAGCCACTTTGTATGCCTTAGATCTTAGGAATCAATTAACACTTGCATGCAGTAATGACACCCTAAATTCACTTTATAATTGGCAATGCCAGTAGACAAAATTAGCAGCCTCCTTCCCATCCTTTGAAAGCTACACTGATACATCCATGCATATATCAGACTTTTCCTCATAGGGTGTAAGCACATACCGTATATAAATAAACACACACACACACACACTTGTTTAACACTTTGGGGAAGGATACTGAAGCATACCCACACACTACTTTGCTCTTGAGTAGTCCAAATAGGTGCAAATTTTAAACTTCACAGTTACAATGAAATGGCCCAAACAGTTGACACTTTTTGCCATTCTACTGATAAAATGCAAAAACTCAGAAAGGCAGAAATTAATTTCCATTTCAGAACAGACTGACACTAATTGATTTTATTCTGTGAATCGCCCTGAGACCTCTGGGTACAGGGCAGTATATAAATTCAATAAATAAATAATAATTGTAAAGATTTTTGTAGACTTTTTTCAAAATAATAGCCATCAGAGATAGTTTTCTTTTAAGCACATGATTAATGCATAAAGCCAATAAAATTGTTTAACACTGACAGATTTCAATACCAGTGTTTGACCAGTTTCAGAAGTCATAAATGGAATTCTTGCCTCTACAGGAATGAAGACTATCACAGTCCAACACATTGATTATGGTCATTGTCCATTTGCAACATTTATAACAGGAACAGCCAGGAGCTGCGTACTCTCATGTCTGCGTGAGAAAATACCCAGACCTCCCAGGGACTAATAACATTTGGTACTATATGGGCCTAGGTTGTTAAATTGCACACATGAGGGTAGTGTTCCCCTCCACGAAGCCTTTGAAGAGCAGCAGTTGAAATAGCCACAGTAGCGAAGGAGTGGAGTCCTTTCTATCCAAGTTGGCTACCTTGGTCTTGTCAGGCAGAAAAGCTGGGTATAAATATTTTACATAAATCCACAATGTTTTTAAAACTTTTATTTATGAAGCTTTAACAGCCTTTATACACACATTGCACAGTATCCATCACTTATCTCTTTTCCCGACTTCCCAATCCATCTCTCTTGTAGGTTAAATTGTATATTGTACCCTCTAAGATAATCTCCAAAATACCTCCACTCTACTCTTCTCTTTAACTCATCCTTATTCCTTAGTTTTGCAGTCAAGGTTACTAATTCTACATATTCTATCAGTTTGCTTTACCAAGTTTCCTTTGTGGGTATCTCTACTTCTTTCCATTTTTTTGCATATACTATTCTAGCTGCAGCGATTGTGTGCAGAAAGATATTGAGTGCCTTTTTTTGGAATGCCATCACCTATTATCCCTAACAGGAAGGCCTCTAGTCTTTTGGGAAATGTGAATTTTAAAATCTTTAATTATTCTTTAGAGCAGGCATCCCCAAACTCAGCCCTCCAGCTGTTTTGGGACTACAATTCCCATAATCCCTGACCACTAGTCCTGTTAGCTAGGGATGATGGGAGTTGTAGTCCCAAAACAGCTGGAGGGCCGAGTTTGGGGATGCCTGCTCTAGAGTATTTACACAACCACCACATATGAATCAGGGTTCCCTCTACCTCGTGGCACTTCCAGCATAAATTAGACCCTTTTTTATACATTTTCACTAATTTGTTGGGTTGTCAAGTACCACTGGTACAGCATCTTTTGTAGGTTTTCCTTAATAAGTTAACAGGCAGAAAAATTCATGGTTTTCCCCACATAATTTTTCCCATGTGGACAATTCTATGTTGCAACCAATATCTATGGCCCATTTTGTCATTGTCGCCTTTACCATCTCATCTTTGGTCTCCCACTCCAATAACACTTTATAAATTTTTGAGATTACCAGTAATTTATCATCCTTTCCTAATACATTTTTTTCAAATTCTGAACTCATTTCCGCCAATCCCTTTTCCTTATCTCTTTTAAATACTCATTCCCCTGAAAATACTGAAACCAATCTATAGTATGACCCCAAATCTCTTCTCCTTTTTTTAGGTGAACTCCTCCTTCTTTAAACTTTATAAGTGGCCCATTAGTCTATATTCAACCTTTTCACTGAGACCACCTCAGTTGGGGATATCCATTTTTGGGGTTTTCTCTCTAAAAAATCTTTGTGTCGCTGCCAAACCGTGTACATACTTCTTATGACATGGTTTTGGAAACCTTTGTGCACCCTTGATTTGTCGTAATGCAGATATGCCTGCCATTCAAAGTGTAGATCAAAACCTTCTAGGTCTAAAATGTTGGTATCTCTTAGCTCCATCTATTCTTTCATCCAACAAAGACACGCTGCCTCATAATAAAATCTAAGGTCTGGAAGGGCAAAGTCCCCTCTTTCTCTTACATCTGTCAGATTTGTATACTTAATTCGGGTTTTCCCCCTACCAAATGAAGTTTGTCACGTCCTATTTTCACATTTTGAAACAGTTTGGGCTATTACCACGAGTGTTTGAAATAAGAAGATCATCTTGGGCAAAACATTCATTTTGACTGCGGATATTCTTCCTAACAAAGGTTCAGTCTAGTCCATTTTTCTAGATTCTTTTTATTTCATTCCAGATTTTAACATAGTTATCCTGAAAAAGGTTTAAATTCTTAGCTGATATCCATATCCCCAAATATTTTTCTGTTTTAATTCCCATCATATTCTCAAGTCTTTCTATTGCCTGTAAGTCTAATTTTTTTACTATTATTTTTGTATTTTCCTTATTTATATAGAATCCTGCCAAGTTGCCAAATTTTGTTATAGTTTCTATTGCCCTTGGGACGCTTTCCATCGAATTTTCCAACATCAACACGTCGTCCGCAAAGGCCTTCACTTTGTATTCTCTCTGCCCAACCTTAATTCCTGTTATTTCATCATTTTTCGTATTTCTCTAGTTAACACTTCTAATATGTATTAGGATAAACAACAGTGGCAACAGGGGGCATCCCTGCCTTGTCCTCTTCTTGATGCTACTTTTTTCTGTGACATTACTATTATTAAGCTCGCCTATTGCTCTGTGTATACTGCATTTATCCCATTAGAGAATATGGCATTCAGAACAGCATTCTCCACTAATTTCCTCAGGAAGACCCAGAACACATTGTCAAAGGCCTTTTCAGCATATAGGAATATTAGTGCTGCTTCTTTTTCATTTCTTTTTTCTAAGTATTTGATCACATTTCTAGTATTATTCCTTGGTAAAAAAAACCTGCTTGATCCTCATGAATTCTAGAACCACCATCAGCTTTTTTGCCATTATTGCGGTGTATAACTTATAATCATTGTTCAGTAAGGAGATCAGCCTGTAGTTCTTGGGTTGGAGTATATCCTGATCTTGTTTGGGGATTAGAGTAATGTAAACGTTCTTCTACGATGTTGGCATTGTTCTCCCTTGTAATCTTTCATTCATAAGATCTTTAAGGGGCGTGGTAATGTTTCTCTTAATGTTTTCAGGGACGCGGACTTATAAAAAATATTGGGGGGGGGCGGGAAAGCTCATGAATAATAAATAAGCTCATGAATATGCAAATAAAGTGGCACCGCCTCCTCGTGATTGAATAGGGGAGAGCGTGCTGCGCCTATTAATCAGCTCCAAAGGAAATTGGGTGGAGCTTTTGCTCGGGAGGGAGGGCAGGAGGCATGCAGCCCGCCCCTCCCTGTGCATTTTGGGCTGGGGGAGGGGCGGCGATGGCGCTCTGCTGGAGGGGCGCCGGAGATTATTGGGGGGGCGGAGCCCCCCCAAACGAATTTTTGAGGGGGCTCGGGCCCCCTCAAGCCCCATGGAGTCGGCGCCTATGAATGTTTTATAATATGCGACTGAAAGTCCGTCCAGACCAGGTGGTTTGCCAGACTTTGCCTGCTTGATAGGTACATCTGTTTCTATCATTGAGATGGGGGCATTCAGACTATCTACTTGGTCCTTTGTTAGCTGTGGTAGATAACATTTTTGCAAATATTCTTCTATGCCTTTCTCACTCTCCTTTCCATTCACATACAAAGTCGAGTAGTATCTTAAAATTTCTTTTCTGAATTCTTTTTGGTTATATACCCTCTCCCCTACCATTATATTGGGGGTTTTCTCCCTTTGAAGCTGCCACGCTAGTAACTTTCCCAGCTTATTGGCAAACTCAAATTGTTTTTGTTTTAAAGCTTTTTAGTCGTTGCTCTATTTCATTCTTTGTGATCATGGCAAATTGCGTTTGTAGTATTTTCAGTTTCTGAATACAAACTTTATCACCTAGTTTGTCCTCTAATATTTTTTCATAACACATCATTTCCTTCAAAATTCTTTTTCTTCCTCTTTTCTTTCTATAAAATGCATTTTGTTGAATAAAGAAGCCTCTTACAACCACATTACCAGCATATCACATCCTGATCCATTCCTTTACTGGTGTTCCTTGGTTGTTTTATTGTTTTCTGTCAACACCACCGCATTAAGTCCTCTAATATTATTATCTCATTACATCTTTCAAATAATTTGCCTTCCAGCTCTCTATAGCAGTGTTTCCCAACCGGTGTTCCGCGGCACACTAGTGTGCCGTGAGACACCGGCTGGTGTGCCGTGGGAGGGAGGCGGGCGAGTCGGGCGGCGAGAGGCGGGGCGGCGGCGGCGAGCACACGCGGGGCGGCGAGCGAGCGAGCTCCCACATCCCATCGCCGCTCGCTTCGGCCGGCCTACTGGAGGAAGGCGCGAAAACCCGGCGGGCTTTTGGGTGGGCGCCAAGCAAGAAAGGCGGGAAGGCTCTGGTCCCTCCCCTCCCGGCGGGGCTCCCGCACGCACCTTTCTGCGCCGCCGCGTCCCGCCTGAGCAGCAACAGGAGGAGGAGGAGGGAGGCCAGCGCCGGCCGGGTCCCCCGGGGGAGCGGGCGCTCCGGGCTGCTCACCATACCCCGCGTCTCGGGCGCAGCAGCCGGCAGTCCGAATGCATCCCGAGCCGCGCTGCTCTCGCCTTGCCTCCTTCTTCGCGCCTCCTCCCGGCTCGCGCGCCGTCCCTGCGCGGATCCGTCCAGCCTCCGGCCGCCGCCGCCGCCCCCTCCTCTTCCTCTCCTTCCCCCACCCACCAACCCGCACGGCGCGCTCCCACCGCCCCCGATGGGCGCAACCACTTCCGGGTCCGCTGCAGCCGCCCCTTCCCCGCCTCCGGCAGCCGAAAGTCCCCCAGCGGAGCCCGTCTGGCCGCTCCCCCCGCTCCCTGCCCACCTCCCGGTGTTGAGGCGCCCTCTTTCATTGCTTCGCGGGGAGGGAAAAAACTTTGACTTTTGTGCGTCCCTCCCGGCGTGACGCTGCGCGCTGACGTCACGGGGCGGGGCTTTAATGGTGGTGTGCCGCGAGATTTTTTTCCGGTAAACAGGTGTGCCGTTGCCCAAAAACGTTTGGGAAACACTGCTCTATAGAACTCCAGTATTTTTTCAAATTTAACTAGCCTACAAGGTGATTAGCTCCACTTTCTACACATACCTGTGTTAGTAATTTTTTTATACAACCTGGAAAAAGGTCAGATGAATTCAATCTTGTCCTCTTCCAGTTGTTCCATTAGCAAAAATGGTAGAGTACAGAAGTTTTGACTAGCGTTGACCAGCCACATTTTTCCAGAACCCCTGAACATTTCTCATAAATAGGGACCATCTTTCCTTAAAGTTCAACCAAAATAGAAACAACCTTGACTGTCATCACAACCTAGCTGGACTAGGATTGCCTACTGTGTTCAAGTTACAGTCCTAAACATTCTTCCCATGGTCCTGTAAATATTTAAGGACGGGGGGGGGGCAAAGATTCACTAAGTTCAATAGACTTCCTCTAGTAAGTATACTAGTCAGTACAATGCTGCCATCCTCTGAAACAAAACCAGTTGAAAACCAAGATAAAAGGCCAGATTCAGCTAAATAGTTGTGCTAGCGCAACAAGTCACGTTAATAGGAAGATGGGAAACTGGTTTACCTGGCAAGCAGAAATCTTTGCAATGACTGAAACATAACAGCACAATGCTGAACTCTTCCCATAGTATTTCTAAGTAAAATATGTTTATAACCAGTCTTACTGACAAATCTCAAATTCTCTTTTAGATGTAATAGATAAGGTTGAAAGTAAGCAAGCTGTCCTTACCAAGTTGTTGCTCTCCAAGCCAGAGATATACAATCCAACATATACAAGTGGCCTCCAAGAACAGCAGAAGACCTGAAGAACACACTTCAAACCCCTCACAATACAGGACTTAATGCATTCAGAAATATTTATTTATAAACTGCTTCAATTACTGATTATTTATATTTTAAAAAGTCTCAAACAGCAAAACCAGTTCAAGATTCACTGGATTGCATTCAATGTTAACATTTCAAAAGTATTTAGTGAAATACTTTATTTACACTAGAAAAATGTACAAGCTTACCAAGAGACACCAAAGCAACTCTTCTTCTTAGCCTTCAGTTGTGAAGAGGAGCAATGGTCCCAGAAACATCACATTCTGGCAGAGTACTTTCCTTTGCCTGCATAAAGGATAGCACCCTCTCCCCAAAACAGGGAACCCTCAAACAAGATAGGATGAACCTTCTGCTTGCATTTTAAATACAGTTAACAGCAAACCAAAGAAGTGACAGACAAATAGAGAGGGAAGAAATTCATTTAACAAGTGGGTAACTACTGAAGTGGCCGCTTATTCAGATGCTTGCTGGCTTGTTCTTCCATCTGCATGGCAAGGGTTAGTTCTTCCAGAGTGTCTATGGAAGAGGAAGGACAGAGAAGATAGACGTCAGCATGAGATCCCTTTGAGGGGCATCCAGAAAACAAAAAAAGAAACACACATCTAGACACTCCATTTCTTTCTTTCTGACCACTCTTGTGGCAGCAACAGGATCCAGCCAGCAGGCAAGAGCCTGAGTTCCCTTAGCAGAACGAACCATTTTGACAAGAGGGCGAGGCCCAGATGTCAATCACCTGACACCCCACTTCAAAGCTGGGCTGCAAAGAACAATACCCAAGGGCCTTGCTCTAATTGTCAATCAGCTGATTGGAGCTTACAGCAAGTCCTGTTTTGGGCAGGGATCAACAGCACTATGGAGTTCCTATTTGGAATTCAGATTGTGCAGCCAGTCTCTCCAGGACTTGCTGTCAGCCATTGCTGTCTTGTCCCATTCAAGTATATGAAAAATATCTTGTGGCAAAATAGCATTGTGTATGACTGAAAACAAAAGTGAAACTAATTTTTTGCCTCAGGATTGTAATGTTTGCAAAGAGAGCCACCTAGTGAATGCTTTGTAAAATGCCTATTCCTTTAGTTCTGGAAAATCACAGTACAGTGTAGGGGTTATCAACATTTTGGGGCCCCATGGGCACATTTGGAAAACTGAGGAACACTCCACAGCAATGCATGAACCCACCCCAGTGCAACTGCCTCACTCAGTAACAGTGCAACCTCTTACATTCCACACCCCACATTCCACGCCCCACACTGAACACTTCTCTTACAAGGACAGCATTCCAGAATTAAACAGCTCCATACTGACCCCCCCACTCCAAGGATGTGCACTAAGAGGACAGTGGTGATTCTCTTCCTGCCTGTGGCAATGTATTCCTGGGAATCACACACCATGTGTTTAACCAGTCCAATAGTCAAACCACGGTATTGCCCACCAACTCTACACTTTAGCACAACAAAGCTCCTTATCAAAGCGGAAAGAAAGTACAGTATAGAGGTGCGCAAATGGCAAGTTGTAAGAAAGCATAATTTATTACACTGCACATTATTGTTGATCACTGGGTATGTCTGTTAAAGGCACTAACCTTAGCTTTGAATTTTTGAAGTTTTACGGAGCTTGAGTCAACATGACATGGTTTTAAGTCCAGAATTAAAATCAATTAATACACGCAGCTAATCTTTTGTAAGGGAGGCAGGCACAATGCGATAGTTACCTAAACTCTACCTGAAATTTCCATTCCTATATCCGTCTCTCATGCAATCAGTTTGGCAGAAGGCCATCTCTATTTTATCTTTCTACTATTTCTTTTTTTATTTTATTTTTTATACTTATACATCATACAAACAAACACTGAATAAAATGAACAAATAATACAAAACAGAAGAAAACACAAAAACAAAATTACAAGGATATAAGCATAATAACAAATTACAATTGCAAAAAAGAAAAGAAAAAAGTGACTTCCAACTAACTCCATGATTCCAACTAACTGTAATGATTAAATTTTGGAGAAATATTTTAATTACCTGTGAGATTTTTATTCCAAGCTAAACCAAGTATGGCTCTGGGAATCAGTTATCTTCATATAATTTATAAAGACTTCCCACTCTCTCCTTATTGTCTCATTAGAATAATTTCTTATTAAACCTGTAAGTTTGGCCAGTTCAATATATTCTGACATCTTAAGAACTCATTCTTCTTTTGTTGGTGTTATGCTACTGTCAGGGGTTCAGGAGCAGAGGCAAGGGCAAGGGAGGAAACAGAGAGTGAGGGGGAGGAGGCAGAAGAGAAAATGAGTGATGACGACGACCCGAGATCTCCGAGTCTTTCCAGTGAATCAGACGATTCACAGAAAGGAGCACCAGTGGCCAGGGCAAGGGGGGAGACTAGGGGGACACCCCAGGAAGAAAGGGCCAGAGGGGGCTCAGAGGGGAGCAGTGGGAAATCGGGACCAGCGTCACCCACAGAGAGCAGGGGAGAGGAAGGGCGCCAGGTATCAAGCGCTGGTAGCTCACAACAGGAGGGAGGGCACGAGTCAGGAGTGGCCACACCTCCATCGGGGAGCGAAGAAACGGTCAGACGGAAAGTGGAAGGTTGGGCGCGCGCGCCAAGTTCAAATGCACAGGAAGGTGGCGCAGTGAGCAGCCCGGAAAGGGAGCCAGGTCCTAAAGCCCGACGCAAGGAGACAGAAGGGTCCGGGGGGTCAGCGTCAGAAGAGTCCCGGAAGGAAGAGACCCCGGGGGGCAGAGGGACCCAGAGAAGAACAGTCAGGCGGAAAAGGTGGAGTAAGGCTAGGGTATTAAGTTGGTGTACAGGGGGCGGAGACTCAGACGGAGCTTCGCCGGTCTAGCCCTTAAGACGTAGAGTTGCGCGCAGCAGCTTGAGAATGGAAACTGTAACTCAATAAAAGACTTTTACAAGTGACCGCTGGCTAGCGTGATCCTCTGTGAGCTAGGATCTGGAAGCAGCTCTGACAGTTACGTTTCCAATGTTTAGCAGTTACTATCCTGGCCGTCGTTACTGCATACAAAAATATTCCTTTGGTTTCTTTTGGGATGTCTGTTGTTAATAGGCCCAATAAAAACATTTCCAGTTTTTTGGGGAAAGTATGTATTAACATTTTCTTAAATTCATCATAAATTGTATCCCATTTTTTTTAAATTTTAGGGCACGTCCACCACATATGGAAGAAATTCCCTTCTTTGAGTTTACACCTCCAACATTCTCCACTGGTGTTTTGGTACATTTTAGCCAATTTCGAGGGTATAAGGTACTATCTGTACATAATTTTTTTTAAATTATTTTATTGTATAATATGCTATAAATCTTATGTCTCTTTTCATAAATTTTCTCATTTTTCTAATTAAATTGTATGACCCGAGCTCTTGTGCCCATCTGACCATTACATCTTTAACTTCTTCATCTCTTAAACTATTTCATTCATGCCTTTTGCCTAGAATAGAAGTCTTTCTATTCAAACCATTTTAAGTCTCCACACATCATCTGATTCTATGCAGTACAGGTAGCAACTGCTTTGCAGGCAGTCAACTGACGCGCGAGTCCTTTTGGACCTGAAAAAGGGCATAACGGGGGCAGGCTTATACGTGCTCCACCTATGCACGTGGGGGCCAGGAAGGCAACCCTCACGCAAATTGAGAGTTGCCTGTACTTTCTGGACAACCCTAGCTGTCCAGACATTTTACCTTCTCCTTTCCTTACCACTAATCATAGTAAAGCCTTATATCTCTCCCCAGCCATCATCTTATGTGGCAAGCAATTTTGGATAGCAGCTACATTGCTTCTATATTCTATGCAGTGTTTAACATACAAATGGCAGTTTTCGTAGCATAGCTGAACATCCTGTCACAGGGAAGTTGAAAAGCCAACTCCCAAAAGCACCAAGCATTTTAATTTCTATGCACTTCCTGCAGTGTGTTAGTGAAATACAGCACCCTCCAGTACCTTTCAGGCGGAGGAAATTTTTGGATCCTTCATTTACGAAGCACTGGGCTTGATACACAAATGCCTCCAGGTCATATTCTGGTTGTTCCGCAATATCCAGGAGACAGTTGCAGTCGTTCATTTTCTGAGTACGAAAGGTGAGAAAAGTTAGTTTCTCTTACATTTATGGAACAAACTCATGTTACTGGAAATATTGGCTTAAAATTTGCACTGAAATATTGTTGCATGCTACTTGATCTAGGATAAGCATCATTGGACTACTGCAATGCACTCTACGTGGGGCTACCTTTGAAGGTGACCCGGAAACTGCAATTAATCCAGAATGCGGCAGCTAGACTGGTGACTGGGAGTGGCCGCCAGGACCACATAACACCGGTCCTGAGAGATCTGCATTGGCTCCCAGTACGTTTCCGAGCACAATTCAAAGTGTTGATGCTGACCTTTAAAGCCCTGAACGGCCTCGGTCCTGTATACCTGAAGGAGCATCTCCACCCCCATCGTTCAGCCCAGACACTGAGATCCAGCGCCGAGGGCCTTCTGGCGGTTCCTTCATTGCGAGAAGTGAGGTTACAGGGAACCAGACAGAGGGCCTTCTCAGTAGTGGCGCCCACCCTGTGGAACACCCTCCCTTCAGATGTGAAGGAAATAAGCAGCTATCCTATCTTTAAAAGATATCTGAAGGCAGCCCTGTTCAGGGAAGTTTTTAATATTTAACGCTGTATTGTTTTTAACACTCGATTGGGAGCTGCCCAGAGTGGCTGGGGAAACTCAGCCAGATGGGCAGGGTATAAATAATAAATTATTCTTATTATTCAGAGTCACAATTTCAGTTCTTCAACAGTACAAGCCACTTGAACCCAGAGACTATCAAGAATGATTTGGTGCACTACCCACCAATACATACCTCCCTGACATCCTTAAGCTCCTCTATTGCCTTCTCCTCAAGCTCACTTATCCGGGTGACAGCCTCACGGAAACTGGACAGATGAGACAGCTCATCATCAGAAAGCTGTTGTTTTGACAAGAGAAAGTATTAGCACAGCCTCACTAAGCTCTACTCGCCAAACAGATTGCCCTCCCGTTCAGCACATGCAAACCTCATGAAGGTGGGCCGATTCTTCCTCACTGATATCCACCTCTTCATTTTCGGTTTCCATGCAGTTCTGTGCTTCTCCAGCTGTTCCATTGTGAGGGAGCTCCTTCACTCTGAGAACAGAAGGGAAGAATCCAGCCTTGGTAAAGCACTTAATGGCCTGTATACAACACAGGTGAAGCCTGAGGATGGAACTCTTCCAGTCATTCTGTCTGCGCAAGCATTCCAGCTTGCTAGACAGAACAATACCCCCTCCCCCCACACCCTGTTCTAGAGATTCTCCCAACCCCCACAAGCTGATTAATTGGGGGCCACAGAGGGGAGGACAGGGGGAACGCCCAGTTGCACAAGCTGAAGCTCATGTGTAGGGCTTCCACTGGTGGTGCTTGTTAGATGAATCCCACCCTTGAAGTGAAAGCCTGAGGCCATTTGAAAACTGCAATTCTAAAACAGTTTTTCCTTCCACAAATACATTATGACTAAGATCCACTTGTATGACCAACAATTTACCCCAGTATTAAGGATGAGATTTGTAAGTCTAGAAATCACTCACCTATCAGCATACCGCAAGGTATTTAGGGTATATTCACAGGAATTCATGCCTGGGGAGATCATTGCAATCTGAAAGCAAATAAAAAAATTAGCCACCCATATTCATCTCTTACTTACTATACAATTACAGTCACTCACATCCATCCAGCCTGCAATGCTGTCCCAGCAGTTCTGCTTCACTGATCCCATCAACAATGAAGCACCTTAAGTTTTCTTGCACCTTCATCGTATTTACTTGGAATTTAGACTCCACAGAAATCTATAGGCTTTTTCCAAGCAAACATGTTCAGGTTGTCACCTTAATGCAACTAAGACCCTGAAGGAGAGCAATTTTAACATCTGTATGTTGATAAGCTTTGCTCTAGATTGCAACATACCGGCTCATGAACCAGTGCAACAAAAATATTTGATCAGGAAGCTTGTTTTGGCTTTCTGCATAAATCAAGAACTGGGTATAATTTTCTTAAGATACACTGGCATAGCTATTTTACTTGTTACTGGAAACAAAATAAGTTTCAGCAAGTTCCTGCCATTTCTGAGATCACAAGGCCAGCTATTTAACTTACCATACAGGTTCTGGAATTTGCTCCAATGAAGGAATCCCTCAGCACTTGGGTAAGTTTGCTCTCCCGAAAAGGTGTGTGTTGTTTATTCTGACCTAGAGCGCGGATACATTCCTGGTGATAGGAGGGGAAATAGTCATATTTGAACAGCGTTTAAGATCATCACCATCATGGCTATAGCTAAACACTTTGTTTACCTTAAGTAGAACCTAGTGGACTTCTAAGCACTTAGTTAGGATTGCACAGTAGGATGTGGCTCCAGATGTTGCTGACTCCCAACTCCCATCATCCCTGGCCATGTTAGCTGGGCTTGATGGGAATTAGAAGTCTAACATCACCTGATAGGCAATGGGCTCCCCACCTTTGAAGAAAAGGTTGCAAGAAATCCTGCAGTGTGTCAAGACTGCCCTGCTCTAGGTAACTATGAAATATTATCACAGGTACACTTAAAACTTCTGTTTGCCTTGTTCTTTAGATAGTAGACAAAAAATGTGCAGTACTCATCACCTACAGCCCCTCAAGAAAAGCAGTTATATATTACTTTGCAGTGATTATCTAAAATGATCGAAGCAGAAACATTCATTTGTTGCGAGACATTATTTCTCAGTGAGGGGAGGGGAAACAAAACAGGGAGAGAGGTGACTGTCTTCTTGCCGAGGATATAGCAAGAAACATACCAGTGAAGCTGAAAGAGTATGCTGGTTTGTGATACCGGTATTCAACGGTATGACAATTTATCGCACTGACCTAGACTACACTACAATACCATCCGCCTAGTTGCAGCCAAACTCTTTAAACTTTCTACTAAAATGCCAACAGGATGTTTATTGAAAACTAACTTATCTTCAGGAAAAATCACAAATAGCTTCTAATCTTTTTTGAACCACTTGATCAAATCAAACTTTTATAGAGTTAGAATTGGAAGGAGGTTCAAGAGGCATTTTAATTTAACTTCCAGATAGCGGTAACCAATATAGACACTGCAGTTTGGCATTTTTGTATCTGTCTATGCAAGTCAGTTGCAATGCTCAGGCTTCTGGTGAGCTTCTAATATAGCTTTCCATGCTGAATGTTGCTGAGCTCCTTTTCACAAATTATTCCTAGTCCTCTCATTCTTCAGTGGCCATTCTACAAGCTCCCCAAACAGCTCTGTCATAACTAACTGGTTTAGCAAGTGTCTTCTATAATAAGAGTTGCAAATCTGTCTCCATACATCTTGAGTCGGTTTGTCCAAGTCTGCAGAACTGAACAGGAAAATAAACAGTGCTAAAGAGGCTGGTAGTAAGTAGCCCAGTCCTGGATTTATGCCACCAGCTGTCTATTCTGCTCGTCTAAAACTGCCACGAACTCTTATTGCCTGTGCCACGGAGTTACACTGTACCTTCAGTGCTAGCAAGCTCTTGTTTATTTCTGCTGCTTCCAACCGTGTCTGCCGATCATTGCTGGAGGTATCAGCACCTCGTTCATTCCCAGCCAAGTCCACTAAGGAGAACTTGCCATGAAGTTTTCGTTTTCTGCGCAGAATAATTTGAAAACAAGCATGGGAACGCGAGGAGCTGGCATTTGCAAATGTATGCCCAGATGTCCTACAACAGAGATAATAGTGTTCATTAGATCATGGGTATGAAATATAATTATATACCAACTGTTCCGTATCTTCACCTCAGAATATGTCAGTATAACTTGTGTTGTCTGTACCTTATCTGTTATGTTCCAATTAATGCTTCTACTTCCAAGTCTAATGTGAATTTTATATATTAAAAGGATACTAGCCTTTGCAGTATCTGCATGGATCTAAGCATGGGGTCTCCAACCAGGCACCCATATGAATTATGGCAGACATCCATCCCACTTGGTGTCCACCAAGCCCCTCTGCCCCTCCCTAGTGGGAGTGTTTTGGGGAGGTTGCCTGATTTTTATTTGATGGAGGAAGAGTCTGAGCATTACCAGTTTTTCTTCTGTCATGTCTTCAGGAGTTTTAGATTTTTAAATCTGCCCTGGAGCCCAAAAAGGTTGGAGACAATGCCTAATGTCTCAATTGGTTGATTTTTGCCTGGTTGATTGATTTTTGTTGTTGTTCTTATGATGTACCGTATTTTTCGCTCTATAGGGCGCACCGGCCCGTAGGGCGCACCTAGTTTTTTTTGGGGGGGGTGGATAAAGAAAAAAAATGTATTTCCCCTCCCCCCAGGCACGGGGCTGGGGCAGGGGAAGGGGAAGCCCAAGCTTCCCCCGACCCCAGAACAGGCTGCTATCCACAACCCTTCAGAGCCCGGCGGGAACTCCCGCCGCGCTCAGAAGGCTTGCGGATATCTGCCCGAAGCCCGGGGTGCGCTGCAAAGTGCTCCCCATGCTTTGGGAAGCAGGCTGCTATCCGCAAGCCTTCGGAGCGCGGCGGGCACTCCCGCCGCGCTCCGAAGGCTTGCGGATAGCTTCCTGAAGCCTGCATTTGCTCCATAGGACGCACATACATTTCCCCTTCATTTTTGGAGGGGGAAAAGTGCGTCCTATAGAGCGAAAAATACGGTATTTTGTGCTTTAATATTGTATTTTTATGTTGTGAACCACCCTGAGATTTGCTAATGAAGGACAGTATACAAATTTTAAGTAGTAGAAGTAGTAGTAGTTCAGTGTTTTGGTGTTCTGGTGACATGAATGACTCTTCCTTCACAGTCCCCAGTCACTTTCTCCGAACTCTCCACATCTATGAATCTCTTTCCCTAGGAATTGCTTTTGTATCAATAAAAAGCCCCTAAGGTTTCAAAGACTGGAGAAAAATAGTGAGTTTATAATAAAAGCAGGTTAATTTAGAACATGCAAGTTCAGTTTTACTGGTGCAAAATTTAGGTTCCTATACAGCTCTTCTTGTTTTACCACCAGAAGACTAAAGGCTATGGATAGTCCCCACCCTTTCTTGCAAACTGTCTTCTGAGTAAAGGTAAAACCGATTATATATTGTCAACTGCTCCTTTTCCCTAAGAGTTAAGTGGGACATGATAAATGGCCAGATCTACACCCTGCATTAATATTAAGCATGCAGCACAACCAACCTGCAGGCACTGCCTATCTCAATCATCCGGATAACATCCTCAGCACAGTTCACTTGCATTTCTTGCAGGCCAACGACCTGAACCTGCTGTTTGCCATCCTCCAGCACTCGCAGCTTTGCTTTTTTGTTTAAGAGATCGAATAGCTGGATTGGAAAAGAGGGAAATACAGAAAGTTGCAGAAAGATCAGGTGCTGCAGGGTAGCATTTGAGAAAGCTGCTTAAAAAGGTCTCACATATTTTTAAAATCCTCCTGAAAGCCTCAACATAAAGCTTTCCAATAAAGAAGGGTACAATACATTTATGCATAATGGACTGGAATGTCACTGCAAACTCCCCACGGCTAGGAACCGTATGCCAAGCACCACAAAGATCCAATGACACCACATTTCCCATGAATGTAGAGACTGGACTAAGTATTAAAATGAAGAAACTAACGCATGCAAACAGAGGAGTGGCTTAAGAGGAGCTCAAACCTCTCTCCCAAGAGCCTGCATTTTCTTAGGGATGTTCACCCTCATAACTGGTGATGGTCAGATTTTCTTTATGTAACTTGTGGTGTGGCCTCAAGAGCAGCGGGTATATCACATCACATCCCTCTTCTCAGGTTAAGAAGACTTGTTTGATTCACCCAAGTGAACATTAATGCCCAGTGCAAGACCATGCAATGTAGTGAAGTGCTCTGCTCTTAAAATGTCTCAAATATTTCCATTTAGCAGTGTTTAAGATTATACAAACTGTAACAAAGCTGTAACCCTAAGTCTAAAATGGCTTATAATGAGAAGACACCTCTCACCACTGCTAGGCTACCCCAGCTGCAGAAGGGGGATGTTAGTCTAATACTCCCTGCCATCACCAGATTATATATAGAAGATACCAACTCATCTCCAGCACACTCAGATATGAAGAATATTTAAAAATACACATGGCCTCACCTTTCCATTATATATTTCAAAGAAAGTCACGTACACTTCCAGACCTAGTGCCTTGTATCTTGGCTGGTTCTGAAGAAGGAAGACATCCTGTGCTGGTAAGGGAAAGACATTTACAGGACAATTATCAAGAGCTCTATGTGCTTTGGGGTCCTTTCTAGAAGTTCTTTTACAGCTTATAAAGTGGTTATCTAAAGCATTTACTGTGGACATTAGTACTTAATGTATACCATTTAACCAGAAGTTTAATTGGAAGAGCAGGCTTCACACAGACCTTGCATATTACAATCTATTTTTCCTTATGTTTCCAACTTTTAAATAAAATTCAAATGAAAATGGTACATACATGCAAAAGCATATATTCCTTTAGAGGCCTTCTGCACTTTCCCAGAGAAGTCACCTCCCATAGTCTAGAAAGAGAAAATATATTAAGAGACAGGTTTTCAGCCGTTATAAGGGAATCTATTTTCTGCAACTTTGATTACAGTATTTGCAAGCACAGAAAATCAATGTTTAAAAGCAGTGGAATTCAGTCTCTGCAGGATCATGCAACAGCAGCCCACACCCAAAAGCTCATTTAAAAGCCACATAAGTACAGCAGCTATGGCTATATAGATAAATGCTGTGATAGGGCCTTAAGTTCACCAAGCTAAGTCAGAGTGAAAAAGTTCATTAATATCCTGCAACACATACACACATCCCTCAAGAACAAAACACTTACATGGGTTTTTCCACTTCCAGTCTGACCATAGGCAAAACATGTAGCTTTCCCTCCCTCAAATATGGTCTGCACAAGTGGTCTAGCAGTAAACCTGGTCAAACCATAACAGGAAAATGCAAAATATGAATGAATGAGTGAAACTATCACAGTACAAGTGAATTCTGAAAACTTAAATCCCCATAAAACCATTTACAAGAGCACCCACAAAAATAACTCCATTATAGCTTAATAACTCAAACACTGACAAGATCAGAAGTCTACAAATTTGCTTGATCACAAGAGCATTGCAGGCTGAAGAGAGGTTCCACTAGGCTCAAGAGCTACCTTTCTACACTTTCAGCACTCAAAATATAATGTTGCTTTAGAAGGGGCTATCAGAAGCTCTTGAGTTGCTGAATCCTTTGCTACTATGTATTATCATGCTACTGTTGCATTGGTAAGTTGATGAGGGCTGATTAGCAGTACCGCTATTCTATTCATCTGATTTTGTGTTTTATATCATTTTTTGTAAACTGCTGTGTGACCTTTTTAAAAAAAATTAAAGTGGGATATAGCTGTAGTCCTAGCAAAAAGGATTATGTCTACTCCCTGGGGACAGGAACAATCCCATTAGAGCTGAAGAGTGAGGCACAGGGGTTCTGCCCCTCAAGTTTTACACCTCTGCCTTAGAAAACTTTTTCATCTCAAGTACTTCCATAAGCAGGGATGGGGAACCTCTGACCTGCAGAACACACTTGGCCTGTGAGGCCATTCTGGGCAAGTCTTGCCCACCCTGCACCTAATACCATGCATGGTGTCAGGTATGGGCAGGTAAAGGCAGAGCTTCAAAATAACAATTGGGAGCTTCAAGTGAACTCTCAATTGTTCCATTTTAGCAGCATCGTAAATGGAAACTGCTTCTCCCTCCCAGTGCTACACTTTGAACTTCTGGTTTGGCTCCAAGAGCAGCAGAGACTATTTGAAAGCCCTTTTGCAAACAGTCCCACACAACTTTTCAAACATGCAATGCAAAGGGGCTTTCAAACAGTCCCAACAATCCAGGTTTCATAGCAAAGAATCAACCAACATCATCATGACGTCAGATTTGGCTCACCAGGGGTGGGGAGAAAAAGATCTAGCCTACTGGCCAGAGAAACTTCATCACCTTTGCCGTAAAGGACTTCCCTGTATACCACAAAGACTGATGTTTAAATATTAAGGGGATAAAGTTTCTGCTCCCAACACTGAGAAATAACAGATTTAGGAAAGATAGTTAATATGTTTTATTTCTCAAGTATCAAGGATTTCCGGTTATTTTGCCTAACAACAAAGTGTGATTTTGTGCAATGTATTAATTGATCTTTAGTGTGGATCAGGAGGAATTATTGCAGAGTGTCAGATTTCCAGTGCTGCTTCACCACCTCCCAAGCCCATCACAAGTCCCATGAAGGAGCTCCATGCAGCAGATTCCCCAGGTAAGGATTTCCCACCTATCTGGCAACTTCTGTGCATGAAGTTATAAATGATGCACAGATGAGCTTATACAAGAGGCAATAACGTTTTTTGAAGTGGCATCTGCTGCCTGGAGTGCCTGTATGGGTTAAAATCTTTGACAGCTGCATGAAAGAAGCTTCACATGTGAACTGGCCCTCCACGTCTACTGTCCCATTTGCCAAGTGTCACAACTCTGTACTCTTCATTCACTGCCATTGAAAGGAAAGACATGCATTACCAATAAACCATTTCATTGGAAGCTTTTTCATCAAATGAGAAGTCAAATCGAAAAGCCTGGTTTTCAAGGTATTTCGTCAGATCCACCTTCACCTTTGGTTCATGCACTAGGATGCTGTTCTTGCTGGCAACAGTAATTATATCACACTCTTTCTTCCCAAGTTCTGTTTAGGAAACAAAAGTAGTTCACACTATAAAGTTGAACCCTATTGATCTGCAGTGTTTTGTGGAACTGACAACCTGAGCAGGAAAGCAAAGGTTGAACAACTTGGCATGGGACTTTTAATAGGAGATGAGCAGCACAAGGGAAGCACTGAGGTAGTAAAATGTTAATTGAAAGAATTAAACATTAGAGGGAGTTGACAAACTGTACAAGCATCCTGCTAGAGGTTTGCTAAACAGGTCTTCTGGTATCTTATTCCTCCCTCGTTGGAGCAAAATACATGACATTGTTTTTAAAAGACAATCATTTTCAGCACTAACGAAGTTCCAACTGACAGAAACCTGCCATAATTTCTGCATTGACATACTCCACAGAATCCAGCATAAAGAACAGTGTTGGACCAACCTGTCAATTGTTAAACTCCACAGATGCCACTTTACCTTGTTTATTTAAGGGTCGTTTCCTCACACAGACACAAATTCTATGTTCTTCTATCTTTAAAAAAGGAAAGAAAATTTCACATTAAGACCAGCTCTTTGGCATCTTTATTCACTAAGCTATATCAGAGAAGGTGATGATGGGATACTCTGCAACACCCAACAATATAATGCAATTCCCTAGTATAAGAAAGTTTTAAGAAGTAAGAGTTTTTGTTGCAGTTATAAAGATTTGTAATATCACTGTCAATATTAGCCCTTTTTCAGTAAGTCATATAGCCAGCAAAGGTCCCATTCCTATGCAGAATGGCACCAGCTGTCAAGTGCAGTTTTCTTATTGAGATAGTTCTGCATATATGCAAATAATGTTAATGTGAAATACTACAAAACTATGGCCCCAACAAAGCATTTTTCAAAACCCTGTACTGAACTCAGTCATGAAAATTTTAAAAAATCTTTTTCCATTGTGTTTTTCTTTATTTGCAATATATATATTATTTATAAACATTGATTCATGCAAAGTTTATTTTTGTTATTTTACAACCCACCCCCCAATGTTCCAAATGTCTATTTAATATCATGTAACTTAAGTAGTTCCAGTTTGTGGAATGGTAAGGTAAAGGTACCCCTGCCCGTACGGGCCAGTCTTGCCAGACTCTAGGGTTGTGCGCTCATCTCACTCTAAAGGCCAGGAGCCAGCGCTGTCTGCAGACACTTCCGGGTCACGTGGCCAGCGTGACAAAGCTGCATCTGGCGAGCCAGAGCCGCACACGGAAACGCCGTTTACCTTCCCGCTGGTAAGTGGTCCCTATTTATCTACTTGCACCCGGGGGTGCTTTCGAACTGCTAGGTTGGCAGGCACTGGGACCGAACGACGGGAGCGCACCCCGCCGCGGGGATTCGAACCGCCGACCATGCAATCGGCAAGTCCTAGGCGCTGAGTTTTACCCACAGCGCCACCATCATCCCACAAATCACTATGTGATCTTGGAGGCCTATAACCAGATTTATCAACATTATATGTGATAAAAATATACCAGGTTGATGAAAAATAGATATCATTTATACGACTTGTATAGACAAAGCAGGCAAGTAGAGAAAGTCATGTGAACTTCTAGAAGTCACATGCTTAATGGAACTTTAGCCCAATGATAGCTGTTCCGCTCCCTTGAGTGATTATCACTTGTGAAAATTTTAATAATTTGCCAAGTCACAGTATGATCCAGCAGCCTACCTAGTTCACTGAGCACTAGATCTCTGTTTTATGTTCAATGCACATTCTTTGACACCATTTTAAAATTCTTCAGGACATACAATCAATAAATGAGCAGGATTACTTTGATAATCCCAGATAATACATTGAGAGTTCAAGTGGAGTCCCATTCTTTAATAGTTTACTTCAGTTTCCTAGATCTTGATGTTCATAAAGTATTTGTTACCTCCTTAAAATATAGCGAATGTACACCAATAATTGTGTTTATTTGAAGATGAATACTAAATAAGAAGACACTTGGAGGGGAAAATGTGGCTAGTTAGTTGCAAGTATTTACTTACGGGGTCATTCATTGATATCGACTGACAAACAATATTGGCTCTATATTCCTTGACCATCCGTGCAAAATCCCAGTTTGGACAACTACTATCATATTCCTGTAAGGCAAAGTAGTAATTAACTTTTTCTCTTCCTATAGAGAAAATTATGCAACTTTTCTTCCTAAGAATGTGCAACACTACCAATTAAGAAATAAAATACAGAGAGTAGGCAAGATCTTCCTTGGGGCAAAAGTTTCACTTTATGCTTTCATCCACAGTTATTAAAGCTTCACTACTATACATTTTTATAAAGCTTTCCCTCCCCTTCCAGTTCTAAATGAGATTCCTTGAACGCTTAAGTTCCAACTAGCTGCTCTCCATTAAGTTGGTCTAATTGTAGCCTTGATATACTTAAAGTATGGCAAGCAACTATCGTTTTTTCTTAGACAAGTTTTAGAGAAACTGCCCAGGCAGTTTTCTGTAATGTGTCTGCCATAAGGACCTTTCAAAACTAGAACTAGGAATAAAAATCTAGAACTCAGTTTGGTATGCTAATTGCTTTTAACTTTGAGAAACCAGAACTAATTTCATTCCATGCAATGAGAAAAGCTAAATTGCTTATTTTAGTCAGATTACATAGAGAACAATGATGAATATCCATGCTCTGCATGTCACCCAAGATACAGCTATTGAATGAAACATCCTGCAGAATGTTTCACAGGCAAGTGTCACATTCTTACCTGTGCCCGCTTATTTCTTATTTCAGAGAACTGGGCCCTTTTCTCTTCCCTCTTATTTTTCATTTTGTCCATCTCTTTTACAATGTTAGATTTCCTACGAGCTAGAAGAAGCAAGAATGTTATTACTGTTACAGAAATGAAATGGCCTACATCCAGAAATTGATCTTCTATCCACAAGTCTCCCAGAGGCAGTCTTAAAACAAAAATAAAAATCAGGAGGTGTATCATTTGTCGCGTTAATTTCTACAGTCATAGGTGATATTTAAGACAACAGGAGTGTTTAGGTTCCTCAAGTCTCCTTGGAAGTCATCCACTTTGCATGGAAACTTGTGGTGATAGTGAGCTCTGCAAATGCCAAAATACACTTGAAACACTACTTCTTATGTTCAGGAACTAAGTTTTTATTCAAACTTGGATGCAAGACTGAAGACCAGTTCAACCTAAGCTTTAGTGTCCATCCTCAACTATATTCAAACCTCCATTAAGATGGTAGTTACAAAGCTCTCTACCAGACTGAACAAAGCCATATTGATTTAAAGAACCATGAAGCAAGCTGGGAACCATATTCCTACCTTGAATTGCAGCAGAGACCATTCTCAAAGTCTGTGGAGTGTCTTCTGTCATTTCATTGCCATTTGGCTGTACATTACATCGATCAGTAGAATAGCTGACCCTAGATCGAGTTCGTACAACTGTTGAGAGGGGAAATCAGTGGTTAAAAGCATTACTCAAGGCAACACAAGAAATATTGAGGGTTTGTAAAGTTACAAGGTCCTTTTATGCATAGAGGTGAGAGCTGCCCTACCCCTGTGAACACTTGTGCGATACAAATGCAAAATCATAGTGTATTGTACTCATTTCTACTCACCAGGAAGAGCAGAGTGGCTTCGTGTTCGTACAGGAGCAGGCAATTCCACCTCCATATCGTTTTCCAGAGGGCTGTTCTGAGTTTCTGCTATGACAGACATCTTGCTAGCTTGTGATCGCAGTACTAAGGAAGCAAGGGGAAAGTGCCATCAATTACCAACTTAATAATATTCAGCAAAATTGACTCCAAAAATGTTTGCGTATTTTTGTGTGCGCACAAAGCAGTACAATACAACTTCAGCAAGCATTTGGGAACTAGAGGCCAGTTTGGTAAAACCTAGTTTAAAGGCTGTATTTAACTAACTTTTACTTGGAGTACACCCAATGAAATTAAATGCCATGACTAACAGATCCTGTTAGTTGAATACAACCCCAGAGAACAGTATAAGGGTGGTATTTAACTAAGTTTTACTTGGAGGGGCAGATGCGGCTCGTCAACCTGGGAAGGTAGCCTATGTAGGAGAAGGAAAACTAGGCAATTTTAATAAGGTATTCAGAAAGAAATGTTTCTAAAACCTAAATTAGCGTAAAGGACTTCAAAAATGGAAAGGTGAGGGAGTATTACCATAGAATTGATGAGCAATATAGAGGCAACAAGATACTGCTAAGATTTATTTCCTTAACATAACTCAAAAAAGGAAACACCTCTGGAACATATATTTATTGTGATACAGAGTAACCAAACTTTTATTTTTTTTAAGTTCTAATAAATGCTTTGGGATGAACAACCATTAGTATTATTTTAATTTATTACCTGCCCTTCACCCTATGGTCCCAGGGCAGATTACAATAAGTTAAAGTACAAAATTAAAACCTGTTTTAAAAACTTACAAGTACAAAAAATATACCACCACTGCAATATAGAGAGTAGGTCCTTATTAATATTAAGCATGTATCATGACACTTCTGTATGGGCAGCTGAGGGAGAAGAGGCATAAGCTCAGGATAGACCTGCAGGGTCAAAGCTACAGGTGACAGTGGCTATATAGAAATTCCAAAAATAAGAAGTGAGGGGAGAATCAGGCTCTGTAATACATTTACTAGGATTCATATGCCTTCCAATTCCCAGTCACCAAGTAAATCTGAGACAAAATTGCTTCAAAATCAGATGCAGCATACAGAGTTCTTTTCCCATAGAGGGCTAAAACTATTCATAATATCTCAAAGCAAATAAATTTGTTTTTACCTTCTTTCGGAGCAGGAATTTTTGAGAGTGTTGTTCTGCGGGTTTGCCTCTGAAGTAAAAAAAAGTATTGTAGTCTACTGAACATTAACACAGTCCCCACTTTGCAACATAATAAATTTGGAATATAAATGGAATTGTTTTAATGAGAATTGCTAACTGCCAACTTACAAATATTGTAGAGAACACGGAAATACATTATCTAAAAATTACAAAACTCAGAAAATTTTAGAAGTTCTATTAATTTCTGTGTATTCCCCAAAATAAGAATCAAAAAGAATTTTAGGACAACCAGATTGGCTAACTTGAGCCAGGCAGATCGAGAGTAGATTACAGCTAAATATTTCAATGGATTTTTAACTGTTAACTTGAATGTCAGTGAAAAACTACTAGCAATGTTTATCAAACATCAAATGCCTCCCACAGGATTTTAGCTTCTGGTTAGTTAATAATGCAATTATAGTTATCTGGCAACATAAGACAATTCAAAAGGCTTATACTTCCCTTCCTACATGGGGGTGTCACAACAGCTAGCTGAAAATTAGCTCTTGAGAAGAGGAATACTCTGGCAAAGAAACATGTGCAAACCATGCTTATGATACCATACAGAAACCAGGTACACAATGAATCTAACTGAAAACTGAATAGGGCTTTGTTACAGTGAATAAATCCACTTTCATTTTTATCTTCATAAAATTCCATAATTGTCATTACAAATAATTTGGCAAAAAGAACCACCAACACTTTATTTGGCTGATTTGTTTTCATATGCTTGGTGCTCATGCTGAAGGGGGTGGGAGATTTATACAAATTCCTTCCCTGCCTCTGCAACCTGCTGTAAAGATGTACTAGAGAGTTGGGGGGACCTTTCAAAATAGGGTGGTAGGTGGTACAGAAACAAGGAGTGGGAATTAGTGAAAAGCACTACTATACTGTTTTGCCAATAGGTACTGCTGGATATCAGCCCCTTCCATTTATGAAAGGAGATACAGTACTGTACTTGAATACAACCACACTTTTCCCACCCGACCATTCCTATGAATAAGCAAAAGTTAAGTTCAATTCACCAGATGATGTTTCTGCTGTATAATACTGCCTTCTATTAAATATGGACTGCAAGATTTTAACATGTATGCTAGGAGGGGTACTGAATGCTACTTTAAAAAAGAAAGTCATCAAACTCAGGGAGATTATTAGGGAAATAACCAATATAAAATTACAGAAGAAATGGTTAGTTTATTGATGGTGAAGTTTTGACAAGATTAAGTTTTAAAAGACATTGTTCTGCCTCATTTATATTAACTGGCCCTATCTGCTATCTGACTAGGTAGATATAATGATTTCCCTGTAGGTAACCGATGCAACAAAAAACTGTATCAAATCAGAATGCAGAACTTGGTTTTATATCTGTATGCTGCTTTTCCAGCAACCAAGCTGAGCTCAAAGCAGCTCACAATAGTATCAGATGAGTCAGCCTCAAGCATTTGCAGCCAAAGAATCTAGTCTTAAGGGTGCAGAGAAAATAAGAATTTGACTAAGCATTTTGTGATCATGACTATGATCTAAAGGACTGCTTGAAAAATATATTTGGATGAACTTGCTACCAACAAAGGCAAACACCAGAAAAATTGAAAACCACATGTTTCTCTGTATAATGATACACTTCTAGGAGAGACCCAAGAACTCAAATGTGGTCTTAAAAAGAAACATTACATGCAGCATCCAACAGAACAGTTCCATTAGTGCAGAGACTTTTGGCTGTGCAACAAATGTCCCTTCCCTCTCCTCTCCCCATGCACCTCCTGCAATCAGCTCTGGGGGTTCCCCCAACCCTCGATATGGGCTCAGGGAGAGAGAGAGCAGAGGGGAGGAAAACAAGGGACAGTTCCATTGTGCAAGTGGAAATCCTTGCACTAGCAGTGCTAACATAATAGACAAGCCTTTGCTGCTGTATTTTCCTAAAAAGGAGGGCACTAGGAAAAGGGGACGACAGAGGAGAAGATGGTTGGGCAGCGTTCTCGAAGCTACCAACATGAGTTTGACCAAACTGTGGGAGGCAGTGGAAGACAGGAGTGCCCGGTGTGCTCTGGTCCATGGGGTCACGAAGAGTTGGACACGACTAAACAACAACAAGCGCGAGCATCAAGCCTGTACCTGCTCCGGAGGCTTATATTTAAATCACCTGACATTATATGATGTCAAGTGATTGAAAGCTGTGCAACCCTTCCCATCTGTCAGAATGGACCACTCACCCCAAAATCCCCTACCCCTGGACTATATGATAATGTGCACAGGGTAAGCTGCAGAAATTGACTGCACATATGCCATAGTGAAGTGAAAGGGTAAATCATCCAAGATCATGACAATAGAGCAACAAGTGCACGGGAAAAGGCAATTTGGACAGTGGTAGAAAGCTTCAGGTAGGGCAGTCCTACAAAGCAGTGGCTTCTGTATGTCCAAGAACAAAAGAAAAACCAGTATTTTCAAATCCAGGCCTTCAGGAAAAGCTGCAGGTCCTACAATTTCCTCCTCTTGGCAATTATCTGACACAGAAGCCCCATGTGCCTTTGGACATGGTTCCATTAGCTTTACCTCTCGCCATTTGCCTAAGCTAGCACTCTGTCCAAAATGCTCTTTCTACATATTGCCCCACCATCTCTCTCCTTTGCCCATCAGATTTTCCCTTTCAATTGTCATTGCCTCATTCCTAGTCCTCTAAGGCAGTGTGCATATTTGTATCCGTAGGGCTCCTCTACCCAATGTCTTGCTCCTCCATCACAAGAGAGTTTGGCCATACTGCTTCCCCCAGCACCAGTGTTCGGGTGATATAACTGCTATTAAGACATGGATGCAGAAAAGCTTCAATTAGCACTTTTAGAGGATAACAGAATAAAGACATGGGGGGGGTCAGAAATTATCCCCAGTAAAGTACATGAATAGAGATGCTGTTTGTATACTTTTCTTAAAAAAGAATTAAAAATGTTGAAAGACGTAAACTTCTTTTGCATTGTTAATCCATATTTTGAGACCTCAAATCAATATAGAGGCAAGCATGAAATAGTAAAATATTAAAAGATATAAAAACAACTCATTAAGTTTCAAACCATCTTTAAAATTCAATAGATTCAGATTCTTGCTGCTTGGCAAGTATCAAAGGAAAAACTCCAGGATAACCTACCTGTGTGGTTACATTCTCCTGGGCAAGATGGCTTTCTTTCGCAGCAGCAACAACTGGAGATGTAAACAGCTCTGGATTTATTGCTACCACATCATCAAGGTCAATCTGCAAAGGGAAAACAAACACAAAACACAGGATGAGCCATTTACCATATAATTAATCATCAGCCTTAAGGGTACATGCCTAAGCAACAGGACCATCAATCAGCAATTTGTCTGGCATGACCAGTTTAAAGCAATGAATTCACAGCTCTCATAAATTGATATACAATATATTAAAACAAGTTGCCCACCAATATAGTGTTCCAGGAGGCTATTATTTCACAAGACACCAGCAAAGCCCATTTGCTACAAATGCTTTAATCTCTAGTAGCTAATCTTAGTACATCCCAGTCATTCCTTGATTTCCGCTGTAAGCTCCTAGTATTTGTAAAGCAATTATTACTTACTGAAACAAATTCTTAGAAAGACTGGCATTCCAAAAAATGAAGTGTTTACTAATCTAAAACTAATCAGTTAGGCTATGCAACTGATTTCTCCCTCTTAGGTTTGTGCATGTGAAGAGGTAGAGTGAATAAGTCATGCCCCACAGCCCATCTGCTTTACCTTAATGACATCATAATCCTTTTGCTAGTGCTGCAATATTCTAACAGTCATTTTCCTGAGCTACAGAGGCACCCATAGAGCAGGTAGGAAGTATGAATTTGAAGTCTCCAGATCAACTATTCAGCTTCTACACATATCACACCATGTTGGGAAATGTTGTCTCTTATTCATTTAACACAACAAGAGTTTGTTTCGTGGTTAACAAAAAAAGCTCTAAGTAGGTGTTTAGTATATATGCTTATTGGCTAACATTCAGCCTGATCCTAGTCATGTTTACTCAAAAGCTAGGCTCTACTGAGCTCAATATATTCACAACTTACTCCCAAATGAGTAAATTAGTTTTGCAGCCTATATAATACAACTTTCTAAGCAAAAGAGTGTCATCATTTTTAGGACCATTTCTGCATTATACACCATTTATCAGGGTAGGCTGAAGGTAGGCCATGATCTACTGGATAATTTTTATAGAGAATGTTAGTCCTTCACTTCATCCAACATAATAAATATTATGTTCTTAATAATACACATCAAGATCACTTAATACAGCAACATCTTAATTGGTAAGATCCCAGAATGCACTCTTGCTTTGCATAATACATTTTACAGACACAGATGAATTATAAAATTCAATTTTTTTAAAAAAGTCAGTTAAGAACTATCCTAGAAAACCACACTGTACAGTTTAGGTGGGACTCCCACAAGGAAAAAGAATGGTAAATGAAAAAAGAATCAAGTTTGAGGTAGAGAAGGAATTATTTTTGAGGATCATATGGTGGAAAGGCAGGATATGATTTATTTAATTGGCATATCTACAAATATCCATTCAAAGACATGCAAAAAGGTTTTTAGAGTTGGAATTCTTACTAATTCTGGACAAAAAAGCACCACGTGTATGATGCAGGAGGTAGGTTTTAAACCAACATTTATTGAAGATTTCCAAATATATGGTTGATATGATGTCTACTCAATCATAAGTGCCTTGCTGGATCAAAGCAAAGACCAATCCAGCACAGCATTCTGTTTTCCAGTGGCTAGCCATATGCCTAAAAGGAGCCAACAGGCAATTGGTATGGCTGGAGAATCATTGCTGAATTGTATGCACCTCAATAGCTCATAGGCCCTATTATGTTCAATAGGACTTATATGTAAACATGTATTGGACTACCAATCCTAAATGGAGGGTGGAGTGGAGAGGGAATGAATTGATGGACAATCTGCCACTTCTAAAGTCTACCAACCTGTACAGGCAGGGCAAGTGAAGGGAGAATCTGGCATTTTACTTCTTATTCTCTGGCAGTTAAACCACCTGTGGAGCTTTCTGTGGCCTTAGCTATGCTCTGCAGCTTAGACACCTTGCTCAACAGAGGAAAGGCACCTCCACCTCATCCTAACTCCCTTCAGCCAGCATAAGGGTTAGGGTTCCTCTTAGCCTCAGCTGCTTGACTGCATAAGTAAAGAATGGGGATATATTTCAAATTCTCACCTCTTTCCCTTTGACAGTATTATTTTCTGTCCATTCTACAGATACCACCATTTTTTCCAGACTCACTGCCTTGATTGTGGCACCATGGACTGCACCTGAATAGGGAGAAAATCATTTCAAAAAAGGCTAGTTTCCTCAAATCAGAGAACCACAGAGGAACTAGATGCATTGAAATATCAACTAATCTGAAACATGCAATGTGAAACTTGTCACAAAAGTACAAACACATCTGTGAGCTTCCACTCTAAGCAGAAAAGTATTAATGGAGTACCATAGGTAATGATTTGCTGCCCTCTTTTGAGAGACAGTTCTAGGTAATATAAATATTTTGCAGTAATTCTTTCTCTTCTTCCTGGATCGTTTCCTTGACAGTCTTAATAAGTTTGCTTATGCTTAACACCAACTTGGACAAAACCATGTTCTACATACTAACATGGCCTGCGATGTAGGAATGATATAATGATATATCACAATGTCTGAAATAAGGATATATCAGTCTGAAATAAGGATGGAGCTATGTAGAGGCATTGATTAGCTTCACAGTTCTTCCCGCATCATTATTTTTGCATAGTGCACACACAGACACATCTCAATTCGCAATATATTGCCAGGTGAAAAATTATGAAACAAATATCACAATATGAACATCAAACTGGTTTTAGATGATATATCAATATATGGCCCAGCCCTACTACTATTCCTAGAGAAGCTCCCTCCCCAAAAACACAGTTATACCTCTGCTAGCTACAGTTGATAGTTTCCAGGTTACCATTACCAACAGAATATGCCTTCTTATATCCGAAGCTCAAAATTCATTTTAGAAAAGTGTCTGCAGAAGAGGTGAGGAATCCCCAGCCAAGGGGGGCGTAGGTGATTCTCCTAGCTTCTCTAACCAGCCCATGGGACTCTCCCCAGGCTCTGTTTGGCACCCACTTTGAGTGCTTTTGTCTGGCTGGAATGTATCCTTGAAATGTGATACTGTAATGACTCTTGCACAAATCTTTCAATCCAGAAAAGCATGTGTGGCTAGACAAACCTCTAGCTTTTGCATGGCTGGAATATAGCCTACTATACAAAGGGTTCCAAGTTCTTGTCAAGCTCTTTTGCCTCTGGCCAAGGTTTGCACCTGCCCCCCACCCCACCCCCCAAATCAAGCAAATCAATAAAAATACTTAACTAACCAAAGTTCTGCCCCCCAACAGAAAGTCTGTCCCCCTAACATAAACCATGGCTATCCCCATGCCTCTGGCCCCTGTAAATTTGCCCAGAAAGGAATGTGGCCCTCAAATGGAAAAATTGTATGTAAAAAGTCGTTTGAAAAAGTCCTTAAACTATTTCGTAAAACTAACTGTTCACTATAAACTGAGGCAAAGTGATCCCGTGAACTGCTGCATTAGCAGCTTGTTAGCTTATAGGCACAATTCAGAGTTATGTTGTTCACCTATAAAGTCCTTAACAGCCTGGAACTCAAATTACTAACGGAAACGCCTCATCTTATTAGCATTGGAGTGTCTGGGAGGGAAAGAATTTCACCAGATTTGTATTCAGCTACGCAACGTCTGAGGCAGCTTTACTGCATGAGGGAACCTTGTTGCTGTTAAACAAGTCTGTGGATGGTCAGTGCCAGGATGGGAGACCACCGGGAAACAGCGTGCAACGCCCTCTTGGCTTCCATGACGGAAAAAAGGTGGGAGATAAGTACTGGTTAATGAAATAAAAACCAAGCAGGGGCTTCTCTATCTGGCTATATGCTGGGTCCCTTCCACTGCACGCCAGAAGGAAGGCGAGGATAACTGCAGCGCATGCGCATTAATTCTTGAAAGCCCCAGAAGAGGCTGAAAACTTTGGCTACGGCAAGAGGAAAAAGACACACCTAAACAGATCGCGATTTTTGTCAGGCTCTAGTCCTTTACTTACCATTACTACGCTGAATATTAATCACTGACCCGGGCTGAAGGCATCTATAAACGCTTGGGTCCATAGTACTGGAAAAGCCTGGTTCTCTAGCGTCAGCAAAAATAAAAAAGGAGCACCTCTCACTTCACACACCGGTATCGAAAAGAAGCAGCGAATCAACTGCCGCCGTTTTGAACGGGGCGCGCCGCAAAGCCTGCCGGGAAGCTACGTCTGTCAGGTGACGTAAATGCCTACAAAAAAAACTACATCTACTAGCACGACTTGCGGCGCCCGCCCCCTAATTTCCCCATGTTTGCTGGAGATTTACACTTCCGAAAATGACGTGCAAGCCAAAGTTAATGACACGGAGCCTACCCAGAGGAGCATTCTAAAGGGGAAATGTCCTCTCTTGTGATGGAGAAGCAGCTATATAGGTAGACGAATGACGGGGTCTTTTAGTGCAGATTAATTGGTATCTCGTAATTTTTAACTTTTCTTGCGTTCTGCCCGATTTTAACTTTAACTTGCGTTCTGCCCGATTCATTTACTTTTGCCTTTTGGTGTACAACTTTTCCTTTTTTGAATCTATGGGAATCTCGTGTCGATTGCCAAAATTTAATATTATGCACATATCGTATTCATGGCATTTTATCCCGCTCTTCCTTGAAGCTCAGGCATCCCGCCACCCGTTTTTATTCCCTTAACACCCTTATAAGATGGGCTGCCTGAGAAACACAAGCCCAAGGTCAGCGAGGGAGTTTTGTGGCGGAGGGGGCATTTGCACAGGGTTCCCCAAGTCCGATGGGCTACCGATCAGAACGCTACATTTCTGGCAGCCCTTCATTCATTGATATATAGTAAATCGTAATTAACTTAAACAGTCTTTTTAAATTCTTGCTTCCGCCTAGACACATATAAGACTGCGCTATGGATCGGCATTAAAAGAAACTAAAAGCATCATGCTTTAGCAACACTGTTTCGTGCCTGTTGGTTTTTGTGAAGTTAGCAAGCATTCAGATCTATTTTTAACAACAAAGAAGTAGCCCCACCGAAGCGGGGCCTCAAAAAATTAGTTGTAAACTCATAACTGTTCCTCTCCACGGAAATCTTTAGTAAAAGGCGAAAGATTTATACGATCTGAAGAGAAACCAGAGTATAAACTTAAACACCGTGGTAGATTTGCTGGAGTAACCACGCCTGCTTCATAGGTGATAGCAACTCCTTTAAACCAAGGGTTAAAAGCTTGCTTTTCAACAATGAGTTATATTCCGGAATTTTTACTTGCTTTTAGAACCAGCACATGTAATATTTCACAACAGAAATAAACAGAAAATACAGATAAAACAATTAATTCAGCGCACTGCATTATGGTTGTGAGTAAATGCAAAATAAGCTCACAAACTCTTCCTGCTTTACGCCCCGCCCTCACCCAAGCCGTCAGCCGCGGCTGGATGCCCATATCTGTCAGTGGCTTCCGTTGCTGCTACAGACTTGTTGGGTCTTGTTCATAATGGTAGTTCAATTTTCTACATACAGTACTTGGAAAAATGATACTGCTGGATAATTACGTAGTGAACAATGTAACTAACCCGCAGGAAGTAGCAAGGCCCCATAAAAATCTACATTTGGCTATAACAACACACTAATGATTAGTTTCTTTTCAATCTATCATCTCCAAGGAAGAAAAAAATTGCCCTTTTTCAAAGAGAGGATTTCATACTAAAAATATCATATTTGCCAACAAATTTTCTTTTCAAATTCTAGTCTCAAACTCAGCAATAACAAAGTTGCAAACCCGAACCAATGGATTCAAGTTACATGAAAGCAGATTCTGAACACCAAGAAGCACTTTGACAGTAAGAGGTGTTTGACAGTGGAACAGGCTCCCTGAGAAGGTTGTGGACTGTCCTTCACTGGAGGTTTTTAGCACTGGCTGGCCACCTGTCATGGTGGCCCTTGGGGGTCCTTTCCAATTCTACAATATCTATGGTTCTATGATACCAGTACCTGGTGTCTGTTTCTGCACTTTCTTTTAGGGTTATCACACTCCCCATAAATACGTTTTCCCTGTGCTGGTGGCCATCCATGTGTCCCGTGGGAGCAAGTTCCTTAGTTTAAATATGTGCTGCATATTTAAACTACTTTTATCTGTTGCAAATCTTTCAACATTCAACTTCACTGGATGTCCTTGAGTTCTAGCGTTATGAGAGAGGAAGAAAATCTTATCTTTATCCTCTTTCTCCATACCATGCATAATGTTATAATCTTTTACTATGTCACCACTTACTCACCTTTTCTTTAAACTAAGAAGTCCCAAATGCTGTGCCACCTTTCCTCCCAGGTGAGTTGCTCCATCTCATTTATCATTTAGGTTGCCCCTTTCTGAACCTTTTCCAAGTCAAAGGCACACAAATGTGTGTGTGGATACAGACCCATGTATGCACGAATGCCAGAGTGTAGGGACAGCCTTTATTTCCCTGCATATAAACAACAGAAGAAGAATGGAATTGCTTTAAGAACATACACTCTCCTTAACTGTCCCTCCCCTCTAGTGACTGATGCAGGGAGGTGGCTGACACCCCAACCAGGTATATAGATTCAGTTCCTTCATGGATTCTCAGATTGCACTTAGAGTTTCCCTGTAACAACTCTTAGTGATTTGGTTAATATTATGTATTGCATTTACTTTAGGCCTTTTTATTATTACACCTTTCCATGTCATAAACATTTTTCCACTTTGTACATATGGTTAGGAGTGGACTATATGTACATAAACTTTTTTCTTGAGGTGCTTGTGGACTAGGCTTGCAGTAGCACACGATTCAGGCCAGATATTACAGAGTGCTATCACAATAAAGGGCCCTGTCAGAAATATAAAAAGCAAATAGAGACCAGGTGCCCACACAAATCTCCTCTCCTTAACAGATCTTAGGTAACAGCAAACATAAACAGTAGCTACTGCCATGGTGATTATTCCAATCACTCTGGGCTACTTTGCTGCATCATTTTGGCAGGCTAGCACCGCCTGCCAGTTACCAGCAGAGCAACTATAGAAACTCCATATGCTCTTGTAGTCCTTTCCTGCAAGGAAGAACAAGTGCCCAGTGCCGTCCAAATAAACGCCACCCTTTGTGGAACAGCAGCAGCAGTCACTCCTCGTGATGACGGATCCAGTGGCTTTCCACTGTGCCAACTGCGGGATGGGGTTCCGCTCCAGGCGGCTGCTAGAGAAGCACATGGAAAAATTCTGCATTGGAGAGGAGACTGCATCTGATGCCAGATACCGAAACAGGCAAGCCCTCTGTAAGGGGAAAGAACCTAAGAAAGCAGAGACTCCGGACAGCATGGTAAAGACCAGGCAATGTTTGTTAGACTTTCCCCCAACATTTTGGGACCTACTAGCTTGTGTGCTGGAGGGCGAAAGTTATGTGCTGCAATTTTGCTGACCCCATTGGCGTATAAGGCTTTTCCAGCGATGCAAAAAAGCCATCAATATTTTAAACTTTTTCCTGTGTATGTACACATACAGCAGACGGAGGAAGGTGTGCCTAGATTTTCCCCCCACCCCAGTTTCGAGGTGTTTCAGGGACTGAGAGGGTTTTGAAGCCTTCTGTTTAGATTTTTCAGCTTCCATGAATTTGCATTTGAGTAACAATATATTTTCCTGACACCCCCTTCCATTTATTGACTTTCTTTTCTGGGTGGTGGTTTCTATGGCACAGCATCATCAGCTACAAGCACCAAAAACAAAGAAGCATCACTTGGATGGGGAATATGAGGAACAAGCACACCACTCCAGAAGCTTTGATCATGTTTCAGACAGCAAGGCCTTGAAGAAACTGACTGAAGAGGTACTGTAGAAAAGAAGAGAGGAGCTCAGATCTTTGCTCCATCATAGATTCTCTGTTTACAGTACTTCCTTTCTAAACTACTTTATTATTTAGCAGTTAATTCATTCAAACACTTAGGTTATTTCCCCTCATCTCTGATGCCTTTTTATTATTTTTATTATTTTTTGTCACCACAGATGAAAAATTGAGCTGATGAAACAAAGGGCTCATCATCTGAGTACACCACCACAAGTCTAGCTTTCAGCTTATGCACTTCTTACAAGCATTTCAGAAAGCTCCCTCACCCCAACATTTCAGTTGAGCCAAGGGACAATAAGCTGCAGTCTATATGTGTTTTAGCACTTGACAAAACCTACCATTAGGCTTAGAAAGGTCGACTAGTAACAGTGGCATGGAAAAGGTTGTATGAAACATTGACCTATAGATTCAAATAATTTGGCCACTAGTGTTGATTTTCTCGAGTTCCATCTGAAATTCTATTAGCTTTGTATTCACCAGCAGTAAAAAAGAAGGGAAGAGAGCCAGCTCTTTTCTCTATATGATATGCCAACAACAAGATTGCCAATGGAAGTGTAGGCCTCTTTGGACAGCTGTAAGAAATTCAGCAGGTGAAACCTTTCCTGTCACTGAGACAGAGTGATGGAAAAGCTTCACCTGTATAATTTCTGCTCAACACACAGCAGAAGGCACAATAGTCCTGCCAGAAAATAAGCTGGCAACCTTAAATAAAACAATAAACAAACCCTAATTAGCTCCCAGAACTTGAACAAGTTGTTTCAAAATCTTTTTAATATTGTGTTGTAACTGTTGTAACCCACCTTGGAACCTTGGGGTGAAGGGTGGGTAATAAGTTGTAGTAGTAATTATAATACTGTAATAATGACTAAATCACTCAAGGAATTATTCCCTTTCACAGTTCCACAAACTGAGGATGTCACTGGAAGACACTCTTCCTACATTCAGGACATTCCATGCAGAGGTAAAACAGTCATTAAAGACTTCTTTAAAAATGTTGCAGGCTTCTAGCAATTTTTATTCTGGATTGCAGTGGAGTGCTTAAAATTGCCATAATTGTGTGAGGAACAACTTTACAAAAACTCATTGCCATGTGGAGCTCCTTCCTGTGCTGTTCCATTTTCAGACCAGAAAGTGCAGACCATAGCTCAGAACAGGGGAAGCAACACTAAACGCTCTGCTCTGAGTTAATGTGGAGCAGACCTGAGATCTTTGGAATTTGCAGGATAAACTCTCCCACTGACCACAGTGATCTAAGGGATACGGTGGTCTTCCCAGTAACCTGTCCTGGTAACAGATTAGTAGCCAATGCAAATCCTACAAGCAGGGTGTTATATGCTAGTGGTAGTTGTTCATGAGATAAATATTTGAAATCCATTCCAATATGATATTATTTTTCTAATGGCTGTGTCCTGTCTTTCCTTACAAGGAATTTAGAGAACAGTTTTAAGCTTGACCACTTAGGAAGTAGTGTGATTTACCCAAAGCTGAATGGAGATTTGAATCTGTGTTTCTCACATCTAAGCCCAGCACTCTGCCACTAAATCATGCAGCCTTTCAGTAGAGGGCATGCCGAGATCACTTCTTCTGGAATTTACAATTAATTCACCACAACATACCATTTCTCATGGGCATTTAGCTCTGAAGCATTGCATCACTGGCTCCAGAACAGGCATATCAAACATATCAAACTTGTCATCTTTCCTTGACCCCTAGGATAATGACAGACACCAGCGGGAATACTGGAAGCGCCAACAGCAAATGGCAGAAGAACACGAGCGCCATTTGGCAGATATCCAGGCCAGAAACCAGTACCTGGAGCAGCAGAAGGATGGTAAGAGAATGAGAGTACCTACTAGATTACTGCCTTCTTGCTTCTAGTTCAGGTAAAGGGAATGACCTGGAGTTCAAAACAATAAAGGATGAGCAAACAGCCACCACTAGCCAGCAAATGGCCAGGCCTGATACACAAGGCTAATGATACCACAAGTTCTACAGAAGGGAAGGAGGCAGTTAGACCCATCCACAAGTACTACCGACAGCTAATTTTGTACTTGAGAGCTTTCTTGTCTACTTACGTATATTTGGAGGATGCACAGGCCAAGTCCTTAGAAACAGCAGATGACATGGTAAACCTGTGTCCGGACTGTTCCACTTCAGACTGTGCATGAAGATTTTCATGACTGAATTCTCCTCCATACAAAACAACAACACAAAACCCATTTTGCATATAGAAGACTATCATTTCAGGGAATATATTTATACCCTAGCCTTCTCCCTGATATGCAAGTTTTCTATATGTAATATTTTTATTTTATTGTCAGAGTGGGGTGGGGGGGTAGGGTATTAAGTACTGGTAATAAGCACACATCTGCAATCTTTAGTACATAGAAAGTGCAGGTTTGCTTTCCTTATCAAGTGTTTCTGAGAACTAGGACAAAGGATGCATATTAATTCACCAGGGATAAAGTGTTCCCAGCTGGGCAGATCAGGGCTCTGATACAGGATAATGGAGAGAAATTATGTACCTATATTTTGCATGGAAATCCAATTCAGGGAGCCTCTGGAAATATGTTGACTTGGTCTAGGTGTTCCAGTAAAGTGTGTCAAATTTTCTGTTTATCCAGAGATCCATAGGCGCCTGTCCGAATTGAAACTAGGGAACTCAGCTACATCTCATATTGAACAGCTGCTGGTGGAGTTGACTACCCAGGAGGGAAAAAACCAACTGGCTTTGGATGCTCTGCGGAAACAAGTGGAACTCCTGCAGGTATCAGCAGAGACCAGGTAAGGCTCAAAGAGGGGCCGTTTCTGGGAATGGATGGAGTTCCATCAAAGGCTGGAGAAGCCTAAGATCATTACCTATCTGAGGGTGGAATAAGGGAGTCAGAAAAGGTCAAAAAGACCATTTGGGGAGTCTATCCATGACTCAAGCATTGTGTGAAGCAAGTATTATCACTGATAGAAAAAAGCAAGATGACACTCACACACCTTATTGGGTTTTTTTAGAAGCAAACCCAAATCCCCCATCAACAGACAGACAGACAGTGCTGAGGGCAACATAGAGAAGAAGGTCTTCAAGTCTATGTCATTTCCAGCAGCAGTTGGACCCCTCTCTTCAGAGATACAGTGAGTAGGGAGGGAGCTGAAAGACTGAATGGGACAATATTTTCTGTAAACAGAATTATTTGACTATCAATTTATTAGATCTTTCACTGTTTGTTGCCTGTGGAGCTTTCTCCTGGATTCCTCTCTGTCCCACTTTTGGGAAGCTCTGCAGTTGCAAGTTGCTACTCTGGGTGGATGGGAAACAGATATTTTTCAATGGATGAGAGAGGAAACAACTTTCTTCCAGTGGGCACAGTTAGTAGGATTGCCATCCCCTTTTCCCACCATGTTGCACAGCTTCTTGAAATACAGGTGTTCAGCAAGCCCAGCTGTATTCATCTTCATGCCAGGAAAAATAGTTCCTTTGATTCCCCCACCACCACCCACCCCGAGCTAATAAAGACTTTGAAATGCTGTCATAAGGAGAAAATCTAGCAATAGCACCAATAAATTGATGATGCATTTGTGTTTTCCCTGCAGGGCACTTTACCTGGCTTATTTGCAGGGGGGAGGCAGTGACCATAACATCCTCCGTCAGATGTATGAGCTGCAGGTGGAGGCCACAGCCCTGGAGAAAGTAGGAGCAAGACCTGAGCACAAGGGCAGAAAGAAGAGTGAGCTTTGTTTCCCTGTTTCCTTCTCTCCAAACTTGGATATTGTATTGTTGCATGCCACACCAATATCTGAGTAGTGTGAAATTCCAGGGGTTCCAAGTGCTTACTCCACAGTGGAGACTGTGGTGATATATATATATATATATATATATATATATATATATATATGATACACACACACACAAAAAAAAACCTGAGCCTACAATAGAGGAGCTCACAACATTATCAGCCCAAAACAGTTTTGTTTATCCCATAGCCACAGGCTTGAATTCCAGCCATCAGAAATTAGGCATGGCTCTCATAACCATTTTGCTTCTTTCCTTCTAGCTTCTCGCTCACATCACTGCAGCTTTCAATTCTGGATTTGTTCTTCTACTCATCTCACAAAGAACCCCTTTCCTTTGTTTACCTTAATCACACAGGTTATCACCTCAACACAAGAAGGTAGCCTGGCTTATATTTTAACATTTGCTGGATCCAGGTTAGATTTAGAAGGATCTCACATACAGCCTACTTCCTCCCCCACCCCAACTTATAACAGTATCATAGACTAGGCTGTCTCTTGAACCCTTGGGACAATGTGGCGCTCTCTAGATGCTGTTGGGCTTCAATTTCTATCAGACCCAGTCAACATGGTCAACGCTCAGGGATGATGGAAGCTATAGTCTAACATCTGGGTGGCATCATGTTGGCTGTCCCTGCCTTTAGGCCTTGAGTTCAAAAAGGCTTTACTATTCACAGCCAAGTGAGAATCAATTCCACTGGACAATATGGTCCTCTTACAAAGCACATGTGCTATCATAAATGTGTATGATGCCAAATGGTTATTTGCTGATTATGCAGATTGAGAAACCTTAGTAAATACTTCTCGCTCTTTCACGTCTCCAAGCCATCTTTGTTGTTGATTGGCTCTTCTTGTCCTTGCAGAACATGAAGGTAGCCCGAACTCCTACCCACGGGGTTTGGATGCTGAGCTCCTGTCTGTTGAACTGGAAAACCAGAGGCTGGAAGATGAGATATTAAAGTTGAAGATCCTGAAGGACAGAAGGAAAATAGAAGATGGTGGGGACCATAGCCTACTCTATTGAAGTTGGGCCAAAGAAGTTTAAGATACGGTAGCAGGAATCAATCTCTGCAAATCAGGGCATTGGCATATATATTACCTAAGCAATCACTTTGATTTGGGGAACTTTGATTTGGAGGTTTAAGTGGAAGTGCAGAGTGTTCTCTTTGGACAGTAACCAGATCGGTTTGCTGCTGGCAAAATTTAGCCTCCATAGTTGTCCATTATGGAGAGAAATCATAAAGATGGCAGAGATGGGCTGAGTATTCCACAGCAGTGTGCTTGCCAACCAGATCATGGTTCATTATTCTCCTGGGCATTTGGGCAATGCTAAGGTCTGGTGTTTGGCTGTTTATTTTTTATGTTCATCCTTATTCAAGGTGGGATGTGGTTATTTTACATTGTTGGTTTTTTTTGTGGATGAACACTTCTAGTATATTTACTTTGTTTAAATGCATTTTTATTGATATTGTTTGTTATCCCTGTAAATCACTTTGGAACTCCTTTTATGTGAAGCAATTCCTAAACTAAATGCACCAAATCTCATCTACTCATTTGACACATAGATTATACTGCTGGGGTTTCCAAACAGGTCCTTTTTCTTTGCGATCCTAAACATACCCCAAATTTTCAAGACCACCCCATCTGCAGTATGGAGGTTGCTAATGGCCAAAGGTGCTCCTTGAAATGTTGGGCAGGAAGGGGGCAACATTTCCACAACTAAATGACTTTGGAGATGTATCTGAAATGTTCAGTAGTGCCAGTCCAGCAAAAACAATTAAGGACATTGAGCTGGCTTTGTTTTTACAAAGAGCCAGATGAATAATATGCAGGCTCTTGTCCCACCTCATAAGGATTTATTTCCCAGTATTGGCACAAGCAATAATGGGTGTATTGCTGCGTTAATGGGCTCCTCCTGCTCATCTTTTTCATCAGGGTCTTCAGGCACAGAGCTGGCGCAACTGCAGCGGTTACACATGGCAGAGATGGCTCAGCTGCATGCAGAGATTGGCAGCCTGAGACACGACACAGAGAGGATGAAGCTAAGACATCCCAAGAGGGGGTCACCACTACCCCGGCTGCCACCTCCTATAGCTCCCCCCCTGCCATCTCCTCCTCCTCAGCATCTTCTTGGATTGCCTGACCCTACCTTTCCAGCGAGTAACATGGTTAGTGCCCCTTTAACTTGGGAAACCTCAGGCAAAAGTCATACTGAATAAATGCTTTTGGAGTGGAGATAGTATAAAAATACTTCTATAGTTTTAATAATTCAGAGCTATCATCCTGTGTGGTTGGCTCTCTCCATATCTGTGTTCACTCCAGAAAGATGCATCCAGTGGTTCACGCTCTGCTCGTTGCAAATATGCTGACCATTTTGCTCAAGGGTGAATGATTTATCTGAAGCTGTTGAGTTATATTCTTAAGAGTTTCCTTGGGGCAGCAAGCCTCATTATTCCCCCTAAGACTGATGCTGGTATTTCCTTTTTCTATTCTTCGGAAATGTAAAACAGCTCTCATATTTCTGCCTGCTATAGGACCCCATGAGAGCATCTGCCACAGCTATGAGCCGGTACTTCCTGGACCCTTCTGATGCTCTGGGACCAGCTCCATATGATCCGGCGTATGTTGTTTCTATTATCTGTATCATTCTGAGTTGGGCTAGGGGGAGGGCAGCATATGTTATTTTTTCTGTCTCATTCTTGCATAGAGTATTTGTAGACACTGCTATGTAAAGTGAAGATGTTCATTTTTTTCCATCCTAATGCCATTTCTAGGGACACATTTTGGAATCTAGCCTGTTGAGTCTTCTGGACTGCAGCCAGCTCATAGAAAATAGCTGTTGTTAAGAGTTTGGGGTGGTGGGAGATAGGCTGTATGCCTAAACCCTCCTAATTCCTGGAAGTGCCTGGAACCCCTGGAATTTCGCTCAGATTGGGGTGGCATGCAAGCTGTGTTAACTATTACATGAGTGTGACAAATTATCATCTCTCTGCAGGTCTGGCTTTGTGATATTCTATGATTTTATTTTGGGCCTGGATCCCACATTCTATCAAGTCTGCCTGGTCTCTGGCCTGTTCCGCAATGGGCAAGAGTTGGGCAAGCCCACCCCACTGCCCGTTGTCTCCTCTGATATGGGTCAATACCCACAGTATGTGACTGATGGGCAAAGAGGGTGCTGTGCCATCTTAGCAGCTAGGCAACCAGTCCCAAGGTGAGTTTCAGTGGCTTTTGCCATAACATCTCCTCTCTTCTGTTCCCGGGTCATTATCTGGGCAGCCATTCCCAGTTGGCAAAGTTATTTGTTTTCATTGTTTCAATGTATATAGTGTACAGCAAAATAATGCTCAAGACAAATGCAATGATAAGGAGTAGAAGATTCCTTTCTAAACAACAATGCAAAGAAGACCATCTCTCATGAACTGCTTTTATCCTGACCCATTAGAAGACCCAGGGCCCTATCATCTTGGCATGGGAACCACTCACTCTGGGGATTAGTATGAGCTTCAGATTGCCATAAAATAGGCTGTTTCAGTCCAGTTTTGCACGTGCCAGATTCTTGTCTGTTCTTATTTAGATGTCAGATACGTTAGTGTCATATAGAAGATAGTCTTCTTTGCCAAACCCCCATGTGAAACATGGCTACAGTGAACTCTGTATTCAGATTTGTAGAGAAGAAGGTAGGCTTGTATGTATTACCTTTGTCTGTGCTTGCTTTTCAGAGTCCTTCCTTCAACCACCATCACCCTCATAACCGAGCTCCAAGCATCTGGAGGCTTTGATGCTTATGGGCTGGAGATCCAGAATTTGGCCCCCAGGGGGTGGGCCAAAATCAACATCTTTGACCATCTACATCAAGTGATGTGTGGGCGCTGGAAGATCCCCATCCGAGTGCTTCCTATGAAGCCAAGCCTCACTCCAGAACAGTTGAATGGTGTGCCCCAGGTGAGGACCTTTAGCAAGGGTCAGTGCTGAGTGCCCAGAAAATTATTTCCTGACCAACATGAAGGGAGAGTTTCATGCTCGTGCTCTCAGGAGACTCATGGTGAACATTAACATTGGCACTTAACACTGAGCACCTACTTTCTGCATTGTGCTGGGTGTGGTTTGAGACAGGTTCAATCTCAGGCCTCATTGACTGAATAGAAACATTCCTGGAATGATGGCTGTTCCTCAGAACACCTTGGCCAGATCAAGATAAATTAGTCCAACATCATCTTCAGTTATTTTCGCATCTGTTTTAATCCCAACCAGACCACACCTTGTTTTTCCCTCACAGCTGGGCAAAGCAGAGCTGTACTTGCGACTCGTGAATGCAAGAGATGCTGACATGCAGTCAATGGCAGAGATTCATCCAGGCAATGCCTCCTTGTACAAATACCCTCCTACAGTGAGTTGAACTGCATGGCATTATTGTCTCTTTCGAAGTTATTTTTAACTCTTTTTCGAGTTAGCATTGCTTGAGGGCAGATTCTGAAAAACAGGTTCTTTGTGTCCTCAATATTTATTTGCTGCAGAGAACCAGAATGACACTAAAAAGAAAGACAAATTGAAATAATAGATAAATGGTGAAAAATTGGGAAACCACAAGGAGAACATGAGCACAATAATAGCCTCCCACTCCTGTTCCCCCAAAACTGGTACTTGGTGGGATACTACCTCTGATCCTGGAGGTTATAGCCATCATAACTAGTAGTAGCCACTGATAGCTGAACTGGAGATTAAAGCTATCCAGTATCCATGGAAGATAAGGCTAAGAGCAAACTCAGTGAAAATGTATTAATTAGATATTTCAAAGGAATAAATGAAGTATGCTACCATCTGACTGAAGCCTTTTAAAATCCCAGCTATTAACTATTTAGCACATTCATATAAAACTCCAGATGAATTAATAACTAATTCAACAATTAAGTAGCTACTTTAATTCCTAGCATAAAAAATAATTCTATCTGTCACTCAACTGAAAAGTCCAAGGTTCTCAAGTAGTGTCCCAGTGAGATGGGGTGCCACCACTGCACCAGTCTCTCAAACACAGTGAGGCAGCATGGCAGAGAGGATAGGAGAAGCACTGGATTGGTGGCAGCAGGAACAAGCATACACATCTAAACCTGCTGCTACCAATCCAGTGCTCTCCCACCCTTGCTCCTGCACTGACTTGCACAATCCTGGGCCCAGCAAGTGCATCATACAGCACAACTGGTTCCATGTAAAAAAAAAGGACCCAAATTGTTGGAAATCATGAAACAAAAGCTTAAAGTTTTCCAGATAAAATTAGTACTGTATTACTGAGAGGCGAAAGCAAGTTTTAAATTTCCATCATTCCAATGCTAATACTGAGTGGAAGCAAGGTGGTTTGTAGAAATGACGGCAGGTGGATGGCAAACTCTCCACTGGAAGGAACATTTGAAAAGTAGGATCAGGAGATTGGAAGCCTTCCTTTCACCCCCAGTATATTTACACTGCCCTCGCCTTGCTTGTCATGCTACCCCGCCTCACCTGTTTAATCCTGTTGTATTTTGTTCTTTCAAATGCAGGTGTCCAGTTGCACAGCACCCCCTACAGACTTTCCTGCAGCCCAGCGCTCTTTCCACCCTGCCCCCACCAGCCTGTTCTTCTCTGTCCCTCCTTACACTGGCTTTGTTGACTCTCCTCCTGATCAGGAACAGCCTCTCCAATACAAACCCAATAAAAGGTGAGAAAGGAGGAAGACCACCCCTTTCTCCTTTCAGGACTAGGCTTTCCTTCTAACGAAGATAAGTCAGCACAGAAATGCCTACTGTCTTCCTTTGTATACGTCTCTATGTGTTTTGTGTATAAATGAAACAACTAAAAGATTATCCATCTCTAATCCACCCACGTCTGTGATTTTCTCTGTATTTTTAGTTAAGGATATGGGGGCAGTTTTTAAGGGTGCATCTGCATGAGGTTTTGATGGTGGCAGGATTGGATGTACTTACCCATCTGCACAGCAGAGGGTAGTTACAGTCTACTCTGCCTGCAACTGACCATATAAACTAAAGCGCAACATCAATTAGTATTTTCTTTCCACGGACTATACCATACCACAAGGAGAGATTTCTCCTGACCTTCCCATTGGCAGCAGAACACCAAAATGTGTTCAGAATAACTGTTTGTACATATGATCCCTAAAAATTTAATTCTTCTGTCATGATTATCTTGAGTCTTCCTTGTTGTGTGTGTCCATGTCCATCACTACAAGATTAAAGACATTCACACATTCATGGCATGTTAGTCTATCAATAGCTGCTAACTGGAACATCCTATATTCATAGGCTGCCTCATTAGCAAATGCTGAGGACACTGCCTTTGGCTTGGTTTATGCATTGGAGAGGATATAACAGGCACCTTTTTAGTCTTAAAAAAATAAAATACAAAAATCCTCTCTAAAACCAAACTGCCTCTATTAAAGTAGGCTGATAGGATCATGTTTCTAATTATTCCTCTGAGTCAATTTCAGTGTGATTACGGTACTTTATATTGGAAGTCATGTACTTTAAGTGCTTGTGAAATGCAAACAAAAAAACCCCACAAAAAATATTGCTGAAATATTCACCCTCTTCCTTTAGAATTAGTGCCCCATCCACCCTTTTGAAGTGATCAATTCTGCAAGTCTTCCCTCTTTAATCTTTAAGGGATCACCACTGGATAATATTTTAGTGTATTATATTTTAGTGACGTCAAGGGATGCCAACAACACGAAGAAGAAGGTTCTCTCAGCGACTGCAAGAGTCATTCCCCTCTGAACATTCTAAGCATCTTGGTAACATCTGCTAAATTAGAATTTTAAAGTGGTTCTGTCCCTACCTCCTAGAAACTGTTCTGGTCAGTACCCCAGAGGTTAATCCTTCCCCACTCATCTAGAATCTCTTTGAAAAAGGAGGCTTCTGCCAATGGAAAATGTCAGCACTTGCCTATTTCCTTTAGGTAGGAAATGCTGACTGTCATGGTACCAGCAGGGATGTATGTAAGAAGCCACCCTGGCTTAGTAAAGTCTAAGTTTTAGAATTGGCTAAGGCCAATACCAATAAATGTAGGCTACCAAGAAGTAACATTTTCTATTTTTGTTTATTTAGAAGCTGCTTGCTGTCTTTGATGTTTCCTTCCGTATGTGCTCATCAATAAGTGCATCCCTTTGTTTGTGGGCTCTAAAACTGGTGCGAATCTGTAGGACACCTTCTTTTTTAAAACCATTGTACTGTGCCTAGTGATTTTAGCAACAAAATATGTCTCTCCCACATCTCTACAGCCACAACAGGAGTTGCAGCCTTCCAACAGTTTGACTTCACCTCCAAAGGTGCATTCCTCCATTGTCTCCCGAGACAAATGAATGCCAACAACAATTAGTACATAATAAGAAAAACAAATAATTGCACACTAGCTACTTTCATATTCATGCCCCATATGTCACCTAGATTAGAGAGCGATAAAACAAAGAGGGAAATGATTCTGAAGCAACTTATTCATAAACAGTATAACAAGAGAAGCAGCCCCCAAGCTGACTTCCTTTTAGACTCTGTGCTTCTTTCTTCTTTGTCTTTTTCTTCATTCAGTAGCCATAAACCTATTGCCTTATTTTGTTCCACATCACCATGGCTTCTTCTGTAGTTGAGAATCTTACTTGTATTGGTCCTCATTCAGTTTTATTCCCAATATTGTGGTGATTACTTTCAGTGCCTAATATTTTCAATGGCAATTTTGTCAAGAATGTGCTACTGAAAAAGGGAGGTGCAACACCATTGCTCACTCCAGATACAGAAAAGGAGTAGGGATGGAGTACTTGACCCAAGATATCAGGTAGAAAGATTCCATTCAGCTTTCTGCCATCTTTTTAGACTACCTCATGCCAGTCTCCAGCTTGTGGTAGTTGACTTATTATTTGGTATGAGCCTATTTCAGTTTTGCATGTTGCGGAGTTGTCCTGCAGCTTGCTAATGAAATACTGTACACATGATTCACCAGATCTTCCCAAGAGGAACCTTCATGCATATAAATTAAACTCAGCAAAAGTATTTTTCCTTCCTATGTCCTTTCTTATTTGTCACATTTTACTTACTCTTACCCCTATATAATCAACTACCTTTAACATTCCTTCTCTGCTCCCCTAACACCCAGCTGGGCAGTATATATGGTTCTTCAAGAAACCCCTTTCTGGCCTTTGTGCTGCAGTATGCTCACATACATCAACCTTCCCCTCTTTTTTTTTTTCATTTCCCCCTGTCTCTTCCTGTTACCTCCCTGGCTGTGGCACTGGCAGCACCCAGAAACAGAAACCAAAGGCTTCTCCATACCTTCCTAGGTAAATACGAAGTATAGTTTGGCTTTTCCTTTGCAGGGGTATATTATATTTCTCTCCACATTATGCTGTCACAATAGAAATTGGCAATGAGACGCTTGCTCTACTTGGCTTTAATAGCCAGATATACAGTATATACACTGTATTTGATGTCACAGCAAAATGCCCTTCTGCTGGCTAGAGAAAGAACTTCCTCATGGTCTCCTGAAGAAGTTTTATCCAACCTATTTAGAAGAGGAAAGGATCCAGGAGAGACACTGTTTCAGAAGTGGTAAAGATGGAAATCTGGGCTGCCATAATTGTACTGGATCAATTGCTCTCTACTTTTCTTGTAACCCAGCTTTATTGCTTAATCTAGCAAGGTTCTGATTTGGTGGGGAACTGCCATTTTGCTGTTTGATAAGGGGAAAGGTGCTGCTTGCTGTTGAAAGACAGGAACAACAGCTGAAGAGCAGTGAGTTAATAAGCCTCTGATTATTTCAGGAAAATTGAAGCAGTGCTTGAGTGGCCACAATCCCAGCAGAATGAAAGAAGACAATTGGGGTTCATCCTTGATAGAGTAAAAGGCGCCCCACCAGGAGATGGGGCTGTCCGGCTAACTGGTTACCATCAGAAAACTGGTCAGGTACGGAACATGTGTGGCTCTGTCAATAGCCCCAGTGTCATAGTGGTGTTCAGCTGGCACCCTGGTTCAGCATTCTAGCTGAACCATCCCGGAGTTCTTTATTATTTTAGGAAGAAACACCAAGAAAGCTTAAAAAGGAAGTTGGACCATGTGTTACATTTTTCTCAAACTTGATTTCAGGTGATTGCCACCAAGGACTCGGGACTGAATTACTGCACCGATTCCATGAGATCCAATATTAAACATGGCTACTTCGTGTTTGGAGAACAGGAGGTATAGAATGGTGCTTTGGCAGGAGAGCATTAGGCTTGGAGATGGACTTAGGTTTATATCCCAGTCCAGCTGAGAAGTTCACAGAGTGTCCTCAGACAGATTATTATCCTTGCACTGATTGGATGGTTACTTAGCACTACCATTGCTGCAAGCACTAGAATACTGTACAGTGGTATCACGGGTTACAGATGCTTCAGGTTACAGACTCCACTAACCCAGAAATAGTACCTCGGGTTAAGAACTTTGCTTCAGGATGAGAACAGAAATTGTGCGGCGGCGGTGCAGCGGCAGTGGGAGGCCCCGTTAGCTAAAGTGGTACCTCAGGTTAAGAACAGTTTCAGGTTAGAACGGACCTCCGGAACGAATTAAGTTCTTAACCCAAGGTACAACTGTATTTGTTTCTCAGAAGCCAAGTTTGCTCAGACCTCATCACCACTCAGGCACCAGAAATGGTAGACCAGTTCTCTGATGCTAGATAAGTATTTACATTGGTTTGGAGTATTTACTTCTCCCAGTCCTGGGGATAATTCTTGTGGATGTCCGTGCCTAACTATAAGAAGCACTCATGTTGCTTGTTTGCAAAATATGGGCTTTGGGTTTTCTTGCCAATGGTGTAAAAGCAGTTCTGAGCTCAGAGAAAAACATGCTCATTCCTAATCCATGAAAACAGTTAGGAGGTTTTTGAATATGGTGCATGGCAGAGGAAATTGAAGGGTAGAAGGTGCTGGAAATTATAGCACTACTCTTGGCTCACCTGAACTGCTTCTTTTTGTTTCCTTCAGGAAACCTTCTGGGATGTTGAGCCGCAGCAGGACATGATCCTTATTGCTCGCTTTTACCACTGGCCCAGTGGGAAGGTAGCACCCACCCCCTGGGACAAAGGATTCAAGCCTCAACACCAGCCACTACTAGGGAGTGATGAATGGCTGGCTGCCTGGGCTGTGCTCAGACTGACCAAGATGTATGAATCCCATAAAGTGATGGTTACAGGTATGCTGCAGGCATTTTTGGTTGCCTGGTGCTATGATTCCCCACAGGAATTAAGGTTTTCCTATTACTAGTCTAGGAATTAAGTTTTCTGCATTCTGCTTGCACAGGTGCAATGAAGAAAGGGGAACCTGGGATGCCTGTCTGGAACACAGGGACTCATACACTGACTCTGTATCATGGCCCTGTGCCACCTGTTGTAGCTCTGTCAGTGATGGTAAGTCCACTCCTGTAAAGCAAACCAAGGTTAACCAGGTAGGTAAAGTATGCCAATATTAATACACCAGCAAAAGGCTGAAGAGATGTTAAACATCTAATGACTGGCTCAGTCTTGCTGCTCTTATTTATGCAACACTCCTTACTGGCTTACTCTAGTAAAGACTTACAACTGTAATCTTCATAGAGCAATATTTTATATGGAAGCAAGAGTATGTAATACTTAAGAGGACTGAATAATTGGTTAAGCCTCCATTCTGTTGTGTGTTGATTCCTTGGGCCATATCCAGTGCTGCAGCTCCACTGGAATAAAACACTGCTATGCATGCGGTGGAAGCACATGGGGGCAGAAGAAATGGAATTTATGTTGTGCCAGTGGAGCTATATGCACTGGATAAAGCCCCATGTTTTAAGCTGTGCCTTATTATGCTTTCCTCTTGTTTCATTCCCATCTGCACAAAATGCTTTGCTCCTAGTCAATGGAAGAGAATCATCAGGACTTCAAGATATATGGTGATGCTACTTTAAGGCTGCACATCTTCAGCACCCAGAAACCTGAGCAGCCTTTCCCACCAGAGTCACCACCTCCACTTGACCCAGCAAAAACCTGGCCTCATGTGAGTGCTGGGCAAGGACGGTTTTACAGTCCCTACAGGGCTTGGGATAATTGGGACAGACCTTCCACCTCCACTCATTTCACAATCTGGCTGCGTACGTATTATACCTTTAAAGTGTATCTGAAGAATCTCCTTTCCTTCAAAGAATTCTGGGCACTGCAGTTTACAGTTCTTTTATCTGTCCTGAATCTTCCAAAATTCAGCTTCATTGGGTCTTCAGGAGTTCTGGTGTTATGAGAGAGGAAGAATAACTTTTCTCCATATACTCTATGCCATGCTTAATGTTATAAACATGTGTCACATCTCATGCACATTTTCTTTAAACCAAAAAGTCCCAAATCTGCAGCCTTCCTTCATAGGGGAGTTGCACCATTCTCTTGATCATTTTGGTTGCCCTTTTGTCAACCTTTTCCAACACGACAATATCCTTTTTGAGGTGAGGTGACCAGAACGGTACACAGAATTCCAAATGCAGTCACACCATATATTTGTATAAAGGCATTATGGTATCAACAATTTTATTCTCAGTTCCTTTCCTAGTGATCCCTAGCATGGATTTTGCCTTTCTCACAGTTCCTGCACACTGGATCAACATCTTAACTGAGCTATCTACTATGGCCCCCAGGTCTCGTTCCTGGTCAATCACTGCTACTTCAGACCCCATTGAGAGTATATGTGGCATTAAGATTTTTGCACCAGCATGCATTTCTCTACATTTGTTTACAAAGAATTGCATTTATGTTTGCTCATGATAATAAACTCTTCGGGATTGTTAAAACAAAAGGACCTCTAAAACTGAGTGAAAGTGCAGTAAAATGGCCATTTAGTATCATCACAACTTTTCCCCCCACAGGAAGCTTTTATTCATCATTTCAGGGAGACACCTCCTGTAGAGCCTTTCAGAGCTGGAGATGGCTTTGATCTATACATTGATGGAGCCCGCTTCCTGCCTGATGGTGTCACTGTTACCAGGGTCACTGCTCGTATCTTCACCAGTGGTTTCATGCAGTAAGGAGGAACAGTTCTCTGGGTTTTTCTTCCCTAAAATGCCATCTTTCCTCTGCTTCTCCCAGGCTGCATACATGCTATGGGTGGGATTCAATGGGGCAGTCTCACAATTGTTCTGTCTGTGCAAGACTTCCAGACAGAATGACCCTCAGTCTCCTACCCCTGATTTTAATGTTTCTATGGCTATGTCCTGAAGCACGCAAAGGGTTTTGCTTCAGTTCAAGGTGCCACGACAACAGAGGAGCTTAACAATGCCCTCTTATGGAAAACATCTAGCTGAAGGTTGTTTCTGCTTCTTCCTTTCAGAATTGGGCCAGACATTTGCACTGGGATTGACCTGAATAGCAGCATATTTGATCCACTTTACAACTACTCAGTTGAAATCAGAGAGCCACTGATAGCGCCTTGTGCAACTCTTCTGTTAAAGGTTTGTGTTGGTATGGGTAAAGGGCGTGCAAAGAATGCTACTCCTGTGGGGGGTCAAGAGTTAGGAAGTTAAGGATCTTTCCTTTCCTGGAATGGAGCTGGAACAACTCCCCTGTGTGGAAAAGTTACATCATTTGGGGCTTTTTAGTTTAGAAAAAAGAGTAAGGAGGCAAATGACGGAGCTGTATAAAATTATGAATGCTGAGGATAAAATGGATAGAGAGACATTTTTCTCCTTCTCTCATCATATTAGAACTGGGTGCTATTAATGGCTCCAGTGGCAGAGGCATTATATCTCCGAATACCAGTTGCTGGGGAACACAAGTGGGAAGAGTATTGTTGGTGCTATTTATTTACTGTTTAATGCCAAAGTAGGCTTCTAAGCAACCTACAAAATATAAGAGTTGCACAAACATTAAAATATAAACACCCATAATTAAAATGCAACAAAACAGGTGTATACTAAAACAAAGTAGTAGTTAAATCTGGAGACTCAGGTCGAGATGAAGGGAATGCCTGTGTAAGCAGGCTGAGGCGTGTCTTCAAAAGACAGCAGAATGCTTGCAGGCTTCCTATAGGCATCTAGTTAGCCACTATGAGAACAGCATGCTGGACTAGGTGGGCCCTTGGTCTGATTCTGCAGTGCTATTATATTCTTAATGGAGGACATTATGGCAACATCTTCCTGACCTCCACCTCACCTCCAACACAAAACAGAACTATGGGTCTAGCTGCCAGGGGGGAATGAACTAATGTCCCTTGGTATTTTACAGGTTTATTCCATCAATCGCTTAACCTCTGAGCTCATCCAGATCGGTTGGGCAGCTCTCAATGTTTTTGTGGAATGTGGAACACACAAAGCCCCTGAACCAGAGGCCAAGGGGATCCAGGTGATTTAACTGAAGGGGAATTCAGGGGAAGCAGCCTCGGTTCTGAAAATGAAGTTAGGACATGGTTTATAATGCTGATAGGCTCCAGCAGGAAAATGCCTTCCTTCTTCATGGGTATTTCAGAAACTCTCATTCTTTTGCTGACAACCAAAGTGCTACAAGAATGTTTCACATTCCCACTAGATCTCACAGGATAGGTTTTTACTATTAATGCTCATGCTTTCTAGTGCCATGCCAAAAATCCCATCCCACCATAACTGCTGTGTGACCTGGAGCCCTACCCAAAAATCTTGCTGTCTCTCCACAGTTCAGATGCAAATGGTAGGAGGGGAACACAATATATTTCCCATTACTGTACCTGTTTCCCAAGGAGGAGGAAAAAGGGGTCTGTGGATAGATGTTGATTACTGTTTTCCTCAGGTCTCCCTCAATGATGGTGCTCATCAGCTCCGTATTTTTCACAACAGTCCCTGCCCAGATCAGCCCTTCTCTACCAGCTCTCTGACATCAATAGGACGGTGAGCCCCTCTCACTTACATCATTTCCAATTCCTTCCCCATCTTATCAAACTAGCTTTCTTAATATCTGTCTTCTCACTTTCCCTGTAGGTATGTGCCCTGTGCAACCCTGCTAGTGAGGCTTATCAAGGCGCCTGTAAATTCCAGCCATCAAACTTTACAAAGAAGCATGGTCCCTCATGCAAACTGGGCCAAAGTGGGCCTCTTTCAGGCCAGGCCTGACTATTCTGATGGTGTCTATTACTCAGACTTGGCCAAGCCTACTGCAGGAGAAAGTTGCTTCTATGAAGCCATGACCAACAGGTAAACTGAGTTTCTGTCTCCTCAGATGTTGCAGGATGGATGGAAGTTAAAAAGATGGAATCATAGCAATTGTGGAAAAGTCTCCCTTAAGAGGACTGCCAGCTATTACTTTTAAGAATTATTGGTCTCACTGTAGTCACATACATAAAAGCTGAGTTATTATAGTGTGTTCTATGGTGGACTATGTATTTGATGAGCCTATTGATTGGATTTTTTTTTTAATCAAAGGGCAGAAGGAACCTTACAAAACAACAGTCCATCTTACATTCAAATCAGATTAACAGAAGGGTGAGCCAAGGGTCTCGCCCCATGCATCAACACACTTTGGTAGGAAATAATTATAGAATTCCATAACTGTGGGCCACAGCAAAAACAGCTTTTTGTTTCACACAGGTCTGTTGTTTCAGTGCGGGAAATAGTTCACCAGCTTGAAGGTCCTAAGAGTTTAAGCACAGATGAGGAGATTGTCACTTGGATCCATCAGAAACTAACCCGGGTGCCAGGCAGCAGTCCACAGCCTTTCAGCCTCACCTATGTCTCCAGATACATTCCCACCTATGGCATCAAGGTGAATAGCTATCACATTCACAGAAATGCCCTGTTTAACACAAAATTTTATACATGACTGGGATAGAATACTATACAGAGATATGGAAATAAGGAATTCTGCCTCCTTATAACCAGTCTTAAGAAATTTCTGCACTTGAAAATAGTTATCAACCTTTAACCTGGTCTGTTGCTGTGCCTTTAGGTACATGTTGATTAACAGGCATTTATCAACTTCTGAAGACAACCACTAGTATTCTTAATTTTCTAAACAAGTTGACTTTCTTAGCTGTATTACTTCATACTGCTAAGGACAAAAATTCCCTGCTCACAGAAAACTGGCATGTCAGAGTAATTTGAAATGGTATAGTTGAGAAACAAATTTAGTCTTTCATGTTTGTGAGCAAATTAAGCCTTGGCTGTGTGTGTGTGTGTGTGTGTGTGTGTGTACAGTGCTCTTATCCAGACTGACATCTAAACTCTGTGGTATTCCAGTTTGCATTGGACAGAGGCATGAACTTACCATGGTCTGGCTTGACAATTGCCCAATTCTGCTTCAATCCACCTGGGGCATGTTACTTTGGGGCCCAATGGCTGAAGTATGATTACCCCATCTTTGTTGAGGAGCTTGACAAAAACAGCTACCAGCAATGGCCTGTGTGGCTTGATGGCTTCAAGGTATCACATCCTTTATTTTGTTGTTCGTCACTCTGTAAGCCACCCTTCAGTCACAGGACTCTGAGAATGGCCTACAACTAAAAAAAGATGACACTGGGTGTTCCACTCAGCAAAGGATAGGTCGTTGCCTTTCAGTAAGATGGGTCCCATGCTGTAAGAAGGAACCAATCTGTATTTCAACACTGGTATCTGGTATTTTTCACAAGTAATCTGTCTTATTCAGCAGAGTCTACAGCAAAACGGCTAAAGGCCTCCTGAGCCTAGTAACCAGTTAACTAAGATGCACTGTGTGGAAGGTAACTAGGTGGGAGTTTTAAGCAGAAATATTAGCTCCAGAAAAGTTCAGCAAAGTAGAAATTCTCTCTAGTGAATTAGTATTGCTATAATTAGGCTGATTCCGTACCACCTATCCCTACTAAATCTGTAGCCTATATTTTGATACTCTACTGGGGTTCAAACATTTTTGCTAGCAGCGAGGCTCAGGGTTCTTAACTTCTGTTCCACATAAAGGAAGTGTGTGCATTCCTTTCATAAATCCATTGCTGCCCAATATTTTTTACACAGAGAAACATGTCATATCACCAGCATTTGCTCACTGCCTTATACCAGGGGGCTCCGGGTATGTGAAATTTAATTCTGTGTTAAGGAGAACTGGCATGATTTTGAATGAGGCAGTCTGCCCATGGTGGAGTACAGTGTAAGCTTTCTTACTGATGACCATATTTCCAAACTCAATTTGTGAACCTGTACACAACAGGTGGCTCAGCCTTTCCTTTCAGAACCTGCAACTTCTGTTTTTCAGACCTGTCCCCACAGAGTTTACCATAAATATACAACCATTATTATTCACCTGTACCAAGGTGTGGTGAATCCTGCCCAATGTGCCTCGGGTGAAAAAGAATGCCAAGCAGCACAAAGAAGTGTCATGCTAAAAGGGGAACAGTCACATTACACTCAGAAAAGTGGGGCATGGACAGCTCTTCATGCGTTTTCCAGAGGTTACTGCAACACTGGCATTTACCAACTGCCCTTATACCAGGGGGCTCCCAGTCAGGTATAGTTAACCAACCAGGTAAAAGTTAGACATACATACCAATTTTCTTGCAAAAACAATCAAATTCCAGCAGCTGGGCAGGGGCATGCACTTATTAGCACACGCACACACAGGCATTATATATTTTGTACGTTTCCCTGTATCACCTGTATATCACCATTCTGTCATGCTGAAAGTTATCCACTTCCCCACTTTTGAGCTTTATGTGAATGCAGCATCAGTTAAATGATGGCTCATCCCCACAGCTTTCTATACTTTCTGAAGTCCCTACTTGTGTACGCTTAATGCCTGCAAATATCTTAGCAATGGCAAAGGGTACAAATGGCAACTAGTTCTCCCAGCTTTTGGAGGTGGTGATGGTGCAAAGCAATAAACCAGTGCCTATAGCTACTATGCATTCCCCATCCCATCTTTGGCTCAAGTGTCACCAGCTCTTGCCCCACTTGTTTTTACCCACTACTATAATTTAGTCCAAAGTCAGCAATCAGTTTCTAATTTCAAGATGTTTGGGGTGTGTACAAAATTAGTAAGCTTTACAATAATGTTACTTTGTATTGTTCTGGGAACACTTCTCACTATTTCTCTCACTTAAGGAATCTCTTGCAGTAGTCTACTAAAAGAATGCTGCAAAGAAACAGTAGGTGGTTTGTTCTTTTCTGGTTCAAGGTTTGTTCTTTCCTTAACAGATCATCCTGGCTTCCTTATCTGAAGGGAAATGCAGCAGCATTATGAAGAGCATGCTCCAAAAGAAAGAGGTATGAGACTAGTTAAGCATAGAGCAGTAGCTTCACAAAACTTATCCAAGAAGTAAAACGGTGAAGTAAGGGGAGCACTTGCAATCCTTTTCTAGGTCGTATTATACAGGGTAGTAACAAAAACTGATGCAAAAGGTAGACCACACAAATCCCAATTATCCCAAACACTACTGCAAGTACAGAAAGTTCCAAGGAGCATGGCTGGCAAAGATTTCTGGGAGCAAGACAGAAGGTGGTTTGCAACATCAGCCCCACCATCATACAAATACATGGTAAAAAAATAGTGGATTCCGAAATGTGTGTGCTGCAGAGAGATCTTCGCAGAAGACTGCTAAGTCAGATAAACCAATGTACAAGACTATGTTTCTTGATAATGTAATCTTTAAATTGAAAATTTACCTGAACCAGTGGTTCTAAAATGTTTTTCTTTCGGCCACACTTCCAGAATAAAAACTTGCTCACGCCATACCAAATTGTTTGGCAAGAAATACATTGGGGGAAAAGAAACTCAAATTAGTGTTTTTGTAAATATATTTATCCATAGTCTGCAAATAAAATTTTTTTGATACTATACTACACTGAAATGTTTAAATATTTGATTGTCCTTGAATCTTCTAGCCACACCCTTTGAGAACCGCTGCTTTACAGATTCATTTGGGTGCAATGGGGAACATTTATGTGGTCTACTAACCCTGGAGTAGAAGGCTCCAGTATAGAGTAAGGAGGCACTTGGATATTCTGTAATTATATGAAAACCTCAACAGCCTCAGGTATGACAGGTGCCTGCAATCCATGTGAGCCCTACTTTATCCCCAACATTTCACCATTATTCTTGTTCAACAAGCACACACATATAAAAGAATGTACTTAATGCTATAGTTTGAAACTTCCAGATCCAGTTGGTGCCAGGTGCATCTGTGGTTGTGCGCATAGCAGATGGAAGATGGGATGAAGAATTTAGATATACATCAGGGGTACGTATACTAGCTAAGTGAATCTAATCATCACAAACTTTTCATTCCACCCAGGAAAACAAAAGGATGAGCATACTAATTAACCACTCACTGGAGAAAACCAATCTCACTTTCATGTTTACCATTTATCAATTTTCTGTGCAGCCAAATTGTAAAACAGAGCCAGATGACTTGTTTATAGTGGATTGTCAGAAATCACGTATACTAAAAAAGTTACCAGTAACCGTTCAGAGCAAACTAACCACACATTAGATCATCACATCCTAGCTGACCTTGTCATTTGTTTCAGAGTATTGATCAATCTTATCTGCCAGAGACAACAGATCTGTACAATAAGGAACCCTCTGGAAGAAAAATGGCAGAATTAATGTTGCAGGAGACTTCAAGAAAACAGGTAAAATTGGGCTATAGCCCTATTTATGAATGGAACAATTTGTCAACTAGCAACAGCCACAGTGCAGCTCTCCTATGACATAAATGAAATTATAATTTAACTGCAAGGTTTGAAGTACACCCATTCTAGTGAGAGATCAGAACAAATGGAACTTGCTACATACATTTCCTGACCGAAAGCTTTGCTCCACATTCTCCAAATTGAAGAAATGAACCTACGCTGACAATTCTTGTAGTAGATCAGTAAGCAGCAGCATATAAGCAGCACACAAAGCACTACCAAACCATTCTACGTTCTAAATCTTATATTAATAATCCAAAAATTGAGAGAACAAGGTACAAGATCTACTACAGAAACCACAAACAGAAAACTCATTCAAATTGTGTCAAAAAGGAAGATTCAGGAGCCTGGCTAAAGGAACTTTAAAGACTGAATCTTCCTTTTGGACACAATTTGAGTTTTCTGTTTGTGGCTTCTGTCTCAATTTTTGGATTATTAAGATTTAGAACGTAGAATGGTTTGGTAGTGCTCTGTGTGCCGCTTATGTCTTACTGGTCCACATTCTCCATAAGCAGTGCAGGTTTAATTGTGACTTGCATGTTTTTCTTTTAGACAAAGTTGAAGGCATTGGAACAAATTTAAAGAGAAGGAACAAGACATCTTAGACTACATACTAGCTTACTCCACTGGCAATCATTGCAAGACTTTATTAACAGTTTATGAAGAATGTCCATCCTGTAGCCTAATATCTCAAGAGGCCACCTGTGTTTTATAGTGGCTATGGTAAAGTATATTAATGTGGCTGACATCTTGGCAGTGAATGAGGGATAATCACCTGCTTGAAGCAGCCATGGTATTTTGCTTTTTTTAAAAACCCAGGTGTCACTTCCTTACTTGGAAACTGCACAAACACTGGCTGCTGTGCACCTAAACCTGCCTCAGTTCTCTGGACTAAGTATTTTCCATATCTCCATTATACCATTCCTAAGTAGTGGTTTAATTCTAGCACCCATGAGCCTCTCACCCTTATATCATCTCTCCACAATAGAATCCTACCTTAACCTAGGCTCTTCTTCCAGCTGAGTTAATGTAATGTGTCTGACACACAAATAAGACATTTTGCATCAAACACAAGCCTGATTCAATTTTTTAGTTTGTCAAAGCAGATCTATTTTAAGTTCCATCCTTTGTCTTCCCTCATATTTGCAGCTACTCTAGCCAGCACTCTGCTTGACTCCCACAAAATTTGCTAGAAGGCTCATCCTCTTAAACCTATTTCCAGTCTGACACAGTAGACATAAATGGTTTAGTGCAGGGGTCAGCAAACTTTTTCAGCAGGGGGCCAGTCCACTGTCCCCTCAGACCTTGTGGGGGGCTGGACTATATTTATTTGCGGGGGGGGGGGGGGGAGAATGAACGAATTCCTATGCCGCACAAATAACCCAGAGATGCATTTTAAATTAAAAGGACACATTCTACTCATGCAAAAACACGCTGATTTCCCACCCGCGGGCCAGATTTAGAAGGCGATTGGGCCAGATCCAGCCCCCGGGCCTTAGTTTGCTTACCCATGGTTTAGTGCTTCCTCAGACTTGCAGTTTCAAACTAAATCCAGGAAGAATTGCCACCAACATTTAGGCCCCATATCTGCTCAGTAACTAGGCCACAATTTTCTAACCACCAAAAAAAAAATGCTACTTTGCTTCCTAAACCAGACATTTACAAGTCAGTACATCAACTGAAAGCCAGCCTGGCACTGCTGTTGTATAACTGGCTAGGAGGCAGATGCAACCATCTTTAGGTCTGCTGATTGAGACAATAGGTATTTATGCATGAATACGGCTGAATTTTATCAAAAGGCAGTGTTAAATGTTTGAGTAATCTTTATTGAATACAAAAGTTGCCAAAAGTGAAAAAATACATTATATACAAAACCCACTGGCCTTGGGAGGGAGTGTCCAATATTAAAACTATCTATCATACAGCACTTTGAACCGTTTCAACTTGTGGCCTTTCCTCTGCCTGTAAAAGAAAAAAAAAAGTAATTTAGGACATGCATTTGTTTTACCTGACCAGTTAAATACAGCTCTTTAAAGCATTCAATACACTTATGTACAATTGATTTCTTAAATGTAGCATGGCTGCTGCTGCCTCTTGACAGAAGCCATTAACCAAATTACGCTTAGATAATCTGTCTTAAATCTTTCTCTACTTCTGATAATGTAAAGAATTAGGACTCCTGCATAAATAGTACTTTAAGCAAAGTTGCTATTTCAAAGCATCCAAGAGATACATACTGCATTCTGCAAGTATACAGAACTAGTCTACCAGCTAGACTTCAGGTTTAGCTTAGACAGATTCCAACATGCATTTTGACACAAGCAAATTTCCAACTTTAAGTGGTCTGGGAGAGAAGACCAGCAAGCAATTAAAGACAGGCAGGAAAGATGCGCCTGGGAAATGGAAAATATACAGAAGACTCCTGACTCGACAGCCCACCTCCTCTTCCTTTTTCTCTGCAACCACATTTCCACTGGGGGTAGCATCACCACCACCATTGACAGCCGGTTCTGGTTTAGATTTCTTAGCTTCATTATCTCCCTGTTGAGTTTCTTCCTCGGGTTTCCTCTGAAGACAAAATTGTTTAGTCTTCACAAAGTACAATTTTAAATGTAAAGTATTAATAAAGAATATCTAGTGCTATTATGCATTTACTATTAATAAGCTGCCAACTGAACTATGCTTTAAAACTGTTCTGGGCTACAACAAAGGTATTGCTGTTTCAGCTATTGGAAAGTTGTCCTCCAATACTGAAAGCAATCTAGTTCTGGGTTACCTAACAGTCTACACATAGCTCTCAAAATCAGAAGGCGGACTGTAGAAGAAACAGATCAAATATTTCCTAACTATATGGAGAGATTTTGTTAAGAGGGTATCTTTATTTCTGCCATTCTGTTAGCATTGGTATCTTTTCCCTTTTCCAATTAGATGCTATCAATAGACGGGCAGCCGCTGTTGCTTATAAAAATATTTCTCTTATATTTTTCGGAATGTCTCTACCTAAGATTCCTAACAGAAAGGCTTCTGGTTTCTTTAAAAATGTTAATTTGAACATTTTTTCATCTCATCATAAATATTCCAAAAATCTTGGACTTTTCTGCATGTCCACCACATATGATAAAAATCTCCCATTTTTTTCTCCACACTTCCAACACTTATTTGAACTATTTTTATACATTTTGGAGATTTTTGATGGTGTAAGGTACCACCAAAACTGCATTTTCATCATATTTTCTTTGATGGTGTAACATGCAGTAAAGTTCATGTTAATTTTCCAGAGTGATTCCCATTCTCTCATCATAATGGGACATCCAATATCCTGCGCCCATCTAATCATGACCACCTTCACCACCTTGACTTCCCAGTCAAGGAGTCAGTACATCCTTGTGATAATCTTGGTGTCATTATTTAACAGCACTATTTCAAATTGAGAGGGCTCATTGGCAAATCCATTTTATTTGTCCTGTTTGAATGTCTCAAAAAGTTGATGATACTCAGACTATGTGGAAATGGCTCAATTAACAAATAGGTTAAGAGGTAACACCAAACAACGATTTTCTCAAAAATGGGAAATGTTTAAGAGATACTTACAAAAAAAATAACAGTGACATATTATCTATGGTAGTATTTGAATGACACTTGTGAACGTAAAATATAAATAAAGGAAAATCAGTACGCTAGGTTGTAAGAAAGTATTAGAAAGTATTATGTTAATTGTAAGGTAATAATTATAAGTATATACTATATTGAGAAATGATGGTAAGTCTATACTTATTTTACTTTAATTTGTTGTTGTTTTACTTTATTTTATGTACCATTATATGATTTTAGCTTAGCTGATATCTAAGTGGATTTGAAGGTTAAATTAACATTCTAAGTTAAACAAATTTAAGAAGATTATATATTATATATATTATTATATATAAGATTATATTATAAGATTATATATATATATATTGTATGTGTATGTGTGAAGTTAAATCTGTAATATTTATGAATTTCAATAAAGAATTTTTTCATAAAAAGGGGGGTATCTTAAGATACAAATGTAGTATGCTTGTTTTAGACTGGCTTTGCTATTTTAACCAATTCTCCTTTCCACTTGAAATATGGGAACCCAGCTCAGCCTGGCTGTGACATTCAGTTTATATGGATTTCATGCTACCTGTAAACTCTGAATCTCTACCCTGGACAATTTTGCAGGTCCCCAACACATCTAAATTCTCAAGTGCCTGCAGGACCCACAATTAAGCTTTGAAATTAAACCAGGGTGAGTCAGACGAGCGCTGCACAACACAAAACCATTAAAAGCTACCAAGTGCGCTAGATGGCTCTCAGGCTGATTGGCTCCCAGTGGAGAAGATATTATGCAGGATTTCTAAAATTTGGAGAAGCAGAATGATTGAAGCTTTTAAGTGATGGCTTAAATCAGACATAGGCAAACTTGGGACTACAACTCCCATCATCCCTGACCACTGGTCCTGTTAGCTAGGGATGGTGGGAGCTGTAGTCCCAAAACATCTGGAGGGCCAAGTTTGCCTACACCTGGCTCAAGTACTGCAAGCCAGTGGTTACCTATTTTTGTTAATTGTATGGGACACAAACCTTTTTTCTGACAAGATGGGAGATGTCTGTAATACACTGAGGAACTCCATCAGTTTTTTGCCCAGCTGGGATCTGTTACAAAACAGAAGGCAAAATATGAAATACTATAGAACAGCAGAATTAAACTGCTTGCTTTAGGGATCAGTATCACTTACAGCTGAAGCTGGATTGCTTTCAGTTGCCTGTGGAAAACTAGAAGATGATCCACCAACCTGAAAACAAAGAGATTTAATAGAAGTCACTATTAAAAGCCTACTGGGACTAAACTACAAACATGTACAATGAAGAGCACATCAGTTTTGAAGAACAATTTATAAAGTTTAAGGTGTAATGAGAAGCAATAATGAGGAAGCTGGTCTGCAGTTAATTTTTCAAGCTCCCAATGTTTAAGACCACAAGAGAAGTAAACAGGTGCCTCATCTGTAGTGTGTGAACCCCCAAGCTATTTTGCAGTTGCTATCTGCAGTCTTGCTTTAAGAATAAGGGACATATTCAAGCCTACATTTCCACTGATGAAACAACTTCCATTCCTATAACAGTGCTTCATCTACTGTCACCTCCAGCTAACTTCCTTCAAAATCAGCTCAAGAGTTTGGCGGATCCTCCGGAACAAATTTTACATGTCATCTTAACATTAATTATTCAATGTAAGGTTTTTGAACTCAGTGCTTCAAAAGTCATCTCCTACCCCCCCCAAAGTAAAAATTTAGCATTTTCCACTATAAAACTAAGTATCAATGGCATCCTGTCTTCCCATTTACAGCTGTGTATCTCAGCTTAATTTATTTTGCTATCTGCTCCTCTCTAGCACAAGTTCACAAAAAACGGTAGAAGCAAGCCTAGGACTCACCAAAGTTGCTTTCAGAGCCAGTTCGGCTATTCTTGCACTCTTTTGAGACTCCTTTGAATCTTCTATCTTCTCTTTAATTTCAGGAAGCAGTCCCTCGAGTTCTACAATTTCCTTCTCATCCTCAGCTGCTCCCTCCCCTTTTGTTTTTAGTCGCTCAGTCAACATCGCTAAAAAGGTGATATTTGGGTGATATTAGTACTTTTAGAGCCATTTACTCATCAGTTTGGGACTTTGTCCCAGTGTATGTTAAAACAGATTCTCAAGGATCAGCAGCAGCTGCCAAATTTCTTGCAGTATTTGCTAGCTGACACATTAGCTCTCTGAACACCTCTTCATGAAGAAACTAGCTCTGTAGCTTTCCCAACACTGTACATTTGGAGCTTGGAGGACACAGTAATGGTGATGCTTAACTAAAACTGCATGAAGAAGAACTGCACTTCACTTACCCAATCTTTTATCAATGACTTCCATCGATTTACTATACTGCAACACTGCTTCATCATACTGATTATCATAGTGAAAGGCCAACCCCAGATGATAATGAGTCTCTGCAAGCAAGCGGTCATGGGCTTCTAAGTACTTCTGCTGAAGAGCCAGGCAAGAACGGAACTCTTCTATAGCTTGAGAGTAGTTTTCTGCACAATAAAAACAGATAAGCACAGGACTTTCATATGAAAGTAGACATTCGTACAAAGCAGAATTCAATCATAGTGTAGAAAAAAGGTTTTCAATCAATAGTTTTATAACCTGTCGTGATTCCAGTATCAATTTTTGAAGAATATAGGACATTTTACATTTAATATAGTCTGCAGAGATTGGTGGAAACAGTGGCTAGAAAGCATATCTGGCTTGCTCAACATAGTTCAACAGCTGAGAACAAATAAGGAGGCTGCAAGCTTCCTTCCCATGCCTTTCCCCTTATTCATCAGCCACATCCTGGTTTGGTTAAACTGCAGTTAGCCATTATATTCAAAACAGGGAACTATAGTTTAAGTTCCTGGTTAGTAGATAGACAAAGTTGCATTTAGGAACCAGGCAGAGGGCCTTCTTGGTAATGATGCCGTCCCTGTGGAATGTCTTCCCTTCAGATGTCAAGGAAATAAACACCTATCTTACTTTTAGAAGACTTCTGAAGGTAGCCCTGCTTAGGGAAGTTTCTAAGGATTGATGTTTTCAGATATGTTGTAAGCCGCCCAGAGTGGCTGGGGAAACCCAGCCAGATGGACAGGGTATAAATAATAAAATTAGTGTAATTATTATTATTAGGCAGAATAGCTAACTGAAATTTAATTACCATTTAACCAGGGTGTAAACACTGAGAAAGGACCAAGGCGAGGGGCCTCTATTCGTTCTTCAAGGCTTCTAAGCTATGCTTTAATAAGCAGGTAATCATGCATCTGAACTAGGCCACAATAGCATAAAAGTAACCAATCTACCAGTGTACTTCCCAATAGTATAGGTAACTGTATTATAACGAAGTACAGTATGAGGTGTCCAAAATAAAAGGCTTAGTTGATAAACTCTGAGCAGCTGTGAAAATATGAATACTATAAAGTGAATATAAAATATATTACTGACAGTTTATATAATATGTAATGGACATGCAAAAACTGAAATATCATATGCAGTGGAAATATGAATAATAGTATCAGAAATTAATCCACTGCATGCCTAAGCAACTTTAAGGTAGTTACCAGATTCGATGCTAACTTCTCCTAGTTTTAGGTGAGCCTGAGCAACAAGGAGCTGAGCTTCTTTCGTGTCCTGTCTAGATCAAGAAGGCAGAGTCAGCAAGATTGTCATAACACCTTTAGTTGTATAAAAAGGCATTATTTGTCAGAACTCCCAGACATACCTTTTGTATATTACTTTTGCTAACTCCAGCATATCCCAAGCCAGTTCTAAGTTCCCAACATCGTCTTCTTCACTCTCCTAAAGCAAAGTTATTTGAAAGTCAAAGAAAAGGATAGAAAGGCAACTGCTAAGGATCTTGGCAGACCACTTGATTTTTCTGCTTGTTGTAGCAACTGTAGTGCTCTGTGCTAGATGCTCCATGATTCCAATTGTATTTTTACAGACACAACACAGACCACCTGAATGAAGCTTGTGGACCACTGGTGGTTGATGGATCAACTCAGGAACTCCTGCCTTAAAGCAGGCAACTGAAGAAACCAGTCACCATAGGAAAAAAAATATATAAACTTTAGAAAAGGAACATCATACCCCTCCCACAAACTCCTATGCTGAAGCGTCTGTTAGCAAAATTTAGCACTTTATATTAGGGAAATCACAACTTCTTCCTTACAAAGGCGCCAGTTCTGTTTCAGGGAGTCTTGAACACAGCAGAGGAAGCTCTATTAATATCCTACCTTTCCTTTAAGTTGCTCAATACAGCGTGCATGGTTCTCTCTCTCCCCATTTTATCCTCACAGCACTGAGGTAAGACTAAGAGACAGTAAGGTCCAAAGCCAGTCAGTGAGCTTCATGGCTAAGTGGGATTTGAACCCTGGTCTTCCAGACCCTGCCTAGTACTATAGTCTTCACCGCAATGCTTCTGCCAGTTCCAGAACCTAGTGTAATGAAAGCTCACCTTCTTTTAGACAAAGAGAAGACTTGGAAGCACAGTTTTGCAGAAAGACCAATGGCTAGCTAATGATTCAAGTCAAGATTTGTGGACTGTGATTAACTGATTAACTGCTTGACAAAAAGGATTTACAAACAGCTTTAGAGGATTATCTATTTTCCTCCTGTATTAGTTTTGAACTGCTTGTCCTTCACATTGTATCTTACTTCTCTTATGAATTGGCTGTTCAGCCAGCAAATCCTTCACAAGCAGAATTAAAACCAATGTTTGGAAAGTGCAATCAATTTTGCATTGAACACTACATATTCCTTGTCAGTAAATGTAATTCAGAGTAACCCTACTCATATTCATTCTACATTGTAATTATAATATAGAATTATAATTAGTGGCAATTATAATTCTTGCTCCAAAAGCACTTTGCATGTCATTTCAGTTCTTGCCCAGGTCTTTCCTGAGGCTTTCCCTGATGAACAGCTCAGCTTATCAGCTAGATAGCTTCCTCATGTTTGACCTTGCTGTCTTCATAGTTTGAATAGCAGGAAAAAATGCAGTGCCCAGTTCTTTAATGTTAAGTCAAAAAAGGAGATGTCACAAGAGGACATACTTTCAGTTGAGTTAAAAATTGGTTGATTGCAGAGAATTACTTCAGAAGGTGGTGTACTGTTGCAAAAAAGATGCTTCAATAGCAGTTTCTTAAAACAATAGCAAGCTTCTGATAATTAAGCAGATACCATGCACATTATCAGGCACAGCCCTTTCCCTTTCTGTAGCAAATCACTATTGCTGTGATATGAGGCAGAGGAGATGCAACCTGTTCCCAATTTCCTGTAGGTTTTGGAGGCCTGCCTTTGGGCTTTTAAACAACTGTAATAAAAGACACTCAACAGGTTTAGAGAAGGTGGGAATGGTTACAGAAATTAGTTTAACCATGGGTGTGGTACTAGACGGAGACCACAATGCTTCATTGAAACTAGTTTATGTGTTAAAATGTATGAATGCATTGTGTCAGTAGACAAGAGATTTTGATAGCAGAGGGGACAAGGAAAGAAGGGGAGCACAGAGAAGGATAAGGGCTTTTTGTTAAGAATGGAGAACGAACAAGCATCTAGAAAGAAAAACAGGCTAAAGTTTTAACAGGCTAAAATGTTAAAATGCTTTGAACCAGAGTGCTCAAAGCCACACCCCTACTATAACCTTGAACCTTCGGAAGGAACTGCCTACTTCAGTCTTCCTATGCTCTAGAAAACATACGTAATCGGAAATAGTTTCCATGAAAACAATGTTCCGTTCTCCATGACAGAAACATTGAACCAGCTCTTTAACAGGCTTGGACGCTCATTTTTATACTTCACCTTTTCTTCAACTGTAGAGTCATTCTCTTTATCCTCTTCGACTGCAGAGTCATTCTCTTTATCCTCTTCGACTGCAGAGTCATTTTCTTTATCCTCTTCAACTGCAGAGTCATTTTCTTTATCCTCTTCAACTTTATCTTCCTCTTCTGATCCTTCCATCTCTACAAGAATAGTTTCTTATTAATATACAACCAGCTGTTTATACATCTATTTTACTTCACTATTTGTTTTATTCAGCTGTGAAATTCTTCCACCACTATTACACTTCCAACCTATGAGTTCATGAGGGTTGGCTTGGTAGGTTTCTGTGCAATCTGCAAGAATAATCCAAGGATTGCAACATGTGTTTATACGAAGTTTTGAGGGGGAGCTACATAGATTAAAATATTCAGCGTTAGGATATTCTTTCTCCTTTATGCTGCTTGCATGGCACCCCCTGGCATGTCAGTTAAAAAGAATTTGAACATGTTTTAATACTTTTATAGCTTCCCCATAGAAGTTTGTTTTCATAGTAACGGGGGAGACAAAGAGAAGAGCTTTAAAATTGCACTCCTTAGAAGTAGCCCCATATTAATATTTCTAGTTAAGTGTCACTGCATGGCTTCCTAGGGAAACTGACAGGTACTTACTATTGGGTGTCAGGCACAGCAACTTACATAAACTATGGGATAGCTCAGACACCTACTCTGCAGTGTCAGGGAACAGATACCCTCTTATGGAGCAAAAAATCTGACCTCCTACCAGCTATTCAGTAATCCAGATGCCCAGCAAGCACAATCTCAAACTGCCTTATGCTCAACAGCCTTCACGTAACAACTACTACAGAAGCCAAGGAAAAAAGTATTGCTGTAAACACTGGACTTCAAACTAGAACAGGGATGGCTATCTTGTATTCTAGATGTTGCTAAACCACAACTCCCACCAGCTCCAGCCAACGTGGGCAAAATAATTAGGGATTATGGAGTTTTAGTTCAGCAGTATCTGGAGGGTCATGCTTTTAAGCTACTCTTGGACTAGAAATGCATAGGACAAGGCTCTAGTTGCCAGAACAAACTTGCCACTGGACTGTGTCCCTATTATTTATTGCACTTATTAGTCACTTTTTTCAAATAGGAACACAAAGTGACTAAATACTTGTTAAACAGCTGTATTATGCGAAGGTTTTTCAGCTTTACAACTATTTCACTACTTAGAATCTCACTTGTAAACAAACATTTTCAAGGTATTATAAGGTAGTTAAACAGCAATGCTAAAGCAAGAGAAGCAGGACATGAAAGCTGTGATGTCTATTACCTGCACTTGTTTCTAGTTATAGGCCTGAAAGCATGATAGGTTTTAGGATGTTTAATACAGGTCCATAAGCCAGCACCTTTGTGTTGCTGTATTTTTGTGGATCTTGTTGTCAATATATATTCTAGTACTATGCTTTTAATTGTTCAGAGTTAATCTTGCATTAACATAAAAACATGCAGTGAACATCCATTCAGTGTTCTCTATGAGCCATTGCTTTCTATATTTGCTGCTCATGCAAGCCAGTCCCCCCAAAAGCCAATAATTTATTGCTCAACTTGTTAGTTTTGTTTCAATTCAACTGTTCCTTGCAGCTTCAAAATTCTCCTTGGGTGGATTCATCCCTGTGGCACAGAGAATTCTGAATGGATTAGAGTTACTAAGGGTTAGCTCTCTAAATAGATCCACCCACAAGTGTCTTCTATCCCTGTTACCTTCGCCCTCTCCCATCTCGTCATCCTTTTCTTCTTCCTTTTCTACCTTAGGAACTTCAGCTTTTTCTTCTGGTTGTATTTCATGTGACTGCTTGATGCTCCCTGAAGGAGTAGTTTCATTTGGAGCTGAAGGTTCTCCTTCTCTTGAATCCAATGTTTCTTCCTTCTCTTTCAAGTTCACCACCACCTGTTCTGTGGCAGGCTTCATGTCCTCTGTCTTTTCAGCAGTAGCTTTGGCTGGCTGTTCTTCTGCTTTTTCTGCCTGGCCTTCAACTTTCTCAACAGCTGTCATGAATTCTCTCTCTAACTCACCTGAAGCTTTTACCAATTCCTCTACTATTGGATTCTTTTCTACAATTGTGTCTGCCTGCTTTTCTACCTCCTCTTCTCTCCTCTCTTGAGCTGCTATCTCAACTACCTTCTCTTTCCCAGGTGCTTCCCCTGCAGCCACTTCTTTTTCTAAAGTAGTATCTCCCCCAGCTGCTTCTGCAGCCTCTTCTATTACTGGATTAACTTTCACAGCTGCATCTTCTGAAACCACCACTCTTTGTACAGCAGCATCTTCCCTAGCCTCTTCTACCACCACTGGCTTATCTTCTCCAGCTGTCCCTTCTGCATCCACTGGCTTCTCTTCCCTAGCAGCACCATCTTCTAATGCTACCTCAGTAGTTACTTCATTGACCTTTTGTTCTTCCATAGCTGCCTCTACCTGCTTTTCTGCCTTCTCTTGCTCTTCCTTTTTCTCCACAACAGTGATATCTTCTCCACCCAGAGCTGCTGCTTTTTCTTTTTCTTCCTTAGCTGCTACTTCTTCCTCAACTTCTTCCATTTCAACATCCTTCAGCTGCATCTCCACTCCTGTATGCATCAGAGACTCTTCAGGATTTTTTCTGGATTCATCTTTTTCCCCCATGGCATTATATACCTGCTCTCTTAATTCCTCCCTTGCTTCTTCTACATGTTTAAGGAAGATCAAGCACAAACAAATCTTCGAATTTAGTGATAAACATTCATGATCTTCACATCCCACCCTCCATCCCACTGATGTCTTGCTTCAAAGTTACAGCCATCAATACAATCCTTTTGGACCCTTAAACTGAGAACAAGTGCCTTCCATAACAGGGCTTGCAAGGAGTTGCGCTTAAGCAATGAGTTGTATGCCAGCATAGTAACAGCCAAGCAAGAGATGCCAAGCTTTGTCTAGACAAGACATTGCACTGGATTGCAGAGGAAGATGCTATAAACTGAGGCACAGGGCAAATATTGAAAATTAGACAAACTATCCACTTTCTTAAGTGAACGTGGCCTATTGTCACAACATGATCTTCACAGCATCAAACCTTATTAGATGCCACTGCCCAAATGATCTAGGCCACAATGTGCTATACACTAAACAGTTTTGCAATAAGCAGTAATACTGGGAGTTACTATTCAGTTTGTTCACAGAACCTTTGCCCAATTAGTTCATGGTTCTAGAAACAATTAGCTGACTGTCCTTAAGATCTTGAAGCATAGAAACCAATGCTTTACTAAGAAACAAAGTTAGGCCCACATGGTTCAAAACAATGCTTTAATCTATAGGTTTGTAGACGCACTGGCCTTGTTAAAAGGCAGGTTTTTATGCTTTTTAAACAAGTTTTTGGTCAATTTTATCATTAAAAAGACTTTTAGAGAGTCTTTTTAGTTGCGGTTTAAGATTCAAACAACTTGATAATAATAAAGTGACCCTTGTCTAGTATCCACTTGGAACACACACAGCTTGGCATCTCTATCATGAGTTAAGACAGCACTACATACCATCTATATTATCAGCACTTTCTACCATTGAGTCTTCTGTTTTTTCTTCCTCTTCTTCCACCTGCACTCCTTCCAAGGCATTTCCCAGCACACCATTTTCCATTCTAGAAGATGTAAGTAGGCATTGCTGTTATCTTTTCCCTCACCAGTTTTAGCATTCAATAGCTTGAACTCAAGGCTGTACTGATGTAGCATAAGAACGCCAGTTAACAGATCCTGCTCCAGGCGTCCTGGAAGCAAATACATATTTGGTTGACAAGGAAGACCAAAGTTTGTTGACCTGATTATGTAGCTCTAGAATGGCTGCCACTATTCTGAGAAAAAGTTACAAAAAGTAACTTCAGTTCTGTGTGCAGCAGCAACTGGTGAAGTGGATTCCAGTCCATGTAAAATTATGTTAGCCTTCCTAATCTAGATTAACTATTCAAACCACCAAGTGGCCCAAAGCAGGTCACATTAACTTACCTTGCCAATTCCAGAAGTGATTTCCCATAAAAAAAGTAAGCTTCTGCACACTCATTTCCAGTTTCACCATACTTATTAGCCCTAAAAAGAGATTACCAGATTAGCAGGGTGGATTAATTTAAGTCATGTTTCCCATTTACACAAGTGGCCAAAATTGTGGAAACCTTTGGGGGAAAGTTTATTTCCAAGGTTTGATGGCTCATAACACAATTTTTTTAGTAATACCATAAAATTATGTATCAAAGGAAACAAAGTTTCATGAAGAATGCAATGCAACAAAGTTTGTTCAATTATCTGTATCTTATCAAAAGTTAGAGCCAAATAATCAGTAAAATGAATGCTTTAGAGAGCCAATCAGGTGTCATTGTTTAGGAAATGATGGCTCATAAACCACCTTTTTTGGAGTAATGCCGTAACATTATATATCAATGGAAAGATAATTTAATGAAGAATACAACGCAATAACTTATTATTATTGAGCAGACTAGAGATCATTTTCATTCAGTGGAACTAAACATTTATGTTTGCTAGTTGGACTGTAAATCATTTGAAAAAATGATCGAACTGGCTCTTGATTTAAATAGGAAGCCTGTTAACTATGTAGCTGGTAGAGAAACTACTTCATTTTAAAGAATAACTGTAGCAAACATGCTTTGGTTAAGATAAAATATTAACATCACTGTTATTTGAGAATTTATTAAATTTAAAATTCCAGAAAATCCAAACCAAGTTTTAAAATCTATTTAAAAATACTCTTTTTAATCTACCTGCAGATTATATCCCCTGCCCTTTTCACACAGTATCAGGAAGTATTAAAATGGACAATACTGTATTCAACAGAAATACTGACACATACACAGGCCATATGGCTTGAGAAAAAGTTTTGTCCAAATTATTTGGGGGTGGGGAGATATACTTTGGAAGTTCTCCTGAATTCCATCTTTTCACTGGAGTGGCTTCCACTGCTAGTTGGTTATGCCCAGGTAAGTCTGGTTACTGGACAAGGATAACCTAGTGTCAGCTGTCTAAGCTCTAGTGACCTCCCACATGGAGGCTTGGAAACTAAATACAGTATCTAAAAAATACTCCAATACCAATCATCTCAGTCCCTACAATAAGCAGATGAGGCCTTGTTAGTGATGCGACCACCAGGTCTGCTTGGTTTGCACTGACCCACAACAGGGCTTTTTTTGGTGTTAGTTCTCTTTCCAATGAGCTGTGCCTATTGCCATTATTAACTTTCATGTGAAATTTGAAAATATTCTTGGTTATGCAGGAATTTGGTGGCCGAATTTCCTGGTAACCTTGAGATCACTGGATGGAATAAATTTTTTTTTAAAACTAATTGTTTTTATAATGTTCTAACAGTTTAAGAATGTTTCTGCTTTGCTTTCTGAAGTGTGGATCTGTTTGCCACCCTGGGGTTCCTCATGAGGAATATAAATTCAATAATTAAGTAAACAAATAATGTGCTAAAGTTACTTTCATTCATTTTCCAAAACAGGTGCTGTGTTAAAAAAATAATCCTCTACATACATACATGCGCACCCTGAAAAATCCATAACCAGAGACGCCACTTCTGTGCATGCGTGAGCGGCGAAACGCAGAAAAATACTTCCAGGTTTGCCACGTTTGTAACCTGAAGGTTACATATCCAGAGGTACGTAACCCGAGGGTCCACTGAACTTGAGAGTAATCCTGTAAAACCCAGTGGGGTTTACTTTTCGGTAGATCTACATAGACGAAAGAATTCTAATTTGGAAAAGAAATAAATGAAGCAGTCTTTATTGCAGATATTAATTCAGAACACTTGTTTCTGGCTCTGTGCACCACTAGCATGCAGTTCTCCACTAACTACACCCAAGAGAATGCAACCCATAACAGAAAGAAAAAAGGTTGTCATCCCTAAGATAGGCTAAATTCCCTTCATCAAATGAAAATTCAACTGAGGGGATCAATCTCATTACTTACAACAGAGAAGCAGCTTCCTGAAATGCATTAACAGCAGCTGGAATATCTCCCATTACCAAATTTTTCTGCCCCAAACCGAGGTATTTCTTGGCTTCTGCATCCACATCCATACTAGAAAAATAGAAAAAAGGTTCTAGTTACAGGTAGGTAGCCGTGTTGGTCTGCCGTAGTCGAAACAAAATAAAAAAATTCCTTCCAGTAGCACCTTAGAGACCAACTAATACATAAGGTATGAGCTTTCATGTACATGCACACTTCAGGTATCTGAAGAAGTGTGCATGCACACGAAAGCTCATACCAATAACTAACTTAGTTGGTCTCTAAGGTGCTACTGGAAGAAACCAGGTTGTTAGCCACAACATTATAGCTGTTAGAAGCAAGCTTGGTCATTATTTACCTGTTTTACTATAGTAAATCAAGAGTGTCTGTGTTTAAAAACTGCTCGTTTCATTCATCTATTCCAATCAATGTAACTAGTAGTAGCTGACTATTACAGGAAGATAGTTACACTACTCTATTTCAAACTCACATGCACTATTCTTACATCTAATTATATCTTACCTCTCAGTTTTGTCAGCGGAAGTAGAAGGAGCAGCAGATTCTTCTGCCATTCTGAAACTGAAAATTCTAAAGTTAGAATACTTAGGAATGTAACTGTATAAGAATACTTAGGAATGTTACTGTAACATTACAGTAACTGTAATGTATGCTTTATAAATAGAACTATAGCCAATTAAGAGTAAGGACCCCCAATGGCACATAGGCTTGTGGTGCAAATAACTATCAGATGGCTCCTTCATGTATGCCACAACCTTTCCCTGTTAAGTCAAAAAGCTCCCAATCAAACAGCCTGTGCACTGTTCAAGAGGCATGCTACAGTCACAGAAAATTATTTAAGAGTTTCAATTTCATTTTAAAGGAACTTTAAAGGATTTTTGTACAGATGCCAAGCTGTCAGTAGTGGAAGGTATACAATGTGCCAGTTGAAATTACAGCCCTCCTAACTAGTATATTTATATGGACCCCTCACACAGGCTTGTTACCAATGTAAAGAGCATACCCCAGGAACAGAAGTTACCGCTCTTGCGGAGTTATCAGTACCAGTATCCTTGACAAACCAATTTCCAAAATTCTTCCGGCAAAACAATGTGCTTTAAATGCGTTCTGGATGCAGGTCTAGCAAAGCATAAATTCAATAAATATTGGAAACAATGAGCAGTATTACAGTGACTTAGAAGTCCTACTCTATATTGCTGAGGGACCCCAGTCCCTTAAACGACACTTGCTCCATAAGGGGAGGTGTAGAAACAAATCAAGTCTGTACTGTATAGGCTACACCACACCACACCACACCACGGCTGTACATGTCTTTTATCAATATCCAGATGACTCTTGGCTAGGGAACTATCACCATGCGAGTTTCTAGACTCTTACAAGTTACAATCTCTCCAGCAGAAAATAATAATGAAGGCCAATTAGTCCTAAGGCGAGTAACAGAATAGCGCTTCAAGGAACGCTCCCGTTTCTTTAAGTGTTCACTCGTTAACTGTGGTGAGATGAGAAAACGTCGACGGACAGTTCCTTCCAAAAACTACAGTAACGAAGGCATTTTCCAATTCACCCCGCAGTTCCGCTGCAACCAGCTACTTTTCGGTACCACAAATGAATTAACCCAGAGTAGACCCGACAAGCCTTAAGCACCCCCACCCACCTTGGAGCGCACGAAAAATATATCAGAATACTAATATACTCGGTTTATCGAACGAGTTAAAAGGCAGAGCGTTAAAAGCCGCTCTTAACTCCTCCCCCGGAGCCGCCAACGACGCTAAGAAAGTTCTCTCTGGGAGAAAGACGTTTACCTCAGTAGACAATGGGGTTCGTTTCCCGCCTCCGCCCCTCCCCTCGTCAGATCTTTTGGCGCCGAATCTCAACGGCCTCTTTCTACAGGCCGAGGCTGCCTACCACGTGACGCGGCTCTTTATTCCCTCTTCCCCCCGCCCCCTTATCCCTCCCTCCCTCCTTTGCGCGCGCCGGATTGATGGGCCTTGAAAATGGCGGCCTAAACTCCGAGTCGGGTCACGTGGCGTCTCGGTTTTTAAGGCGAACGGCCGCCTCCGCCCCCCACGCCGTGAGAAAACGGCATGCACCAAACCGCCGGTGGGAGAATTAGGAGGTGAAAGGATGGAGGGGGGGGGTGGAGAATGAAACAAAACGCCATGAGGTAAAGAGGACCAGAATGTGCCGCCTAAAGCGAAGCCGAGGGAGAACAAATTCTACGAAGGAATACCTGTGTGGCCGCCGCCGCCCCCATTACTCGAACAAACAATTCAGCGTTCCCTTCGTCCTTACCCAGTTCCCGAAAAGACAAAACCTGAGCCGAACCCCGCCAGCGGCGCCGCCGCCAAAGGTGATGGCAGCCCCACAAACTCACCTCAAGACCCCGACGGAGTGACAACAATCAGCCGAGAAACGCAGCCCACCGCCCCTCCAGATGCTTTTATAGCCCCCTGAGGACACGCCCCAGCAGCGCGAGGCACGCTCTCAAGGAAAAGGAACTACGGCTCCCAGCATGCATCGCGCCTCCCTGTGAGGCCTTTCGGGAAGCCGGAACTCGTCCTGAGGCGTTGTAAAAAACCGCAACACCCCCCCCCAAGCCCAACGGGACGAATGCCATAGAAACCCTCGAGCATGTTGGAAACGTCGCCTCACTCCCTCTCTCCCTCTGTTTGCTGTTTTGGGAAACGTAGTCCGCGGACTCGGACTTTTGTAGCATGCCGGAAAATGTAGTTCCAAGTCAGAGTGCTTGTAGTCCGTAGACGGTAGCATACTGGAAAAGGCTGTGAAATAAATAGCATCCATTCAGAGATCTCTTAGCTCTGCGGGCGGCTAAAGACAAGAGTCAGAAACTGTCTTAACCCTCTGACATCTTTAACTGCTCTGACACGGATCATCTAGTCTGCTGGGCAACCCCCTTCCTCCAGCGTTTTTTAGAAGACCATTTGTGTTTATGTATCTTTAAAAACCAAGGTCCTGGATCACACCACGCATGCTTCAGGTGTGACGAATGAACACAACACAGGGCAGCTCCCGATCTCACGGAGTTCCGTGCATCAAATTAAAAAGGTTGTAGTGTGACCGGGAAGCGGCGCGACTCACCTGACCCTCATCTCTGACGCCGGGGTCTCTACCGGCAGAGGGCAGGGTTAGCCTGGCAATGCAGTGGTGTCCCCAAGTGCACCTCGCAGTCTTCGGCTTAGAGGGAAATGGAAACCATTCGCTCAGGCTAGGAAAAAATAAAGCACTGCGAGTGGAGGAAACAACGCACATAGGATAATACCTGCCCAGGTCTTCCCTACTGAGATGTGTGCGTACTGGATATGTCATATTTCAAGCCCAGTAGACTGGGCTTAGAAAGCGATTGACCCAAAGATTACGGTAAACTTCGTAGCTTTGTGAGGATTTGGTACCTATTTATTTGCGGTTCTCTTATTTTTCAAGCCTTGGTTCCCAGACTACAACTCCCATCCTCCTTGACAATTGGCTAAGCTGGCTGAGCAATACTTATCTGCTGCATCGCTAGCTCTCAATAACGTTGCTATTGATAAAAGATTGTATCTGAACATGTGCAGGCTATGTAGTCTCCCTAACCAGTATGATTAGGATTGCAGCACTAGAAATTAACCTTACTGGCGTATGCCAGTAGCTAATTAAGACCAAGAAACTGACAAAACGTCAAATGCTGCAACATTTTTTCTGGTTCAGTACCAGTCTTATAAGAATGGCCTATTGTGTTTGGTAGGCATTCTTCCAAGGTCCACAATCTCCCTATGCAAAGTTAAGCATGCCTAAACATGTTTATTTCAGAGGTCTCAGGCACACCTAACTGCACAGGGCTCTGCTGTAAGTGTGCACAAATTGTCGCCTTATGGGAGTAAACACAAACGGCTACCATAGAACAAAATCCTACTAACAATACTACTAGGAGTTGTCTCTAGTTAGAGAACAGTTAACACCTCTTGAAAGCGTATATTACTAATAACTGGGTTAAAAGCAGTACAGGATTCTGCACCCTTAATAGTTGTGTAGGGTCAAATTTTAGCAGACACAAGCTTACACCTGCTGAAAATTCTTCTACACAACTATTAAGGGTGCAGGAGCCTTATCTTGTATCTGGCCACCTAGCAAAAATAAGGGAAACTGCACTAGTAATAACAGCAATGTCTTTTAGACAGCAATAATTCCCAATCAAAACATACTGACCTAATCAGTATTAATGCAAAGTTCTCTAAAGATTACAGTTGGAGTAAAGTTTGGTCTGCAGTTTGTTTCCACATCTTCTTACATAAATTAAGTCTTGTGTGTGCTTGAATTTCCATGTTGGCTGTAAGGCTTCTGTGAACCAGCCCACCAATCTGAAACTTTAATTACCTGTTGTATTGTCATCTATGGTATGAACTTCAATATACTTTTTCAGTTAAGAGTATTTTTTTCCAAAGCTGAGTCATTTAAAAACAACTAGTGATGGAGAAGATTTTTAAATGAGTAGACACTGACATGGATTATGCAGCTAAGAACCTCATCACTGTTCTGCTATCAACAGCTGCTGCTCCTCTCGGTGTTATTAGCTCCCTGGTAAAAGCTTCTACCTACCCAAATGTCATCCTGCTAGGTCTTTACTTTCATAGGCTGAATAATTAGCTTCATTCAGTAGATAAGGTAAATTGCCTGCCTAATGCAAAGGTTATAGATGTTAGCCATGGAGGAGACAGTGGTTGTGGTGCACATTGGCACCAGTGACATGGGAAAATGTAATCTCAGCCTTTTTTTCCCTAGTTTAACTTTGCACATCATCTCTTCAGTCTCACACCATTTTTGATTCTCCCTTACAGCTTGCATAGTTGTGCACATCAATAAAGAGTTGGGAAAGTGTTAACCAGGCTTTGGGAAGGAGAAAGGAGGACTGCGTGACCCTGCCAGAGCCCTCACACCTCCTTCCCAAAGCCCAGTCCTCAGAAACTCGAGGGGATCAAATGTTACAGAGGACCACCCCTGCTGGGTCAGGTGGGCCTTTGATGTGATCCAACAGGGTTCTTATGTTCTTAATCTCACGTAAACATGCAGCAGTCACTCACTGTATCAAAGAGTGCACTAGCTGCAGCATATTGCAACCTAGGTGAATCTTCCTTGGGAATAATATCAGACATATACACACTTGCTAGCATATACAAAACTGAATGTATTTACCAAAAAGACAATATAGGTTTTCAGACAAGGTATCTTAAGACTCCAACCAATGGAATCATTATATCAATATACCCAGACAGCTGACAATTTTACTAAGAAAAATTCTAATAACAAAACTGTGGCTTGCATTTTGGATCTGGATCCCTGAAGATGCAATATATGTCTGCTTTTAATTCAAAATGCTTTAACCTACTGCAGCAATCCGAAAGTTATGTTAAAAACTAGTACCCCTTCAACTCCAGTATAAGATACCTGTGCACATGTTTGGACATAATGTTATTAGAGTATCAAAGTCACCAGGAATATCTGAAGATTTGATTCAGCCCCGCACACAAAATAGTTTTTCTATACAAGGACATCCTGAATAACACTGAGTTGGATTTTTGTAAGTTGAGGGATGAGGGGAACAGGGAGCTAGAGAATATGAAAGGGAGTGGGTGACTGTGCTCCCTTTTGTAAAATCAAAAATCAGAATTTCATGGATGTAGACATTTAACTTAATTACTTCTCCATGATGCGGCACTTCACTGAAGGACTGCATAGCTAAATCATGAGCACCATTTCGGCAGCAAAACAGCTGGTATTTCAGCACTAGAAGTAATTTTCAATCCCATCAATAGTACAATGATCAGAAGACTGGTTTACAGTAGCTTCTTATGAGGAAGTGGCTCTTCATAGGAGACAGACTGGCAAGTCCTCAGACATTTTGGACTCCATATATAGACCTGTTTGCATGATGGGTCACTATGAGCTCTGACCTGTTACAGGATTCTAGTGATGATTAAGATTATGTGTACTCCTTTCTCTACTTTTCTCTCTCCCTTTCTGGTTTCTATTTTGTTCTCTTCTTTATGGGAAAGAAAAACAATTTAAAATCAAATAAAATTAATTAAAGAAGGTCTTCCATTACAAAGTACATGCATATAAACATATGTAAATAAGGGAGGGCATTTTGGAAAAGATTGACAGAAAAATGTGAAAAGGTTGTTTTAAACTATCCTCCTGAGAGTTCATACACAGCTGGAGGAGATGGTTCAGTTAATACACATTGGGGTTAATGATTTCCATCTAGCATTAAATGCAGTAGCAATATCAAGCACATCCTGTTTCAAATTATGTTTGCTGCAAGCAAGCTTGTGATATTAGAGCACATTCAGTGTTAAATCAGGCTAACACTGCTGTCATAGCATAAGCATAATTTTGGACCAAGGTGGGACTTACAAACTTGTGCATTTATTTTTAATGCTTACACATGTCTCTTGCAATTTATTTCTATTCCTGTCATTCATTTCTTTATAAACATGTAGAAACAAATAAAGGCCACAGACACAAAAATCCCAGAAACGTCTGATAACCCAGGGCAGTCTTGAGTGAAATTCTATCTTCTGTCTTCTAAACTACTGGAGTTAATAGGGATCATTGAAAGGATAGAGGGGGTGTCCAGCATCCCTTGCAACAAGTTTGCCCTCAACCTGTAGAAGATAAAGTGAAAAAGAAGTACAATTGTTACAGTTATTCTAGAAAATGAATGCTATCTTTCAGGTGCATGTGCATAACCAGTGGGGAAACTGTCACAGCTAATAGAAGCTGACCAAAGGAGCAGCTATCTTATAGCAATTGCAACTTAAATAGAATGTTGGATATACTGTACTAGCAAGGCAAAATTAGAATTAATCCTACTGAGCTGAGTACGGGCCATGAATCTAATGAAATAGCATTGATCCCAATTTGAGGCCCTTTTATAAAACACACTGACAACATTGGAGCATGCGAACAAGTCTCCAATGAAGATGACAGAAAGTTTTGATCGTATTTTGCATATGGTAAAATGAGATTGCTTATAGGTGTGAATACGATTACACTGGGGGAAATGGAACATGTTTTGAAGGATACACACACACACAGCGCAGAGAAAAGGAAAACCATCAAGGGTGACGAGAGGTCAACATGATGCTTTTATAGAAACCCTTGGATAATGTACAATAAGGTTCTGTTGATAAAGAATAGTTTTCTTCCTCATCTCAGGAGCCACTAGGGGGTATGCAACACAGGCAATACAGCTTGTACCATCACAAAAGCAAATTTAAAAATTGCTTGTTCATTAAATATTGCATTGGAAGGGGGGCAGGGAGCAAAATGAAACCTACAGAACTTCCCAAGGACAAATTAGTAATTTATTCTCTTCATGCATTGCTCTTAGCAAGGAAAATTATCTGATCTATTTTTACACAGAAGGAAAATCCTCTGTATCTTTATCACATATCCTCTGCTACCAGGGCCAGCCCTCTCATCAAACAAACTTAGATACTTTACTTGCTGCTTTTTGGAAAAGCACATAAATCTGACCTTTTGAAGAATTTGTAAGTAAACCATTTTCAGTTTGCCAAACGTGGTCTCTTTCACAAAGAGGAAGTAGGAGCTTTGAAAGAAACTTAGAAGAGGATATTTTAAAGATCTAACAGCCTATATTCCGACACTTTACTGCTCGTAAACACGTTTGACACCTGTTTTAAAAATTAAATCAAATGATGCACTGCTTGCTAGCCAATAGCATTCACAAGAAGTAATCATGTTAAGTAAATAGCTTGTCATCTACACAATGGGTTACCCCAAGTTCTACTTCAGCTGTTTTGTTTGAAAGCCAGTTACTAAGGGATAAATGAATAAGAAGGGTTAGAGTGTTGAACACCCTCGTGGGAGGCGAATGATACAAAGCCTCAATTATGGTGAAAATGCCTTAGAGAGCAAGAGGCAACATTACCGTAACCATTGGAACAATATATCGCCAGTTCTTATTCAGGCTCCCGATAAAGCTCATCTCTTCCGCTGTCAGGTTGAAGTCAAACACCTAAAACCAGAAGCAGATACTTTAAATAATAATAATAATAATAATAATAATAAATTTTTATTTATACCCTGCCCTTCCCAGTTTAAAAACCGGGCTCAGGGAGGCTAACAGCAAATATAAAACATTGATTAAAATGCAATTTAAAAACAGCATAAAATGCAGCATCAATATCAATAAAATTCAAAAATTCAGGGGTCATTTTGGGGAAAAAAAAAAAAAAACAGTAGACATCAAATGATCACCAGGGCTAACTGGCCAAGTTGGTCCTACTAGGGCCAGCAAGGAGACCAGGGAAGTATTTAAATGTGGGGTCTCATAATGGGTTTCTTCATAGAAGAGGAAAGGGAAAAGGGAATAGAGGATCAGGCTAATTCAAATTGAATTATTTAAGATATGATTTTTACTCACACTAATCCACAACCCTCTCTACCCTGCCTTTCTAGTCACAGTGCATTCCTTATATTGAGCAGGTTAGCATTAACCTTACATTGTGCAAAAGATGGACCATATAAGCATTTTCTTTACTTACTGCTATCTTATTTTTTAAAAAAACAGCTTTAATCCACTATAAGATGTTTTCAGCAGCTATGCATGTCTGGTGTATATGAAGTATGCTTCTTTTCTGCATCTCCTCTACTAAAGACTAAGTGGAAAAGAAACAAATTTTGCTTCTCTGTTATCAGCAAATCTCCTTAAGGAGCTGAATAGCAGAGATTAGGTGGAAGTAACTCCCTCTGGGTTGACAGGAGGCAGAATTAAGATGGATGACTTCCTCCAAAAGCAAGGGCTTCCTTGCAAGGCCACTGTGCATGGAATTTATAAAACAGACCCAGCTTTTGGAAATGAGACAGAGAACCATTTGTGCACAGCAGCTTGCAATGGAAAACAGACACTAGGGAAACCCTCTCTGCTCACAAGCTAAATAATTTCAAATAGCCTGCCCTACAACCGTTGAGCATGTAATAAAAGGCAGGACAGGCTATTATTGCTTTCCTCGAGGTAGAGGGCAGTTTCTTCCTGAATAACAGAAGCCTGAATTTGTTGCCAGACCTAAGAATCAAATTCCCTAGGGAAGACTTATTTAGTGATGTGAGGCTTGGCTACCCTCCACAAATCTTCAGACACAAAGATGACCAATGAAAAAAGTTCTGACTTCCATCAGGGAGTTCTCATTTGTGGGCTCCTCAAATCTAGTTAAGCACCAGCTGAAGGCTTGGCCATGGTGACAGGGTGGTGGTGAAGTGGGGTGCAGCAGAAAGAACTCTCATAGGCTTCTTCAGCAAAACCAGTGTTGCCCAACACAAAGCCCTCTCATTCAGTAGTGAAGTTGGAATGAAAGTTAAATGATCTGCTTCTGAGAGAGTACCTGTCCAGCTCATCTCTTCACCTGTCCTGCCTAACTTTGCTATGCAGGAGATGGAGTTACTGTCACTGTTTGGTAGTTGTCAGGCAATTTTTGTGTTGTTGTTTTTTTAATCTCAAGCAAAAGCAAAACCTGCTGTCTCTTTGGAGGCAGGAAATAAACCAGCTTCCTTGAAATGAAGGTAATCTTAATCCTGCCTCCTGTCATCCTAGAGAGTGGAACTTCCTAGTCACTCCACTCCAACACACACAATCCAAAGCATTTGGGAGGATCTCCCTGAAAACACTATAATATTGCCAACATGACTCTGAACTTCATTTTAATAGCACTTGAAAAGCCATGTTCTGGCTTAGTGATAAAATTACGGAGTAATTTTTCAGCAATGCTCTCAAAATGGGGAGGGCAGAGATTTATTTTTGCCTGGACTATAGAGAAAAGCCCTGGAGAAAAAGATCAAAGATTATGGTGAACTCATTTAAATCCAAAAAGAACATGTACAATTAAAATTGTTTGAAGTGAGGCTTTAAGAGAATACAGCCACCCAAATCAAAGCTGGAAAGGAAAATCCCTTTGAGGCACTGGAAACAGATGGCAATGAATGCACACAATTGAGGGTCAGCTGCAGCAGACTGAACATGTAGATTACAAAGACTGGATGTGCTAAACTAGTATGCTCCAGTCTCTAAAAATCAGATACCCAGATAAGCCTCTGCTGATACATATAATAGAAAAAGAGTTGATCAACCACTGCACCGTGTGGCTGCTGCACAGAATGAACTGGAACTGGAAAATATGCATGCATTGGCTATATAAAACTACTACATGGTAGGACCACACCTTACTTAGACAATGTCAGTAAGGACAGACAGGGAGAACAGAAGCCTTAGTACTGCAAGCCAAGGCAGTGCTGTTTCTGAAAGGCCTGGCAGGAGGCCTCACTCACCTGGAGATTCTGGAGTATGCGAGCAGGAGTAATGCTCTTGGGAATGACGACCACTTTGCGCTGTACTTGCCATCTATCAGAGTTAAAAGGAGAAGCTGTGATTCCTCCACAATGTCTAAATAAAATCCAAAACAGTCGATCCAGGTAGCAAAATAGTACGTGCCACAGCCACTGCTGCCATCCTCTTTGTTTCCACAGGCCTCTCATGCCTTCTAAGGCATCTTTGGGGTTCAGTGTGTGACACAGCATAATCTTAAGACGACAGAGCTCCAAGCTCTGGGAAAGATCAGTTGTTGGGGAGCAAGACAGAGCTCCAATGCAGCTCCTTTCAGAGAAACCTCAGAATGGATTCTCAAAATGAATGGTTATTTTTGAAAAGTTGAGCCCACTTGGGCCTTGATAATGCTTGCAATATAGCCAAGAAATCCCAGCATATTCTTGGATATTACGTTCTCCTTTCTCACTTGGGGGGCTTTTGTTTCCTCCAGTATCTCTTCTCTTAAAAGGAGCTGACTCTATCTTGCAGAGTATTGTTTCCACTTAGAGCCTACCACTCACCATAACCTTTCAGCCTTTTGAAAGGCCAAAATAAGAAATGGGAGAGGCAGCTGAAAATGCTTTACTGCCATTTAGAAGCCAAAGTCAGCTAAACAGACCATTTTGGCTAAAACAAGGATGAGGAACCTGTGGACTCTCCAGATGTTGCTTGACTACGACTCTCATGATTCTGGACCACCTGCTCAATTTGCTGGCTGGTTAGACAGGAGTTGTAGCCCTGCAACAGTTGCCCAGGGCGGGCGGCGACAGCAGAGGTTTCCCACCCCTTGGGCTAAAACAAAGTTCATAGTGAATTCGCACAGAAATCAAAAAGATCCATTTGTTCCAGTAGGTCCTCACCATGTCCTCTACCAAATTCTAGCCTGCTATTACCTGAGAAGAATCTGAGCAGGAGATTTGCTGTATTTTTCAGCTAGCTTTTTTATCCCAGGTTCTTCCAGCAACACAGGTTCATCTGGGTGCTTCCACATCCGGTCAGGGGAACCAAGAGGGCTGTAAGCAGTTACCACCAGCCCTTTCTGATGGCAGTGAGCTATCAGTTCATTCTGGGCAAGGTAAGGGTGACATTCCACCTATTTAAAAAAGCATTATATAGTAATGAGAAGACTGCAAAAAAAGGGGGGGGGACACCCACCTGCACTTCAGAAGCAGGAAAGGCAGATGCAGGTCAATTCATATATGGGCAGAAACGGCAGTATGGCATTCACAAGCCACATAATTTCTGCTCTTAGAGGAAACCCTCCCACTTGTGGCATAAACATTCTAAAGCAGAAGTGCAAGATTGATCACGGTTGGGGCTGGATTAACTGGGAGTAGAATAACCCAAGTCACTGACCATTTCTTTATCTCCACCCTGCAGGGGCTGATAACATTTCCTTTACTACACATACTAGCTACAATCTGCAACCTGTTTATTCTGCAGCAGTCCTGCTTATTTTAAGACAACATGCAGATAACGCACTCTCCAGGCATAACAGCTTTGTAAAACCATTTATGCCATTATAGAATTTTTGTATAAAAAAGTATATATTTTCTGAAACAATCAAGTTTTGGCTTCCCTTCCTTTCTCAAGACACCTGATCTTAAGGATCCCTATTGCTTTACAAAATGCCTTCTATTACCAGACTCTCGTTTGCAAATACTGTAAGGAATGCTGTGAGACCGGTTGTGTCATGCTGAAATCAATGTTGAAAGGAGAACATTATTAAGAGAGGGTTTTTTTAAACAAATGTCTCTGTTGCAGAGGATCATGCAAGCCACTCAGAGTCTGCAGGACTACACCACCCTTTCCTTTGCCATAAGAATTCTGGTTATTGATCACATGTTTTAGCAAATTGCTGATAGCACTTCACCAGGATCTATCACAGTTAATTCTCAAACTGGGTATCAGAACCAACAGTATGCTATGAAAAATAAGTTTAAAGATAATTAATGGCTCAAGTGAGTCTGAAGTACCCATTCACTCAAATGATCACATCTTTTTGTCAAGAGATTCACTATAAATGCATCACTTCTCCCTCCACTCCTCACTTTCTGCCAAGGAGCAAACAAAATGTTGGGGGCCCAATTTAAATTAGGGAAATGGAGTGAGGAGAAAGAGTCAAACCCCCTACTCTAGTACTGCTTCTTCAAAATAACAGCCTCAAACAGCATGGGCAAAGCTAAAAACAAAACCACCAAAGGAAAGAGAAATCTTGATAACGTAAGAGTGGGAAAGCTGGGCTATTTTGATCACATTTCTCTTATTAAAAGGAAACCAACCCTTAAGAGTAAACAGTCGCTTTAACTAAAAACTGCAAGTCTCAACTACTTGAACCTTTCTTAGAAGAGTCAAGCGGGGTTTTTTGTACAGGACGTTCCATTCTGCAGGGGCAGTTCCACAGCACAGCCACCCCACACTCAACAGGAACAGAAGCATCCATCCTTATGGCCCACCTTCTCTCGCCTGCCAAGAAAACCATCTCAGAAAGTAACCTGCTCCCTCTTTTTCTGCATCTGCCTTACCTGTAGCACAGCTGGCTTTACAGAAGCTATGCCAAGGATATCATCAATCTGACGGCTATTGAAGTTTGATAACCCAATGGCTTTCACCAGACCCTTTTCCACTAGCTTCTCCATCGCCTTCCAAGTTTCTTTGTAGTCAATGTAGTCATAGCGCATTGTGCCATCAGGATTCTTGGGGAAGAGGTTGTCCCCCCGCCTATTATAAAAAAAAGCAAAGCAAACATAACTAGCACAATCTTAAGTCTATTTAAGTTCAACTCAGTAGAAGCACTGCTAAAATCCCATGTCATATGACCCAGATCCAGAACAAACTCTTCTCCTTTCCCACTTACAATGTGGTCAAGTAGTTGATATGATATTAATTGTTAACTAATTGTTAACTACAAACCAACCCATATAAATTTATGGTCGTATAAATTGAGTTATGACTGACCATCTTAGGCCTTGGAAAAGTAACTCCTATAAATCCACAGCTTTGGTTATAACAGCACAGAATCTAGAAGCTGGCACAGAACAGAGTGGGGCACCTATGGTCCTCCAGTTGTGGTTGGACTACAATTCTCACAATCCCGCACTAGTTGGTTGGGGTTGATGGGAGTTAGCATCTAGCAACAACTGAAGGACCACAGGTTTCTTTTCCATAGGCCTCTTAAGAATTCATTTTCATTCATTAGGCTTTTGTTTCCTCCCTTTTTTTCCTTTTGCAAAAGAAAGAAGAATCTCAAACCCTCAACAGTGAAGGCAAACAAAATGAACTGTGTTTGCTGTAAACCTGAGGAACAGAAGGGGCAACAGGGCTGGCTCATCATTCTGTGACAACAAATTCCTACCTGGGCAGATGGTGAAAGATATCTGACCCTCCCATACCCTCTAAGTGCTGCTGTGGTTTCATGTTCCACATTTCCTTCCTACGGACACTCACTCGAAGGCGTGTGGCCAGTGCATGAGGTAGAGGTCCAGGTACTCCAGTTTTAGATCTTCCAGGGTCTTCTTTAGAGCTGGCTCCACATCTTCTGGGTGGTGCTTGGTGTTCCATAACTTGGAAGTCACAAACAGCTCTTCCCTCTTAATGGCCTTTTAGAAAGAATGGGGAAGGGAATCTTTTCAGTGCTCAAGAATTTTCTCATCCCTTGATTAGACTTTTGTGTGTGCCTTCTGTGCTATTATGCTAAGGAAGCTTCATTTCCAGAGTCAACAGAACAACACAGACATATTTTAATGTGCCCTGTGAATTTTTTTTGCAGCAAAAGGACATTTAGCAAAGGGATAGGCAGAATGTCAAAGCAACAGAGCCCACTAACACACAGCAGGCAGCAGGAACAATAGCTGATTGCCATCTTGGTAGGTTTATATGGAGATGTAATTACACTTTGTAAGCAGAGCCAATCTGAAATAAACATGAAACTTCCACCCACCCAGCCTTTTTGCAGCAGCAATATTCTCGCTCCTTTTTTTTTACCTTGTCATTTCCAACCATCTCTTGGAGAGCATCACCTATCTCTCCTTCATTGCTGTAAGCCGGAGCACAGTCAATGTGGTGATAGCCAGCACTAAGGGCATATTTGACTGCCTCCTTCACCTGTAAGAAAAATAGGGAGATTGTTGAATAAGAATGTGGAGACATCTGCTTCATTTTAGCCGACAGTGCCATTCCAAATCTACAAGAACTTATGACAAAAGGCCTATACATCTTGGAGAAAGTTTCATAATTTTATAAAATGAGAGATTTGCACTTTTTTATCCTTTTCCCTTTACACTTTAAGGTGATTTATGCTAAGGTGGTTAGAATGTCAGACTAGAACCTGGGAGACCAAGGTTCAAGTCTTCACTTGGCCATGAAGCTTTACTGGGTGACCCTGAGCCAGTCACTACCTCTTTGCCTAACCTACCTCACTGTGTTGTGGGGAATAAATGAGGAGGGAAGAATCATGTATGCCACCTTGAGCACTGACATCATTTAACAGTGAACACCATACACATACTACCACAAGTCCCATTGTCTGGTTGCACATCCACAAAGAGATAATGTGTATGTAAGTGATTCTCAGCAAGGTCAATACACTTTCTCACATTCTCTCCGTGTCCTCCGCCCACCGGAACTATGCCTATTTTATTTTTTTAAGCAATGTTTTTATCCAGTTCTCCAATGAGAAGAACAAACAACATTTAGCAAAGGTTTCCATGGCAATAATAGAATAAATAATATGCCTAGATGATGTTTCATCTGATAAAGCTCCTGCATTTTTTGTTTGAAAGGAGATGAAACAATATTCACAAAAGGATGATAAGAGCCTTTGGTTTTAGGTTTTCGTTGGGGGTTTTTTAAAAAGAAAAAGATCAGAGCCTCTGATGCCTCTTAGATTTAATTTCCTTTTGCTTATTGGAAGCCTGGGCAATGGATAAAGTATGTCACAAACGCTCTGATGTTCTAAAAAGCCACATTAATTAGAAATCAGTTTCCCTTAGTCACAATGATAAAATAATTCTGTTTCCCTCACTTTAACACCAGCTGCAAGATTTTTCTTTCCTCTAGCCTTGGCATGATTCATTTTATGGTCACCATTACTATTCAGAAAGTGGAGACATTGCTATAAATACACTGTGAATGGAAGTTCAGCTTATTAAATTCTTGCAACACACTTCAGGTTACACAAGGCGTTGTCATCACTATAGAAAAATTAAATGTGGCACACTACCAAATGAGAGCAATTCTACCGAAGATGAAACTTGCAGATGCCTTTAAAACTTTGTAAACTGCTTTGAGGTTTTCATTTTGTTTAACAATCAAGTTGTATATACATTTCATTTTATAAAGTAAAATAAAGACAAATAAAGCTTTAAAACATGTTATTTAAATTGGTTGTTCTGTCTCCACCTAATAAGCATTGCAGTTGCAATGGGATTAAGAGCAGGAGAACCAGTTTTGGCTGCCAGCTATTATCAATAATAATAATAATAATAATTTATTATTTATACCCCGCCCATCTGGCTGGGTTTCCCCAGCCACTCTGGGCGGCTTCCAACTGAATATTATTATCAATAAATCATTATTTAGATTTAAAACATTTAAAAACACATTATGCAAAAATGTCACCTCCATTATCAGTGCCTGAAGATATTATTATCATTATCATTATTAATTAAATGTGTATACTGCCCGTCATCTGAAGATCACAGGGTGGTTCACAACAAAAATGTACAAAATGAGAACACAAAATACAGAGAACAAACCAGTAGCCTCTTCCCTTCCCACAAACACATTTAAAATGCCAAAGAATGTTTAATCTCATTCTGATTAAGTTTCCCTCAGCTGGCTCACTTTTTTTGTGCAAAGGAGAAAGTGAATGCAAGCTTCATGCCTTGTGACTGGAAATTAGCCTCTCCTCAGAATCCATGTTTGAGCTACTCTATTAGGAAGGCAAAATAAATAATATGTACTTCCTGCTTGTTGGTTCCTGATAAATCCTTATTTCCCCCTCCTCCTAACCATTTTTCTTTCAAGTTGAGGGAAGAAAAGTGTCCTCCCACCAAGGCAGAACTCTGGGTCAGACAGAGAGTGAGACAAACAGACTGAAAAAGAGACTAATAATTAATTGCAACTAGTAACATGACTGGCCTCCCTTCAAAAGTAATTTTGGACCCCACTAAGTTGTAAGAATCTATAACTGCACTGAAAAAGCAGAGCCAGCAAATGGAACTTCAGTGAAGTGGAGACTGGATGTTTAATAGGACCTATAAAATTTATGCAAAGTGGGTGTTCTTCCTCCTTCTTTATCTTGCTTTTGGAATGTGCAAAATCAATCACTACAGAGGTATTGAATAAAAGATGGTGCAAGAGAATTCAGAGGCAGAGACTGTTCCAACCTATGTTCAAATGGACAAGCAAAGGATGTGAATTAAGGTCACATTCATACCACATGGCTTCCCCCAGAGAATTCTGGGAACTGTAATTTACCTCCCACAGAGCTACAATTTCCAGAAACACTCTGCAGGTCTGTGGCTGAGGTAGAATTTGACTTCTGGACTCTTCTGTAGTGAACCTCAGCAGCATGTCTCTCACTGCTAGATGAAAGTGAATCACTAAGTCATGCCGCTATTGCACATGGACTCAGATTCAAGTGGACACTACGCCAAACCCAACCAACATCTCTGCCCCTGTCCAGCTAAATCAGAACATGAACTGACTCTGCATTGCTGTATCTACATTCAGGATAGCCATTTCAGTTCAATATCCATTTGTACTTTCATATCAAAAAGAGGAAGGCAAATGAAGAGAGAAGGAGGAGGTGCAACAAGTAGGTTAATGCTATCCATGCACAATCTCCATTCCTCATGACTGCTGCTCTTGGATGAACACATTAATTCAGTATCATGCTTAAATGCCAGAAAAGTAATTGTGCTCTTCTCTATTACACCTTGCTCCTAACACAACATGCATGTGTCTGAGGAAAACTCCCAGTCATTTAATCACAATTAAGAAACTGAAAAATGTTCTATATGCACAGAGTACATACAGTAGCTCCTGGTCATGCAACCTCACCTTTCTATGCAGCCACAGATTAAAAGAAAAAGAATAGGAATCTGAATGGTTTTAGCATAGAGTTCTAGAATTCCCCTCTCTCAAACACTAAATTCACGGCTTACCTGTCCAGCGTCACTCTTCCAAGTACCCAATCCAACAAGAGGCAGCTTTTGCCCAGTATGAAGCAAAGCATAGTTGGCCTCGGAAGACATCTTTACCTAAAATAAATGCAATAATAAAAATATTAACTAGGACGCTATACCAATTTGTTTTGCTACACAGAACAGAATGTGTGGTAGACTTATTATTCTTATTTAAGCTGAAACTGACAGAGTGGAATGTAAAGTGTAAATATATAATAGGATGAATTATATTACATTTTATCCATTTTATTAATGTAGAAAATTTAAATCCTGCCCTTCCATGGCAGACACAATGTTCACAGTGGCTTACAACTATTTAAAAACATCTACACCCACACACAAAATAAAAATCCATATTTGGACAATACCTGTATTAAACCAACAGCATATTAAGAGGAATCACTGTAGACGTAACCTGCAGGGTGGGAGAGTTGTGCCTTTGCTGCTAGTACTGTAAAGACAGGCTTTCCTTAAATAAGAGGTGCAGCTCAAGTTATTCTTTATAAATTAGAAGAGCTTGCTTTATTCCAAAAAGTGAAGCATGGATGCTGCAAGTCTGAGTTTAGAAATGACTGACCACAAGGATTTAGGCATAGTATTCCCCAAGCTCATACCCTCTCCTTCTCCTGCCATGTACCTTAGGATGTACCGTAACTTGAAGATATCGTAAGTCTATGCACTTCAATGAATAAATCTGTGCATAAGCTGGCTGGCAGGTCTGTATCTGTAGCCTGATGCTCGCTTGTTATCAGAACAAGATATCAGTTTATCTTCTGACAAACTTAGAGAAGCATATAAAGGCAAGGTCTCTTGGTCTGTCCCAAAGCCACGGTCAGAGCCTGTTTCATAACAAGCAGATCTACAGAGCAATATCAGGTTTTCATTCTCAACTTTCTGTTCGCTGTCCAAAACTTACACAATATACCACCATTAACTAACTCCTTCCCTGTTTCCTTCACACCCATTGCCTGAAAGTTGCAGATTCAATGGATTTTTATTCAGATGCAGGTTTCACTGAATTCAGCTGCATGTGCATGGAACTGAAAGTAATTAAAAGGCATTCTGCTCGACTCTTTGTTGGATTAGTTTAAGATAAAGGTAAGGTAAAGGTAAGGTAAAGGTACCCCTGCCCGTACGGGCCAGTCGTGTCTGACTCTAGGGTTGCGTGCTTAAGAGGCCGGGAGCCGTCGCCGTCCGAAGACACTTCCGGGTCACATGGCCAGCATGACGAAGCTGCAGCTGGCGAGCCAGCACCAGCGCCGCACACGGAAACGCCGTTACCTTCCCGCTATAAAGCGGTACCTATTTATCTACTTGCACTTAAGGGTGCTTTCGAACTGCTAGGTGGGCAGGAGCTGGGACCAAACGACGGGAGCTCACCCCGCCGTGGGGATTCGAACTGCCGACCTTACGATCAGCAAGTCCTAGGCACTGAGGTTTTATCCACAGCGCCACCTGCGTCCCTTACGTAAAGGTATAGGACCCCTGAACGGTTAAGTCCAGTCAAAGGCAACTATGGGGTGTGGCACTCATCTCACTTTTCTGGCCGATGGAGCTGGCATTTGTCCACAGACAGTTTTCCAGATCATGTGGCCAGCATTACTAAACCACTTTGTCGCAATAGGACACCGTAACGGAAGCCAGAGTGCATGGAAACACCATTTACCTTCCCGCTGCAGGGGAAGGTATTTATCTATTTGCCTATTTATCTACTTGCACTGGTGTGCTTTTGAACTGCTAGGTTGGCAGAAGCTGGGACAGAGCATTGGGAGCTCACCCCATCACATGAATTCGAACCACCAACCTTCCGATCAGCAAGCCCAAGAGGCTCAGTGGTTTAGACCACAGAGCCACCCACGTCCCTTGACTTACTGTACTGTATGTGCTGATTGAAAAGTATTTTGTTTATCAAAGAGGAACATCCTACAATGTGCTAAAAGCTGCTTTGCTGGCTGAATTGTAAAAGGAAATTATGTTTCAAGAGATTCCAGTCTCCGTCAACTTCCTCAGCTTTTGCTGAGATCAGCTGTATAGCAGTGTCCCATGAAACTGCTTCCTCCATTTAAGCACCAGCTCCATTAGACAATTAAAGCAGGATGAAAATTACATTTCTACTTCTACTATTAAATTTCTAATAAAATAATCATAAATGCCTATTGGATACTGCCAATGAGGAAAACGAGCTTAAGTTACAGGGCCTACATGCAAACAATGGCTTGGTGTGCAGAACGAGTCTCCCTCTTTAAAACTCTTATCCACACTATATATTCACAACACATGTATATTCATAGCTTCCCTGTCTTTAAAATCATAGAATAGAATCATAGAGTTGGAAGGGACAAATATATATATGTGTGTGTGGAAGACAATCCTATACATAATCATAAGCAAGTCCCATTCAGTTTAATAAGCTCTTTTCCCAAGGAAGCATGCACAGGTTTGCAGTGCAACCCTATACATGATTACTCAGAAGTAAAGTCCAATTGAATTCAATGGCATTTACTCCCAAGTGATTATGACTTGCAGCCTCAGCCTCATCATTATTCCTGGGGAGGTCCTTGAAAAAAACATGCTAGGATTCAAACTCATGTACAAAGCTAGCACATTAACCACTTGGTTACACTGATTCATTGTCCTGTGAAAATATGACACGGAAGCCTTTAAGAGGACAACCAGCAAAGAAAAGTACATGTTGTTATTTTAAAAATGTCCAAGAATCTCTTTTGACAAAGCGTAATTAGTACCTATATGATTTGATTTGTGCAATTCAGTATACTAGCAGAGGCTGATGAGCAGACTCTTGGGCTGGGGTACTGGTTTTTTTGGAGGGGGGTCATGTTGCTGTTGTTGCCGGTTCTTTTGTGTTTTTATTTTAGATCTTGTGATTTATGTGGAAATTATTCCATATGGTTGTATATTTTTTGAATATTTTATTTATTGTTTATTACTTGTGTTATTTTGCAGTTCTGTATTTTTTTCATGTTGTAAGCTGCCTTGAGCATAGTTTAAAAACTGTGGAAATGTGGCATACAAATAAAGTTATATATGCACGGTATGTATACTATTCATTCCAGCTCTCCACTTTAGATAAGATAAACATCAATCTAAACTTTAACCCAGGGCAAGTTATAATATATAATCAGTAACTTGATCAGTAGATGCCAGCAGTTTCATCCTATTTCACCTGACACAGAGGCAAATAAACCCAGTTCCAACTGCAGCTATAGTGCATAGATTGCAGAATTAAAACAGCAAAGGCTATAATTGATTCTGTTTTGAAGACAAGTTATATGAATTTTTTCATTTATGATTTGGTCTAGACATCTCTCCTAAAGTTATTATCCTTTACAGTGCATGGTTTACAAAGTCTAGCATATTATCAAGATGGTTCTGGGTTACTCTCTATCTGTAAAATAGAAACAGAGGCTGATAGTGACTTATCCAACACCATAAAGTTAGTCCAGTGTAAGTTAGGAACTAAGTTCAGGGTTCCTAGGAGCTAGTTTAACCCACCACCAGCCATGAGGCCACACTGGTTCAAATTGTTTGCTTTGGAAAGCAAGTACAGTGGTACCTCGGGTTACATATGCTTCAGGTTACAGACTCCGCTAACCCAGAAATAGTACCTCGGGTTAAGAACTTTGCGTCAGGATGAGAACAGAAATCGTGCTCCAGCAGCGCAGCGGCAGCAGGAGGCCCCATTAGCTAAAGTGGTGCTTCAGGTTAAGAACAGTTTCAGGTTAAGAACGGACCTCCGGAACGAATTAAGTACTTAACCCGAGCTACCACTGTACAGTCCAGCAGATATAATAGTGGATTTAGAAGCGTTGACTTTAAATCACTGCTGAGCAGACTTGGGCAAAGGGCACACAGGACTTTGGGCGGCAGGGGCAGGAACAGTACAGAAGCTGTCCAAAACAAAATTACCAGCTGACAGCATTACACGTAATAGTTGATTCACACAATATTATTGATGTGACAGTATCTTCTAAAAATATGAGCTACAGTCTAGTTTGGGGTTAGGGAAAAGACATTCGGGAAAATACATTCCGTGAGATTGCACACAGCTCTGTCCTGCAAGCAAGGGGAATAGGGGTCCTGGGGGTGCTGTTGCCTCCCCACCCCAAAACTCAACTATCAGCATATTTGTACTCTGAGCAACAATCCTATGCACACCCAATTTCTACTGATCATTACATACGCAGGAGAAAACTACAAGTCTAATTAGTTTACACACTAATCCCAGAAAAAAAATGCCCTCTGGTTTTAGTTAGCTTGCTTCTAGACAAATTTATGTTTAGGATAAAACCTACAAAACTTTTTCTTTAAACACTCTGTTAAATGGTTTCTGAATCAGGTTAAATTGTGAATATGATCAACCAGAGCAATTTAGTTTTTTCAGTTTAAATATAATTGAACCAAGTACAAATTGAGGCAGTCTGAATAATTGAGACAGCAAAATAATTAAGAGAACTTGCTCAAGCAAATCTTCAGGGAATCCCTTAGCGCCTCCACTTGCCATAGTGCCAATTGTTACACCACACTCCTAGCTACTGGATGCTTGTAATTTGCCTCAAGGTTTATTGCAACCACTCACAACAGAAATGTATGGGGAGTGGGTGGGTGGGTGGGGGCAAGAGAGCAGAGTTTTGCCCAGAGGCATGTGATACAAAATGTAGACTCCCTGCATTTTGGTAGAGAATCCCCCAAATATGTTACTGTACCTCCATTTCAAAATTAAAAAGGGAATGCACTCAACCCACAAACATTAGTAGTTTAACCTTTTCTCTTTCTCCAAAAAATATATGGTTTGCCCATGCATACATTACTGGCAGACATTACCAAGGATTTCTAAACAGGAATGCCAAGGGGTAAACTAAGCTACTCCGGGGTGGTGCGTGCTCAGTGGTAGTAATCTCCAGGAAGAGTGGTTACAGCACCCATAATTAAATATCTGTTAAGTGTGGAAACAACTGGATTTTGATACGTAGTCGCTGCAAAGTACACTACAGACACGGTTGTACTGGTGTGAATACATGCATCGCCTGCCATAGTTCTTAATGCAGTTTCTACACCTTCACGGGGGGGCGGGGCGGGGAGGACCCACAGCTTTCAATGGAACTTATTTCCAAACAAATACTGTATACGTAACTCCTATGAACACTTAGTTGGAAAGAAGACCATGTGGAACTCACTTCAAGGCAAACACGTGTAGTTTCACTCGCCACGCATAATACCACGTTGCGCTTAATGCACGTTAGTGGTACACGCTGTTGTTGTTTCCCCCCCTCCCTCTTTCTTTTAACAATTTTTCCATCCCCTAGCCCACCAAAAGGGGAGGGGAATCAAAATAAAAAAGCAGAGCCTCCGGGACAGGAGCGATTCCTCTATTTTCTACCCCACCTCCTGATTATACACGAATCTGACTGACGACAATCAAGTCAGGCAAAGCCAGAGATTAGCTAACCATGGGAAACTCACAACCAGTTTGCAGCGCGCCGCGTCCTCGAGCGCTCCCTTACCTCACCGCAGTTCAAAATACTGTGCACATCGACAACTCCCCCGGCCTCCAACTTCAACGTTTCCGTTTCCGGGTTTGATATGTAACCGTATACTCCTCACTTTTCAACATTTTCCAGCTCACGTGGGTGCGATGCGTTAACAGTTATTGCTCTGTATTCCCCCTCTTTCGGAAAGGCTTTGGTAGAATTAAATCGCTTCCAGTACAATCTGGCAGAAAGCTTTACTGAAGAAAGTTTTGGGTATACTGTATTATCTACGACAGTTGGGGTGGACTTGCCTGGTCATGCTGCAACCAGAGTATGATAAAAGGGCAGGATCCCAGGATTGCCTAATCTCAGTTAAAGCTAGAAAGATGTTCATAGTTAGATAAGGAATGTGGCGAAAGCTACTACCAGGATTGTCAGTGGTAGCAATAACAAACAATGCCAAAAGGTATCTTTACTCCTGCCTGACTCCATTTGCGGCAATTCACACACACGGGAGAAATGTGCATTCATTGAGAACCGGGACTAAAAACCTAACTGCCTACCTCTGATAGTTTCAGTTTCTTTCAGATTTGCTGATTGCAACCTGTCTGTTCCATATAACTTAATAAAGAAAACAGAACATTTCTTTAAAAAAAAAGAAATACTGCCCCTCAGTGAGGCCAAACTTAGATTCACAAAATGTTTGGGGGTATGTGTACCCCTACGTCCCCCCAGAAAAAAACATTGGTTACACCCCTTTATCTACACATACCCCACCTTATATTCTACTTCCAGTCATGCTTGAATCCACTCGCTTGAACCCACTCACATCCTTTTTTTAATGGTAAAGCAGTTTGTGGAGGTTGAAGTGTGTAGTCCTGTCATGGGTCCCACTATCGCCTCACATACATATGTGTGCAGGTAGAGCTCTTGTTCCACCCATGGTTTTTGGGATCCTACACACACAAACACACACACACACACACACACACACACACACACCTGGCTGTGTAAATATATATGTCAGTATATGCCAAAGGCTCTTCACGTGAATGCAAAATGCATAGCTGTCAGTGAATTGAGCTACACAGTGCTGACGCTGCATCTCCCACATGCATTATTTCGTTGTGTGAATGGGCTGAAGTGACACGTCCCTCCTCCCCAATATGACAAAGAAATAAAATTTATTAAGTTTTTGTAAAATACAAACATTTCTTCCTTATCTTCTCCACCTATCATAATAATAGGCATTGTTTTAGTCATAATTGCACAATGTGGTAAGGAGTGAGACCCCTTGGCAATGGAGGCTGGGTCTAGTCTCTGGAGCAGGCATGTTTTACCTTCCCTACGCAATTGTTTTCAAATGTAATACTTTACCTTTCTCCACAAGTGTGAATAGAAATCATTCATTTATATACTGTATACAGGTAGCCAGATGCAAGAGGATAGGACTCTTGCACCTAAGAGTTGTGTGGATAAAGGAATTTCAACAGACACCAGGCCTCATTTACGTAGATGGGTTGGAGATCAAGAATGCAGTACCAACCATGCCTACTCAGAAGTAAACCCTACGATATTCAGCATGGACTTGCTATCACGTAAATAGAGTTAGGATTGCAGTCTCAATCTGCTACTTGCTTCTGACAAACTCAGCCATTGATAATCAAGTCTATATTTGTCCTCCTTACCCGCTGCCTTGCAGGACATCTTAGGGAGAAGATAAGGCTAAGAATTAAACTACACAAATCTGGATTGGAATCCCTAAAATGGCTGGATGGCATCTTGTACAACTCCTTCCAGCAACTCCTGCAGCCAAGCTGGTGCCCAATGTATTGCCCTGCTTTCCTTTGGATCACATCAGCGAGGCCAAGAAGTGGGGCTTGTCATCTGGGCAGGGCCAGATTAAGAGTTTTAGAGGCCCTAAGCACTTAAAATATTTTGGTGCCCCCATATATATCCAATTCATAATATGAACCATAATAAATTGTAAAATAGTTAGAAACACTGTATCTTGGTATACAGTAATTCTTATTATGAATGTAGTTCCTGTGACCCTTCATGAACTCCCACTGAAGAGATTATATGGCTCACATTAGTAGACCACTGGCATATGAAGTAATTTAAGGAGATAAATCATGTGCAGTAACACCTGCATTCCTCCCCCACCCTGAACCTGTTGTAACATTAAGTAGAGTGAGGAAGCAGCCTCAGACAGATGATATTGCGTGTCATGAAAGAGTAGCAAATTTTTTAGCTATTTAATGTATTGTTATTGTATTTTTACTGCAAGGGAGAAGTACTACATGTGGGATTTTCTGCTTCTGGTGTCAAAATAACTTGGCCAGCCTTAGGAAATGGGTTAGTGGTAGTGCTACAGTATTTGATTTGCTTTTCTGCATCAGGCAGCAAAAAGTATTGTACCAGCTCCGGTTCTTTCACTTAGTTAAAAAAATTCCAGATTGTTTTCTTTTAATGGATAGTTTCTAGACCTCTTTAGATTATGAATTTACACAGATACATTATATAATTTACATTTATGAATAAATACATTAATACATTGTTCCTTTTGTATAGGGAGTTGGTAATATGTAACACATTCCTTACTATTTTGCACACTTGTACATGTGGCTTGGACTTTAGACATTAATTCTGCTGTAATTGATTAATCCATCATTCCTTTCCCCCCTCAGATTAGCATTTTATAGTCGTGAATTTCAGATACACTGTTCAAATAATATAAAATAAAGTTAAACATAAACCCAAACGATAAGAATATTATCCTGTATAATATTATGTTTTTAAAAGAATTAAACACTGAGTTTCAGATCATTATTCTTGCAACATAATCCATGAAAAAAATCATAGTGGATCAGTTCAGTCATACTTCTAATCTAGCACAGTGTTTCAGTACTAAACCTGGTTATCCATAAGTAAGCCTCACTGAGTTCAATGAGTTCAAACCTACTTGGTAGTATGCATTGAACTTTTTGTGTGTCTTACTTCTGAGTAAACATTTATTGAATTAGTTTGCCCATCTCGTTTTTCCTCCTCCTGGATTATATAATCACCAGTCCTGAGTGTTGTTATTCCATAAGACATACTAATTCAAACTCTTGATTCTTTACAATAATGTTAAAGCAGCCTGTATCTGAGAAGTAGCATAGCATTAAAACTGAAATATTGTTTCAATAAATGTTTAAAAAATGGAAACACTGACATGCATTTAAAGGCAACTGGGACTTGGGGCAGGTGTTATTTGCCTCTGAAATGATTCATTATTCCTCTCTCAGTCGACCTTCGTGATTACTGTAGTCATTTGGCCCAAATCCATACCTCTCAGAGGTACAGAAACAAATCCCCATTTGGCTTCTCACATGATTACTTCTCCACAGTGTTATCTGTCTCTTGGAATCAAAGTAAAAAAGAGATATCCCAGAGGAAAGGAACAGAAAAGTTGCATAAGGAAGAAAGTTGAGCAGAGAGAAAATAAAGCAACAATAAATACCTGAATTGAAGAGAACAGATGAATAAGTTATTTGAAGTAGCATGAAGTAACACTGACAAGAGAATGGCTCATGTGAATAAGACTAACTAATAAATAGCAGAGGTTTTAAAATAATTAACCTTAAAATAGGAAAAATAGATTATCCAGTAACATGCCGCCTCCCTGGTTACAAGGAAATATGGCACTGGTATCTTGCAAACACTGTTGATAATGTTGTTTTTTGCTAAATCAACAAAATACTGAGTTTCTGTTTGCTTGCAGTTACAGTTTAAGTGACTGAAAATGTGGCTTTATTTGGCCTTGCAGGATAATGTGCACATCAATGGTTAATAATAGTGTATGCCTCTGAGGGTAAAGTAACATTCTCTCACCACTAACAGCCCAAGGGTAAGCTAGGATTATGAACAAATCCACATCCAGGCAACTCCCATTTTATAAAACCTGTTTGAACAGAACTATTGGCTATTCAGTGTTGTAATTCCAGCAGAAAACTGACTAAAGCAATTTTATTGAATTTTATACTACTCACAATCAGTGCATTTTCTAGTAAAAAAATAGGTGCTAGTACTACTACAACGCAGGTGGCACTGTGGTCTAAAACTACCGGGCCTAGGACTTGCTGATCAGAAGGCTGGCGGTGAGCTCCCGTTGCTTGGTCCCAGCTCCTGCCAACCTAGCAGTTCAAAAGCACGTCAGAGTGCAAGTAGATAAATAGGTACTGCTCCGGCAGGATGGTAAACGGCGTTTCTGTGCGCTGCTCTGGTTCGCTAGAAGCGGCTTAGTCATGCTGGCCACATGACCCGGAAGCTGAACACCGGCTCCCTCGGCCAATAAAGTGAGATGAGCGCCACAACCCCAGAGTCGGTCACGACTGGACCTAATGGTCAGGGGTCCCTTTACCCTTACTACTCATATTGTTAACAGTGTGTTGTCTGGGATGCTTGGACACAAAATGGAGAATTTTGTGTACGAATGCTGCTTGTATTCAGGATTTACAGGCCATTGTCTTTTGCTTTATGTGGGACAGCAATTCTGAGTTCATTATAGAGGAAGATGGGAGACTGTAGGTAGCTATTGTTAGTCATGTTGATTATATATCACTTACAGGTTCAGAAGTACCTTGATACTTCTGCTCTAGAGTAACAAAGGCAGAGGGATGTTTTTTCACCTCCTGCTTTTGGCCTCCCAGGGCGCACCTGATTGTGCATTGTGGGGAACATGATACTGGACAGGCCTTTGGTATGATCCTTAAATAAATATCTTATGGCTATTCCTATGTCAGCAAGGAACAGGAGTTCAGTTGTAAATTGTATGGCAGGAACCCAACTAGGCAGAAGCAATGTACATGTCTACACCAAAAACTAAAGTTGTGAAATGAAGGATCACAGGAATGAATAGAATCCACGAGGTTTCCACATTTTTGCAACAGAGGTATGTGATAGCAAACGTGCCACATCTATCTGAAAACAGAATTCCTTATGTGACCCAAGTTTCGCTCAAGCACCATCGTTTTGACCGAGCTGTGGTGTTAAATGGGCAAATCCCCAAGTCCTTCCCTTTCACACAGCAAACTGTCTATTCCACATGACTTTGCATTTTCAATTCAGATCGGTTGCACAACACGGTTTCAGTGAAACGACTGCAACCACCTTCGCCGCCGCTTTGTAGTCATGCCTGGTTTGCATCACCCATAAAACCCGAGTCTAATGCAACCATCACTCTGAAGCTGGAATTCACGTTTCTTCCCCTCCCCACGCGATTTGTCGAAGGGGAGGGGGCACCTTTCCTCAAAAAACTATCAAGATCTGTGCAGTACAGTTGGCCCTGATTCCCACCCACCACCAACTACAAAAAACAACAACACCCGATTTTTAAACCAGCACCACCAAAAGTTATGCTGGCGAACAAAAAGCGGCAAAATGCAAAGTCATGCTGGCGCAGCAGCGACGCCAGAAAGCAGGAGAGCCGGGAAGGAGGCGCCAACCGACAAGTTCTTCGGCTTCGTGCTCTCGCGAGAGTTGAGAAGGTATAAAAGAGAAGGGGCACTGCCTGCAGGGCTGGATCTTTTTTTGTTTCGAGCCGGGAGCGGCAAGAGGATATTTGAGGAAGCGGATAATTTCGCATTAGGTAAAGCATACCTCTCTCCGCCGTCCAAAATGAGAATCTGGGCCAGGGCAGGGCTGGCCTGCAGTTCGTACAGGTTTTGTTCGTTTGCTGTAATAGAATGTGCTTCCTGATAGTATTTGAGAGTCAAATTAATTGTAGACGGTTTCCTGATGGAGATCTCTGTGTTTGTGTGTAACTTAGCTGGGCGCTGCTCCCCGGCGCCTGGTAGCCCAACAGGTGGAGGGAGAGCTGAGCTGAGTTCAGTTTCCTGCCTTGGTCGAGCTTCACTTCGTTTTTCTTCGCCTCGGTTTCCTGGCGCAACAAAAGATCCCGGTTTAAAGAGGCTCGGAAGTTGGCAAGTGCAGCCTGCAGGGTGGGGAAAAGCTCTGGGTGCGATCGACGCCCGAGCTATTAAGTGAAATTGCGCTAGTAAGTCAATGAACTTCAAAGGACGTCGCGGTTCTGGCCGCGCCTGCTGCTGTTGGGCTGGCCGCCGGCTTCTTCCGTTGTTCCTTTCAATGGGCTGATGGTGGGTTTGGTTGGGCGTGAAGCTGCATTTATCTTGGTAGGGAGAGAGGTTGGGATGCTTGGACACAAAATAAGGAATTTGGGAGTTGGAAGGCTGCTACCTCCGCGGGTTAGGGGCCGTTGTCTTGTGTTCCACGAGAGGTGGCAGTTTTTAAATGTAATTATAGAGTAAGGTCGAGGTTGTAGCCCTGGGCTCAGGTACCTGAAAAGGTGCTACTGAGCTCCATGGAATTGAGCGAATGAACAGGACGCACAGTGTGCAAGAGAGTTGAAATGGGCGAAGGCTAGCTAGTTATGAACGAGTTTCCTCTTATCGGTTTCATTTCCATACAATTGCGTAATGGAAAACTAAACCGTTTAAAGTTAATTGCACTGATTTGAGTAGTGTTACTATTATTTTTGGCATATTGGGGGTTAAGATGATCATCTGGAACTCTGATTTGTGCACCGTTGCCTGTTTTGGGATGTACTAAGTTTATACTTGGAATACTTCTTGTGCATTACACAGCTAATCTCAAGGCTTACTTTTAAAATAACGCAGCTGTTATTTCCTTGTGCTAGAGCCAAGTTGTATGGGGAACAGTGTTAGAAACTGAGATATGAAAGCTCAGAGCTAAATGGTGCCTTAAACCTAGGTTATGGGTGCCACAACGGAATGTTTAGGCTCACTTTTTTGTAACAAGAATACAAAGCTGAAAATAAATGAACTGCAGCTAAAATGTTATGTTCATTTTTCACATGGTCTAGTCCTTCCCCTAATATTCTTAAGAGGGTCTCTTCTCCAGTTTTCAGAGAGTAGCTAGAAGTGGAGAAGCAGAAAAAGGTCCTCCTTTCCTTCCACTCTGAATTTTTATTCTGAAATCTTAGGTGCAGTACTGCACCCAGAGCTCAGAAACTGCTTACCCTAATGAAATTCCCTGATGGGGAGCTACTAAAGCCACTAAAATGTATTGTGGTTTAAAATTCCTTTTTAATTTTTTGGCCCAAAGGCTGTACACACTTTCACATACATGTGCATGCACACACAGTCAGACAACCCTCCCTATGCAGCTGTTCCAGGCAGATCACCTGAAGGGGAATTATTGCTCCCCGTGTGGTTATCAGATTGCTCCTTTGGGAACTGTTTGCAGCCATCCTTATTAAATATGCTTAGAATGCATATTTCACATTACTTTTAATTTTATATTTTTAATAGTTTTGCATTTTATTATATACTTATTGTATACCACCTTGATACTTTAGCAGATGGTGGTATATAAATACTTTTATAAATGATTTTAGTCTAGAGGGTACAGTTTTCCACTCCCCAACCCAGTTCTGCAGCTAATATTTTTTTCATTTTGCCCCTGCTGCCCCATGGGTATGGTGGGAAGGGGAAAAATGTTTGTGGCAGGGTTTGTGGGAGCCACTCTTGTTCTACAGAATGCTGTTAAGTTTCATGTTCCTATTGTTAGTATAGATTATCCCTTGAAGTGTCTCTTGTTGGACAGTGGAACAGGCTTCCTTGGGAGGTTCTGGACTCTCCTTCCTTGGAGGTTTTGAAGTGGAGGTTGGATGCCCATCTGTCATGGATGCTTTAGCTGAGATTCCTGCACTGCATGGGGCTGGACTAGATGACCCTTGAGGGTCTCTTGCAACTCTACAGTTCTGTGAATCTATGAATAAAACAAAATTGATACATTTACACTTGACTGAGCGCTTCCCTCAGTATCTTTCCAGTTTGCTTAAAGATGGCAGGATGCACACATCTAATCTTTTTCTGCTCTGTTGAGACAATTAATGTTGGCATTTAAAGGTGATTGGTATGTACTCTTGAGTCTTATTAGATCTTAAAAACTATGCTAATGCAGTGTGATGCTTGGCTGCAATCACAGTAGAAAATTAGGTTGTGTTAAGGTTCAGATATTTAAAATTATGTGGCAACATAAACTTAGTTGAATCACATATTTTAAAATGAATTTCTGGCTGCATGCATGATGACATTTGGCCTTTCTCATCATTATTTATGCAAACCTTTGGCAGAGGGGCCCTATGACTCCCATTGCGACTTCATACTCTGCAGTTCAACTCTGGTGGGTGGGGCCGCTTTCTTTGCCCATGTACCGTATTTTTCGCCCTATAGGACACACTTTCTCCCCTCCAAAATGAAGGGGAAATGTGTGTGCGTCCTATGGGCGAATACAGGCTTTCGCTGAAGCCTGCGAGCGAGAGGGTTTGGTGTGCACCGACCCCCTCTCACTCTCCAGGCTTCAGGAAGCTCTGCGCAACCCTTGGGAGCCCGGCGCGAAGCCGCGCCAGGCTCCAAGGTTGCGCAGAGCTGCTGCATTCCGAAGCCTCGGCGCACTGAAGAGCGCGCCCGGGCTTCGCGCAGCTCTCCCGCAAGCCTGGGGAGACTGGCGTGGCTCCCTAGGCTTGCGGATAGCAGGCTGTTTTGGGGCTGGGGTCGGGGGGAAGCTCGGGCTTCCCCCGCGCCAGCCCTGTGCCTGGGGGGAAATAATTTTTTTCTTTATTCCCCCCCCCCCAAATATAGGGCAGTGCATCTATGGGAGAAAAATACGGTACGTAGTTTGAAATCAAAGAGTATGGGCGTAGCTTGCTTGCCTGAAATAACCTCTTGGGCTGAAGGTTCCCCCGTGCTGGCAGAGTAGATACTGAATGGTAAAAGTAGAGTTTACTTACTTGTACCCAATGGAGTTTATAACTCAGCAGATACTGCTTAAATTAAAGCATGTGGAACATTTAACATTTGTTTTGTGTGCTACATCAATTGTGTTTTTTAAAAGTATTGAATATACAGATAGTGAAGGTTCTTTTTCTTTTGGTCCAAATACTGAGGTAATGAAATAGTTGTTCCTACAATATCTTGACAAACCTACAGTAGTTCTCTTCAGTCCAGCACATTCTAAATTGTATTTTAAATGTATGCTAAACTTTTGCTAATGGGTTTCCTCTTCTGGGGTGGGTCATCGTAAAAGCCACAGAACCTAACAAGTTCAAACTTTCTCCAGCTCCAGTCAGAATGTCAGCAGGAGATGCTCACATTGGGAAGCCAGCCCCAGACTTTCTGGCCACGGCTGTAATGCCAGATGGGCAATTCAAAGAAATCTCACTCTCTCAGTACAAAGGTAAGTGCAATAAAGCATGTTGTATTTGTATTTGTTGGCAAGGGTTTATTGAGGTACTGATAAGTATGTGACATGTATAAAACCCTAACTTAACTGTCTGGACTAACAACATAACCTTCTTTGGTTCTGAAATGGAAGTTTTGTTGCCATTCACAAAAATGCATTGGATAGTATTGCAAATAAGTCCTCAGAAAGTTACTAACACATCTGCATGTAGGTACCCTATTCTGTTCTAGTATGTATGTTGTCCTTGCATGTGTCACTTCTGCTAGCTTGGAAGAAAATAGTCATGCCTTTTATTTGCAGCACTTCTTTTGTTTATTTGGAGATCAAGGAGAGAAGAGAGCATGGGTGGGAAACCTTCAGCCTACAGTCCAAACTAGGCTCACTAGGCTGTTTTTCTTAAACCACACCCACCTGCCCCATATGTGACCTCAGGTGTGGCAGATGCCCAGGGAGTTCAATCCTGCTTTGTGATGTATATAGCTCTCTCTTCCCCTCCCTAGTGGGCCAACTCACCTGTCAAATCAACTGGTGCCAGTATGACATCAGATGACTGACAAGTAAGGTGATCGTGTGCAAAGTTTGCTAGCCATGGTGGCAGAAGATAAACAACTGGCCTGCCATGCCAGAAAAGGCTCCTCACCTCTGGGGTAGAATGCCACAAAGCTGTTAATGTTTGGAATCAGAAATTTGTGACTTTTGAATTGCTTCCAGCTTTGCTGTGGTGTGAATTACTTGTTACCTTCTTCTCCAGGGAAATATGTTGTGTTCTTCTTCTATCCACTTGACTTTACCTTTGTCTGCCCAACTGAGATCATTGCATTCAGTGACAGATCTGAGGAGTTTAGAAAAATCAACTGCGAAGTGATTGGTGCTTCTGTCGACTCTCACTTTTGCCATCTTGCCTGGTAAGAATATTTGGACCTCAGCCTTTTTCTCTAGGGGTCTCCTACATTAAAAGTTATAAGCCTGTTAAATGGATGAAAGAAGCAGCTACCAATAAGTAACTATTGCCAGCTATTTCTTTCCCCCCCTAACCCAGCCTCATGTCCTGTGCAAGAGAGAGAAAACACCATCCTGCTCACAAATCAATTTGTGCTAGAAAGGGGGTTGGTTAAGGGTTTTTGCCCACCCTTCACAATCCTGTTCTGATCCGGTCCTGTAGCTTTTTAAGTGTAGTCATCTTAAGTCCCTGAACTTGAGCAGCTTGAGCTGTAACCTTAGACCCAATGAAGCTGCTTCTCTGGCCATTATGGTAAGAACCATGTGGGTTTCCTTTATTGGATATTATAAGAGCAGTGTGGAACCAGACCAATAGGAAGCTGTTCCCACACCACTCCAGTAACATGCGCTTGAAACTAGACAGAAAGTTTTGGGTCACTGCCTTTTTTGCAAAGACCACTGAATCTCTTAGATATTCTGCTGCAGTCGAATGTGTAAGTGTACAGAAGGACAAGGATATTACTGAAATACTAACCTGCTTTATAAAAGCCTTTCTTCTTCTTGTTAACAGGATCAACACACCCAAAAAACAGGGTGGACTAGGCTGCATGCGTATTCCCTTGGTGTCTGACACGAACCGTGAAATTTCTAAAAAGTATGGAGTATTAAAAGAAGATGAAGGCATTTCCTACAGGTGAGGTTACCACTGCAGCCTCTTAGTGACTTGTGGTATATAGAGCACTGCATGATAAAGGTTCTAAAAGATAAAACTTAATCAGAGGAAGAAGCCCACAGAAAATAAGTGATGCAAGTTTTGAGTCAACATGCACACTTTATTAGCCCTGTTGAATGTCTTTTTCACTGGGAAGAGGAAAGTGAATGTGTGAATATGTGCAATCTCTGTTTGGCATCTTCCCAGATCTGCTATCAGCACCTGGGTTGAAAAACACCAATTCAAATTTAAACTCTGTTCTTTAGAATAGTGCTAGTATCTTGTAACAAAAGTCTGAACGTTCAAATTATAAGTCTCTTGAAGGGTGAAAGGTAAAGAGGCTGTACGTAGGAAGTTTTACCACATACCTTTATGAAATGTTCTATATAGGTTTTAGTGCTTGGAATTGCAAATGAGTCTCCATATAGTTTTGCTTTTAATTTATATATAGGGTAGAAGTTGTACCAGATCTTAAGAGAACTGGTTTTGATGTTTTCAGAAGAACTAAAAGGGGACAGAACTTGGTATTGAATGCTAGCTTGTAGTTTTTTGTATTCTGCCACCATACATTTAAGTGTTTGTGTGTGTGTGTGCCTTCTCTCTTTAGGGGCCTCTTCATCATTGATGATAAGGGAATCTTGCGCCAGATCACAATCAATGATCTCCCTGTTGGTCGCTCAGTTGATGAAACACTCCGGCTAGTTCAGGCTTTTCAGTTTACAGACAAACATGGAGAAGGTAAGACTGTCAAGTTCAGGCTAGGCAAGCGTGAACTGCAGTAAGTTTCTCAGTGAAAAAGGAGAATGCACTTAACAGTTCATAGTGTATCCTCTTCCCTGCAAAAGGGGATACTATGTTTAAAGAAACATAAATGTGAAAATCTAGGACTATAGTTCTCTAAAACAGTATCTCATTGATAAAAATCCAATTCTTGAGTAGCATCTTGGCTAAAAAAAAGTCCAGGAATAGGTAAATAGAAATAGGCTTTTAAGAGTCTCTCTTGTTTCTAGCCATATCTACAGGACAAATAAGAGATAGTATTAACAGCTGGTGGAGGGGCAGAACATCTTTCCACCGAGAAACTAGAGGCAGAGGCAGACAGCAACTACTGTCCCTGTAAAGACAGTATCCCATATACACAGTAGCATTTTTCCACATAAGTGAGTAGCTACCATTCATTCCCATGGGAAGAAATCTAAAATGTTGCATTTGGGGGCTGCTGTGTTAGGGAAAGTGTTGGCACCTCACATTATCTGCTTGTCTTCTCTGTGGGATTCTTGTTTGAAGCCATTTCCTACAGAACATACCGTATTTTTCCGTCTATAAGACACCCCCATGTATTTTTGCAGCAACAACCAATCGCTAGTCCAACCTCAGCACTATCCATATATAAGACACCCCCTAATTTTTAACATTATTTTTTAGGGGAAAAAACCTAGACTTTTACACAGAAAAATATTGTATATTTTGTGCCCCCTCGGGGCACAACATGCGTCCTTTTCTTCCCTACTGCCAACAAATAAATGTCAGTTATAACTCGTATATATTACTATTCTGCCACATTGCCCACCATATTATGATATTCGCAGGCTCCCTTGCAAAGGTTTGTTTCCAGGTGGCCACTAAGGGCAATCCTCCTTTTTCACTGAATCAAGACTTTCCTTAAAATACCTGCATCAACCACCTATTTACTTACAGAAAGCAATAGGGCTCCTCCTTTATATTCTTAGTCAGTGAGATATATTTATGTTAGACTCTACCCTGACCAGAACAGTTAAAACAGAAACATGTATTTACTTAAGGAACATAACGTCCAGGACTGTGTACAGACTTTTTCATAATTTCATTTCATAATATCTATCCTTTTCTACAGATGCCTCTCATTGGCTCTCTAATCTCATTCCCATTTCATTCAGTCCCTCAAAGTGACTCTTTCAGCTGTTATTTTTCAATGGACACATAATACTAGTCTTTCGCTCTCAACTCTGGCCCATATTCCATCCAACCTCCCTGCTCTCAGTCATTATTTCAGTCTTCTGTTGCTGTCAGGCATTTATTAGGCTAGTATTTTAGATGCATAAACACTGAATCGCTTTGGTTTTTCCAAGAGGCAGCTGTCCTGTACAACTCAGGTACACAATTGCATCAAGAAGCCCATCTGTAGGAGAGGTGGGGTGGTGACTGCTGCTAGTTCCAGAAGTTAGTCAAATAGATGACGGAGGTTGTAGTGATCCAAGTCATCTTGTGTGAAGTCTAGTGATGGACATAACAACTTAGTTCTTTGTATGCTGTTTTCGGTCTGTACTCCAGGAGTAACTTAAAAGTTAATATTATTATCTCCTCAGTGTGTCCTGCTGGCTGGCATCCTGGGAAAGACACTATCAAGCCTGATGTTCAGAAGAGTAGAGAGTACTTCTCCAAGCAGAACTAAATGTGCTGTGTGATTGGGTTTTTTTTTTTGTACAAGGCATCTATTCTGTAACCTGTATAAGTAAAAGCAGACCTGTACTTGTCATTCCCTTTATTTTTAATAGTAAAATTATTGTGAGCTAACTGGTTTATAGTTCAGATGCCATTTATTCTGGATCAATCCAATGTACGTTACTAGGACAGCTTTGGAGTAAATGGATTATGAACTGAAACATTGGTCAGTACTTAATAGCTATTGTTAATAGTATATGTCCTTTTGATCAGAACCAGGAAAGGGAAATTGCTCCTTGTGCTAGTGTGGATAAAAAGGACCAGTAACATGTATATGATTGGCCCAGGGATGCATGTAGAACAGTCGGTTTTTCTGATGTTTTGTACTGTCATTAAACTCGGGGGGAAATGGGAATCCTATGTCTCTAATTAATTGAGTGATCTCAGTATAGCAGGAACATGCAATAGCTTGTAATAGATGGTATTTCTGAGCTGGGTGTGAAAAGATAATCAAATACATCTCAACATGTAAAAAACCCTAAGCTTTATGCAACCCCTGCTACATAGACTTTGTTAACCATGTTGCCAAACCCTTTTAGCCATGTAACAGATGCTGCAGCCTTCAGTCTAATAACTCATTGACTTACAGACCTTCACTATCCAAAACCTGAACCGCAAGCCTAAAATCATCCATTGATCTTAGTCCTTGCGTAGTCCTAATTGCCTTCCTATCAGTACTGGCTCTGATATGGTCCTTTCCCTCTCACAACATTTTGTGTACTTACGCAGTTCTGGAATTTCTCTACATTATTTATTTTCTGTTTCCAAGTGTATGAACTGCTAAGTCATAGAAAAAAATCATGGCAGTATACAGTACAATAAAACAACATAAAATACAGATCAAATTACCAACAAGGAATCAAATAAATCATCTCAAAATGACTGGAGAAAGCAACTTTTATCGGTGGCAAATTATCAAAGTGGTAAGTCTTGAAACAATGCACCTGTGCTGCTATGCTAAATGTTGGTTCCCATAGAAACTTAATCTACCAGTATGTCAGGAGGGCTTCAGAAGAGTGCTGTGATCTGGCTGGTTTATAAGGGATAAGGTGGTCATTTAGGTAACCTGGTAGATGTTTAGAAGCATTGGGGATGTGATGGTACCGTGAGAGACCCAATAGTAAAAATGCCAGGGGTTTATAGTCTGGAAAGGTCCTGCAGAAAGGAACAGAACCAGTGAAGTACAGTGCCACAAATCCCCAGCCAACATGGCTGGTCCAAGTGGGTACCATGATTGTTGTCAAAAAAGAGTGAGCTGCAGGGTCACACCCTCCTATGTCTCCTGTGATCAAGGTCATCCATCAGGACCACTAATGCTGACTAGGTCCCAAAACAACCTGAAGCCAGACTGAGGTAGATCAAGATTACATGTTTCACACCTGCGCTCAGTAAATTGGAGGATCAGCATACTTCCCAGAAATATGAAAGGAGTAATATATGATATATAAATTGATAAAATGGCATCTTAAAAGCAAACTTCCTTTACTTGTCCAAGCATTAGAAAACAAAAGAGCTGCCAAAAGTGCTTGATCTTGAGAACCCATTCAGGTTGAACATCCTGCAATTTGGGGAATATCCTGAGGAAGCGGGAAACAGTACTTGCTGCACTAACTGACAGAACCCACAATGTGGCACTGCCACCTAACATTAGGAAATGTCCCCACAAGGCACTATATTAAAAGGACTTGATTTTCTAAGATTACAGAACATCAATTATGATGGTGATATTCAAATACCTCCTATTTCTGGGATCCTCTTTTAAATTGATAGCGTCAAGTGGATTAATGCAGTAAGGATTACTAGCAGACTTCTGGTTAATTCAAAGTACATTCTTCTGAGGCAGTCCCTTCACTTTATCCCCCTTGCCCTGCTTCTATGGGTGGCTCTAAGAGGAGTGGCTGAAATGTGCTGGCACACACCCAAGGCTTCTGTAGCTGTTTTCTATTTTCTGTGAGCTTTGTACCCAGGGCTGAGTGTTCCTTGGCTCTCCTTTCCTTCTGATTCTCCATGTTTTGTATCCTCACTTGCCATCATACTAGTCTTTGCTGTGTTACACACCTGTGAAGGTAATAATAGGCATCTGGTGTATCACACAGACAAACAGAATTAACTGCTCGAAAAATTAGAGGGGAGCTAACAAAGGCAGCTGCTATTTCTTGTGTACAAGGAGTAAGATTAATGAGGATTAGGAATCAGAAGAGCTTCATACTTGCGTACCAAGAACAATGGCCACATTGATCCTTGCATGCGGAGCGCACAACTTTTCAACATCATGATATTGGCAGATAACACTGTCGATTATGGATGTAGAAATCTAGCTTACCACACCTCCAAAGCACATGAAGATAAGCAGGATAAGAACTGGTGCCACAGAACCTGGAGATTAATCATGCTTTTTAAAATTATATGTTGTAAGCTGTTCTTAAAACTTTTTTTGTAGGTGTGGGATTTAAAATTGCAGAAAGTTGCCATTAAAGTTGCAGCAACCCATACCTAAAACAAAAATAAAATATTTAGATGTGCTGGAGAAGACTGTTCTTATTTTTAGGAAATGGCCTGTTGAGTTTTGAGCTCACAGCTAGTTTTCAAATGTACTTTCATGCAAAAATAGAATCATATACATTAGAGTGAAGTAATTATTCTTACTGTATTTTATGAAGCTCTACCAATATTTTGTAGAAGCTATACATTATAAAACCTACATATTCACGAGAGGACTTCTGAGTTGTCAGTAGAAATATTGTTTAAAATGATGATTTGAAATAATTTCTTAAACTTTTCTGAGCTCATTATAAAATGAATATCATTGTAAACCAGAAGCATACTGCTTTGAATGAATTATTTGATAAATGAGTTTTATACTTGGGAATTACATGTGAGGACTCTTATTATAGAACAGATGGTGAAAGATTCAAAGCAGAATCCCATGCATTCGTATCCAGAAGAAAATCCTAGTGATTTCAGTGTGCATGTAAGATTTTACACTGTAATCAGTATGTATAAAATTGCAAACTTAAAGAATAATCAAACATGGCCTATCTATAGGGAATGGCTCTTAAATAAGTTTTAGAAACTCATTAGCATGTTGGATCTTATATTGTATCACCTATGTAAATACTCCTGAATACTATATGAACAAAACATTGCAATGGAAGCAATTACTCTACATGTGTAAACTTTAAATGTGCCAGACCATTTTCTATAAATGAGTTTCTACAGCACCGTTAGACATTTTAATTGAGTAATGAAGCCAATTAACAAAACCCCTCTGAATTGGCTAGATAGGCTTTTGTTTCTTTTTACTTCACTGCCCAACAGGGGAAAGTGGATTGGGCAGGGAAAGTGTACTTAAGAGGCATTAAAGCATATTTACCCCTCAGCTGCCTCCTCCGTTGCTGATTAAAGTCTAATGCTGTCCCACTTTTGAGGCTTCCAACAGAAGTACTACATCTCCTGAAGGCAGCCCATAGTGTGGATTCCATGGAGAAATAGACATGGACACAGCCTCTCCTTCCCTCCTCATCTCTCTCTCTCTCTCTCTCTCTCTCTCTCTCTCACACACACACACACACACACACACACACACCCACCCACCCACCCACCCACACACACCATTCTGCTTTTCATTCTTTGGCTGATCCCTCAGATGAACAGGGTTAAAGGGCCTCTAGAGCAAATGACAATGTTAAGTAGAAGATAAAAAAGCTGTACAGATGTTTACACAACCTCATGGTCCTCGCTGCTAGGCAAGTAAGAGACAAGCTTATGGGTGCAAATGCAGGGGGAATTGTAAACAGAGCATACACGAAGGGAGGGAGGAGGACTGTTCCTCACAGACTGTAGCCTAGCAAATTTTATCACTCCTTTCTATGTGTGCTATACTACCCACCCTGTAGACTTGTGTAGGTTTGATTTTTAAGGCAAATAATCAGAAGGGTAAGAGGATCCGAACCCTCCTTCCACTCAGTACTTAATTTTCCATAGTTCCCTGCCAAAACGCTTCTCATCCAGTCAAAGTCACTTCCAATATCCATGGAGAAAAATTATTAGAGGGGAAGATGATAACATCAATAATGTTGTTACTGCTTCCCTCTGGAGAGCTTTAACAATAAAAATCTGTGGGAAAGACTTTGCTGTTCTACCAATTCTACCCTAAATGCTAAGGCTCCTTTAACTGAGCATCTATTTGATTTGATTCTGTAATCATGCAGTCAAACAAAACCCTAATGTGATTTAGTACCAAGGCAAAATACATGTAATAGTAAAAATAGTTTTATTATTTGCACCCCACCCATCTGACTGGGTTGCCCCAGCCACTCTGGACTGCTTCCAACATATATAAAAACATAATTAAACATTACAAAACTTCCCTATGCAGGGCGGCCTTCAGATGTCTTCTTTTTCCATTCACAATGGGATTGCATCCTCCACCATGCCTGAGGGCAGCAGGGGAGGCTGTGTGTGGCACAGGCAAGTCTCTCCCAACATCTTGCCTCCACTTTTATCCCCCTAGCATCTACCACCTGAGGTGGCTGCTTCACTCTGCCCAATGGTAGGGCCAGCCTTGTCCATCAAAAAGAGACTACATCTGCAATGCTATACCCACATACTTGGCAGTAAGTGCCATAGAACTCAAATGAGGCTTTATTCTGAGTAGGCATAAACAGGCAAACTATAAGAGATTTTCTGGCTGCTGCAAACAGAGAGGCCAGTTTAAAGAGGATCTTTAGCAAATATTTGACCTGCATGTTAGATGAGATTAGCATTAAACATGATAATAATAGTCTTGCTCCAGTCTTGCTATGAACCTGTGGACTCTGCTGCAAATGTAAGCAAACAGGACATGAGGCAAAGGAGTTTAGTTTGGATAATGGGAGCTGTGGGCTGGGGCAGAGGGCATCAGGAAAGCTGGATCAGAGCCCAAGGCCAGCATTAGGTAGGAATGTTGTTGTCCTAAGCAAAACATAATTTTGTCCATCTTTTTAGCACTTTTAGTTTTTTAAGCAAAACATAATTTTGCCCATCTTTTTAGCA